AACCTGCCCAGAGGCCATTTGATCTTACTGCTGGACGAAATATCAGACCTCTGGAAAATAAAAAATTGAGATTGCATCCTTGCAGTCGTTTTAAATTTTTCTCGTTTCCATGCGATCCAGCCGCAATTTCTGCCAGTAAATTCCTTGTTCCATTAGTTTATTTCTTACGTGAGTTCTTTTTGCACTTTCTGCTTTTGATTTCGCTGCTTGACTAGCCCTTGGTCCCCAGCGTGGGCAGTTTTGAACCCAACTGGACGTGAAAATTCTTGTTATTGGACGGCAAAAACACAGAGAAAGAAAAGGGAATTTGGATTTGTTTTTTCTTACGGTTGAATAACTACCACAGATAGATTCGATTAAGCAAAAAGATTCTGTCATATACTTTAAATAGAGGTAAGTACATTGGCGGAGACAGGGAACTGGATGAAAGTTGCGAATCATTTAAAGCCACTAGCCACCAGCTACTACCTGGTTATACATCTAACCGAGATAGTTCGCCGATAATTCACCGATAGTCGACCGATAGCTCGCCGATAGTTCACCGACAGTCGACCGATAGCTCGCCAATACTTCACCAGCGGTCAACCGATAGATCATCAACACTATCGGCCGATAAATGGACGCTCAAAAGAAAGATATTGGTTGAGTGTCGGTCGAATGTCAGTCGAATATCGGCCGAATGTCGATCAAGTGTCGGTTGAGTATCGGCCGACATATCGATACTGGACCGAAAGTCGGTCGACCGCTACTCGGCCGACATATCGGCCGATAGTGCCGACCGATTAGTGTCGACCGACAGTACCTACAGTAAACATAGTCCGATCGATATACAAACAACAAATAATATTTAAAATAATTTGTCGTTGAATTTTAGAGTAGTGGTCAGTTTTACATATCTTTTCAATGTTTATAATACTGTGCATATTTATTCAGTTTTAAGATAATGGAATCTGTTGTTTAATAACGAGCTTCTCGTTATGAGATTTTCTCAGTAATGAAGACTTCAAGTGCTGCGTCTTTTCTTGTCTTCAACCCACTATTTTTGTTGTCAGGGTTATTTACCTTTTTTGAAAACAGCGTGACAACCGTAACGGAGGTGAGGCCAGTATCTCAAAGATAAGCGGATTGTAGTTGTTCCAATCAGCATCATGCAATGATGAAAACCCACTCAATAACAATCTGGTAAACTACCCAATCAGATATTAATACTCCACGATATGAATTAAAGAGAAATTTACTTCTGATATCATTACTTATGATTTTAGATTTCCACGGAAAAGGTAAAGATTTTCAATATATTTTGAGGCATTTGTTTTTACTTTGGGTCACTGAGCGTAATGAATTTTATAATTTTAGAGTGTTGGTGAAACATTATGTAAATGCATTTACTACGCTTGAAAACATTTACTGAGTGGAGACGAGAGAACATTAAATGAGTTCAAAGCAATATTTGGCGGTGAAACTAGAAGAATTTTAGCGCTTTTTGACGTCAGGGAATAGGCCCAGTGTCGGTTCTGAAATGGTAGCCGTAACATTGAAAGTGCTATTGAAAATATTGGGAATGAACCATTGCTTCAACCTCAACGTTGATGAAAGACAAATTTCCTAAGAGGTCCTTGTGACGTCACGGCCTTCACTCGAGGGCTGCTGCTAATCGAAATAAATATGGCTGACCGTCGGCGAGTGCGGCTGGAATGCTCGGATGGATCCGTTTTCACGCACAGAGAATTGTTCGTTTGACTGGGGTTATCTTCGCTAAGGTAAAAGCTGAAAACGAGCGCAATATCAAGGCTTTAATATTATAGGCATGGAGTGAGTAATCATTTTGAGATGAATGAAACGGGCTCGCGATCTAGTGCCGGAATGACTTCACCACGACATCCAACGCACCAAGCCGTAATGGATAGACTGCGGCAACGTTTCAGCCAGTACCGAAAGCGGCACTATGACTGCCAGAAACAATATGCGGAGTCACTGCCAGCTGTTCAGGACATGGAGAGACAAGAAGCACTGAATTTGCACAAACGTGCTTTAGATAGCCGCAATAGGATGATGAACATGAACGGGAAGACATCAAAACAAAATGACGGCGAAGGCAAAGTAGAACAGCAACAAACAGCAAACGGATTTGAAAAGTCAACTAATGCTATCTATCAAATACGCGAGGTACGTAGTTACTTTTTTGTGTAGTTGCATGATCGATTTTTTAACAGAACAACACATATCAGCATATGTTTTGATCGGCATTCATTATGATGACATGAATGCGTGGCTGTTGTTAACGGTATCGTTCCAATTGTTTAGGTTGTGTCTAGTGTAAAACACGCGCTCTACTTTCCATATTTCACACTAACCGTAGCTCATTGTACTTATCCTGCCAGCAGCAAATCCTATTGAAGAAGAGAAAACACGAACAGAATATGAACAGTACACAGAATTCGTACGTGGAATCGAATGATGACAACCTAGGAGGGGAGTACATGAGCAAGCTCCAGAGACATGATGGTGTTTTGCATGTTTCGTCGACAGAGGGACAAAATACTGTCGTTTCGGTTAATCAACCACACCGGATAACACATGCTCCAAGTCAAGTGCATCAACCTAATTTCAATCCCATTTCAATCCACGAAACTGTCGGAACAGAAACGTACGCTCGTAGTGGAAGCCACAGATTGCCGCTTGATTTTAAGCGAGAGAAGGGTGCGATCGATTCTTGCGATGAATCCACGCATTCTGAAAATGGCCCGGGAACTGTTGTTAACGGTGAAGACTACATACGACAAGAGCTTATCCATTTTGAAAACGTAATTAAACGCTTTAATGAAGACGCACCTGCCACGTCGCAATCAATGCACCAAAGTGTAGGTGACAGAGCTCCACTGAGTGGTATCGATGACAAAAAGAAGCACCCACAATCTCTTCAATTGAAAGAAATTGCCAGGAAGTCACAGTTTGCTCAGGCTCAGCCTGTAATGTCATTTGGGGAAAGCCAAGAACGACCTAAACAACACTCTAGTCAGTATCCTGTTGGCCCAACAGGCCAACAGTCCCCTGGTTTACGGCACCCCTACACAGCAGGTAAATACCCTGAAGGTTTGTCAGTCATTTCAAATAATCCGCGACAATTACCTAGGCAGTATCAAATGGCTCTGTCATCGCAGTCACCATTACAACAACAACAACAACAACAGCAACCACAACCATTTTATGGTTTTCAACAGGACAGCTTACCAAAACTCACCCACATGCCTTCACAAGTCCAACAGCTGTTCGCTCATAAATTTCAAAGTCAACCAGTTATTTCATCGTCATCACAGGTGGCAGGATTAAGAGGACCCGTTTCTTCACATGACATGACAAGATACACCATTCCTCGATCACAAACACAATATCAGCGTCAAAAGTCAATGCCACCATTACAAAATCAACCCTACTCAAACTCTGACTCACAGTACCAACAACAAGTTGGTAGTTACCAGGGAGACCTATCTGGATTTTCAGATCAAACCAATACTTACCATTATCAGCGGAGAAACTCTTTTCCAATTTATCATCGTACAAATAGCCAGCCACAAGAAAATTTCTCACGTGGAATGCAGCACACTTTGGGATCTAATCAAGCAAGTCTTCTAAGAGGTGTTTTACAAACTCCTTCCCAAAGTGTTGTAGATGATAGAGATTCTTACTTGATGAATTCCAACATGAGTTTTTCATCATCATCTTCTCCACAAACAGTACCATTGTTACCCAGAAGGACACCCTCTTCTAATGGTGATCTAAACACAGTAGCTCCTGGCTCACAACATTCATCAATGATGTATAGAGGAAGTATTCAACAACAACAGCAGTCTGATTCAGTATTACAACAGGGAAGTGAATTTCAGACTTCTTCTGTGCCCCTCAGAGAAATGACTGAGCGATATTCATCTGTGACGGAGGGTGATGCACAGTATGGTGGGATCCCGCCTCTAAGTTCACTTGATAAAGCACCTTCATTTACATCTCTACTTGAACAGTCAGCCATTAATCAAGGGAATCTAGAAACAACTTACACAGGATCAATACCTAACCTAGATTTGCTTGGTGAACTCTTAGGTTAGTGATACTAAAAGTAGAAACATACCAGTTTGTTTTTTTTTCTTTAACGTTTAGTTAATAAAGTTAAGTTTTATTCCTGTGGGGAAAAGGGGGCTTTTATGACCCCATGTTTGAACAGAGTAAATGTTTTTAACATCTGACATATTTAGTGTTTTCGGGAAAATAATTTCCATTAGAGAACCTTTTTTTAATTGAAAACTTTTTTTTTTATTTGATGTTTTGTTTCTAGGTTGTTTAAGATTCTCATTTTTTATGCTCCATCATTTAACACAATTACTTCAGCAGCAACCACCAAGTGTTTTTCTTTTAGATACCAGGAAAGTTGATAAAAAAAAAAGAAAGAAATTGAGAATTGTCTGAACCCATCTCATTGAGGGAATTTTTTCGGTGGTCCAGGTTTCTTTTCATGTTATATGGCAGAGACTTTATCACCAAGTTTGGTTCTCAAGATTTCAAGCTTGTACAATGCACAATTTTGTCTACTGAATGGTGACTTGAATTATCAGAGAAAAATAGGATCAATGTTGTGCAAATAAATGGTCATGGTTGCCACAGGACAGGGAAAAGGTGGGAAGTTAACTTTGACTCGTGGAAATTTTACATCTTAGAAAAAAGTCAGGAAAAAGTGTAATTTTAAATAAACAAGAAGTTGGTCTTGGCCCTGAAGAAAGATGGTGACACTTTCTTTATTGTGATGTTGACATTACTCATGTACTTTGTCTAATACAGTTGATAGATTCCTGACCAAAATTTCCTTTCCCTTTGTAATATTCAAGTTGGTGTGTGAATGAAATCATACATTTTCTTTTTCTGTTTTCATTGTTTCTAATATTTGAAATTCTCGGGTGTGTTTTGTGGACTTGAAAGGTGTTGGATTGGTAGTATGTTGTTTAACATATTTAATGTCATCTCAAGGGGCTATCCATTAATGTACACTGTATGTGATTTGTGAAAAGCATAAAGGTATGGGTGGAGAGAGTGTCTGTGAGGGGAGGTTGCAGGCCATTATGAGGGCTGGTTTGTGAAATTGTGAATTCGGTTGGTCTGGTAAATTTATGTTTCTTAGGGGAAAAGTCAGAATTTCCAAATTCTGTGACTGTGGCAACCATGATAACGACAAATACTTTTAAGGTGATACACAGACTCTGCTGTATTTCTATGGTAAATTTCAAAATTCTTGAGGAAAGTATATTTAGAACAACCACATGTACTGAAGACACCATTTACATGTGACATAAGTGTTAAAAAGCAGCAAGTTAGTCTGAGTAATTTATACATTTGTAACTTGATATGCTATATCTGTTTATCTTCCTTTAAGTTTTTATAATAATATATCCTACAATACCTATATTTTACTTCAACTTAATTTTTTTTTTTGGTTAGTGCCTAAAATACAAATATATTTCTTGTGCTTCCCTTGTAATCCTGGGCATAGCCCAAAATACTAATTTAGAAAACTTTTTATTTAGCTTTTACTTCTTCAAAATATTATAGAGTCTGAAAGTGTCGTCTGCAATTTTCTGTAGCTATTCTAAATTGTTTCCTATTTCCTTGATGTAAAGTGCCATGTTATGAGAATAGAAAACAAGCCATTGCCCAAAATTAACTGTTGTTGCAATAGACAAAAAAATTATGTCACCCCCTATTTTCCTGGGTAACCTGGGTAGGAAATTACTCAGTAAACGTTAAGCTTTGTTTTTGTTTTGTTTTGTTTTGTTTTGTTTTTTTCTTACATGTAAGAGTGCTCATAGGTGGAGAAAGCATTTCAAAGAGTCTTGGCATGGTTTCTGAAAGACATGTACTTTTACTTTCATCAACATAGATTTCAGTGAAAGGGATGCAGCTTAAGGCCTTTAACACTGGAACTCAGTATTTAAGTTATAGTGTATACATAGTTTGGGCATTTGTAAAGGCTTATGGATGTGGAAATTTGTTTTAGTTGTGTTTGTCTGTAGAGAGGTGGTGGATTAATGGAACAAATCCTTGAAGGGATATCCCAAAATTCTACAAATGTCTTTGACATAAATACATTGAGCCTGTTCATTTGAAATTCGCTTATTGCAAGATGGTTTTGGTCTGTCACTCGCCGATATGTACAGGGAAAACTACCTGTGGATGTGCGTAAATATATACAAGTCATGTACACCTAGTGGCCCATACTTCTGGAAATTGTGCTTGTTTCCATAAGAATAAGAAACTTGGAATATTGCTTCTTTTCCCTGGATGTGAATTTGCCAGTAGATTTCAATAGATTTCTGGTACCATGCAAGTTACCATTTGAAATCCTGGATGTAGAGGAGCACTCTGATTGTGAAGTAACTAGTCTACAAACCTTATGTGGGTATGAACCCGATGTGATGAGAGGCCAGAATTTCAATCTGAAACTTTCAATCTGAAGTCTAGCATGCTGGCTATTAGGCTGCTACATTTCCCATTTTATAAGAGCAAATTCCATTAATGCTTATTACAAATGGTGAATTTTTCAGGCTGTTTCTGTACTAAGAAGGATTGGGAATTAAAATCTTTTGTTGGAAGTGGTTGGTTGCTTATGTTGTTGAAGACTTTTCTTTTGGGTGATGGGTGAGTTATTTTATGTGAAATCCATTTGATTTTTATGTTCGTAGTTAAATTTCCCTAACAAGAAGCTGCTAGTGGCACCTCTGGTTGTGAAATGTGTTTGATTTCTATGTTCCTAATTAAATTACCCTAACAAGGAAGTGCAAGTGGCACTTTTGATTGAGGGACTCTGTTGTAGACTTATTTTTTTTATACAGAAACAACTGTGAAGCTTTTAAGAAAATGATATGTAAATAAAACCAATTGAGAATTTGTTTTGAACAAAACTCAATTATGTGATTTCTTTCATCATTTGAAAGATATCTGTATATATGTATATTCTACATCTGTGGCATTACTGGAATGTAATTGTTTGTTAGAATACAGTATAAGTATGCATACAAGAACCTGCACCTTTTCCAGTTAGGTTCTTGAATAAACAGTATTTACTTGGAGGTTAGACTATTTAGGTTTATGCAACAGGTTCTTATTTTTGTTTTTTAACTTGATTCTAGCAGTACCATCTTTTTCTCATCGACAAAAGGCAACTTTGTGTAATTACAGTTTTGTACAATATCCACATGTGTGTATATGCAAAAACCAAATGATAGGGATTTGACAGGAAGTGATGTGATCTTTGCTTGTAATTTCCAAAGTCTTGAAACCAAGAAGGTTTACATGATCCAACAAAATCTGACTTCTAGTTTCAAATTTTCATACACTTGGCTTCAACTTCAAAAGAGTTTAAGGCATGTTTCTGAAGTCGTACACTGAAAATCATTACGGATTGGCAACAAAAAAGTCTGCAGGCTAACATTTATAAAGGTCACATCAGCCAAGTCACTTTTACTGTCATTGAAGGATAACCACTTTAATAAAAAGAAACACCCATCTTGAGCAATTACCACTCATTAGAGAGGTTTATTGGACCTCAGCTTTTTAGATTACAACTTCATGGCCTCATTGAAAGGGTAATGTTCAGATCTAAACATCACATTTGTTGTACACTGTAATGGGATTGAATCACTGTAATTAAATTACTATTTTGTTATTTTGCTGTAATTTTTTGGTTATTTTACTCTCATTGGCTTTAAGTTCATTCTTTTTATTTATTTAACTAGGCAGCCCATACAAAATTGTACCACAACAAATGAAGCTTTACATAGAAGTCTGTAACTATATTGTAACCATCTAGTTTTGCTCCCTTGTTCTGTAACTTGTACTTATTTTTACATTATATTGTACAACTCTACATATTTTCATGCCATAATAGATATACATCCTACCCCGTTATGATTTGTTTACAATTATTAACTTTTTAGATTTTAGATTTTTTGAAAGATTTAAAATTTTGTAAATAGCGATTTTTTTTAACCTGAGAAAGGCCAAAATAGCAGAAATATTGTCATTAAAGTCTTAAAAAGCTAAGTGTTTATCTTTGTTTATCTATCCATAAGTCCAACCATTCATCCATTAATATTTGTATAATAAGCTCAGTTATGCAGGCATTCTGATTGGTTCTTATATATGATCTGGCTGCGCCTCGAGTGCCACTTTTTTGTTCTTACCACATTTTGACATCATCTGTGATCTATTACTGAACAGATGCACGGCAACTTGGAATCTATTTGTTAAATGTACATATTGATAGTATATGGTGTATATACATATATTTATATCAAAGTGAATTCACCAGAACATAACCAAGGGAGCAGCAAACTCAAATTCCATTTCAAAGCACATATTAGTGAAAATTGCTATGCGTGCCTTCATGTGAAAACTTAGCCATCAGGTTTTTAGGACTCTCAACCACCCTCCAACTACAGGGTGTTCACCCACTAGCTGAGCTGTTGTAGGGCATGAACCTGACTGTCAATCTTGTAACAACAGGCATGTTTTTTGGAAATCCAAGCAGATATATATGAATATATATCATAGTAATTTAGTTATAAGGCTCACAGTTTTTGATTTGAGCAGGGACTGAGCAGGAGTGTTATGGAAGACAGATATTGCATGCAACACATATAGTTAACTGAAAACTTTTCACAATAGAAGAATACATTGCTTGCATCTATCTGTTGATATGCATGGTATCAGAGCTTGTTCATGCTATAAAATTATTTTTCAAAACTTATGAAATCCTATACCTCTAATCAGACTGCAGGGCACAATCTCAAGTAGAAAAAGTGCATGGAAGTCAGATTTTCACAGAATTTCTTTTGACTTGTTCTTCCAAACTTTCAAGAGTATCACAGATGGCTTCTATGGGTTATGAAAAAGGCAGGGAAAAAACATTTCTTCAAGGTCAAGAAAAGATGGAATTTTCACTTTGAGTCAGGGAAATTTCCACACTGAAAAAAGAAAAGGAAAAGTGATATTTTTACTAAATGATTACAATAGATTTTACTCTTTCTTTTTTGTAAAGCTGGTGTCACTCACGTTACTCATGTACATTGTTTACAACAGTTGGTAGATTCCTGAACAGCTCATCCTTTCTCTTTGTTATGCAAGTTCAAGTTGGTTGTAAATGAATTTGTACATTTGTTTTTTCTGTTCTTATTGTTTTTTTACATTGTGAATTCTAAGTTACATTTCAAAATCATGAAAGGTGTTGGAAGGGTAGAAGTCGTGTGGAGAGGCTGACTGTAAGTGGAGGATGGCGGCCATTGTCAGGGTTCGTTTTGAAAGTTTTAATACAGTTGGCCAAGGAAAATTTAGTTTTGTCGGGGAAAATTCAATTAAAAGTCGGGGAATATCAAATTCCTTTGAATTTGGCAACTAGATGTTTGTTTAGTATGGTGCTTACGCAACATATCGCTCAAAATTCAATCAGGGTATTTTCCATATCAGAAAATATGACCACTGAAACCCATAAATAATTTTTGGAATCGCTCGGCATTGCTTAAAAAAGGTCATAAATACTCAGTAAGTTTAAATAAGGTTTCCTGTGGGATGTTAGAGAAAATTTCTGAGTGCTGGGCATTTAGACCATTTGAGACCGTGCCCGGCTGCTTTAAATTAAAGGTCCTTTTAAAACAGTTACGCTGAACCTGTCTGAGGGTTTAAGTTCAACCTTTGCCTAAGAAAAAAGAAAGAACCAGCCGGGTTTTCTCGGGTTGACCACCGTTTTGGAAAAAATTGACTGAGCACCTGTGGGGTTGAGGCAAGAGAGGTTCCAGGAGAGGTCTTCAGCAATCTTTGGCACACAACCGATCACGCGATGACTCACGCGATATTCAAGTCAATATGGCGACTAAAGAGCGAGAAGAACTGGGTACGAAGAAGAAAGAGAAAGCGGCTAAACTGGCGACTCGGCAGAAAAAAACTATAAAAAAGTACAAACAAGCAAAACAAAGGAAAAAGTAGGAATGAAAACACAAGCAACAGAATACGTAAAGGTAATCTAGTTTTTTTTATTTAAGTACAGAGACGTATCTTATTCAAAATTTTAAACTACAATTTAATACGATAATACGATGATAACAATAATATTGCTTTATTTATGTAGCGCTATTTCCTGTAGCTCAATAGCGCTTTACAATGATTACAATCAAAAATAAAAAATCGAAATTTTACAATTGCAATATTGGAGCCGGGAGGAGAGATAAAAAACCATCAATAACTGGAGGAGAATTTAACTTTAAAAAAACTGTCGCATACTTAACTAATTATAAGATTGATTAAAAATATGTGTCTTTAGAAGGATCTTAAAATTTGATAGTGAGCTTCTCTGTTTAATATTGTTGGGAAGAGCGTTCCATAAGCTAGGTGCCGCGAAAGAGAAACACCTATGGCCATAACTTACTATCTTGACAGATGGTACTTTCAGTAAATTCTTGAGAGATGATCTCAAATTCCATAAGGCTCGAGCAGGTCAGTAACTAAGCTAGGTATTATCAACTAAGTTGATAACGATAATTGGCCACCGTAAAGAGTTTAAAAGCTGACTTTTCGAGCGTTAGCCCCTCGCAGCCAGGAGTATGGTGGGGAGCTTGGCCGTTAAGCGCTTTGTAAGTTAATAGTAATATCTTTCGATTGATTTGACGGTTAACTGGAAGCCAGTGTAGCTGTTTTAGGACAGGCTCGATGTGATCATCCTTCTTGGTAAGAGTAATAACGTAGGGCGCAGCATTCTGCACATTTTGCAGGCGATCTATCAGAAATTTGGGTAGTCCACACAATAACGAATTTGCATTATCTAGCTTAGATGTAATGAATGCGTTACTAACTTTTCGGTGTCTGTTAGTGATAAACAGTCTCTTCTCTTGCTGATATTTCTACGGCAGAAGAAGCAGGTCTCACAGGTACTGGTCACATGTTTATCTAGAAGTATGTACTCATCGACAATGACTCCAATATCTCTCGCAGAAGGGGATAGCTTGATCTGTTTACTAGACACATTGAGTGTACTCTATTGATGGGAGTGGACGGTGTCGTGCACTCAAGATCAGTAGCTTTGTCTTTCTTCTGTTCACTTTTCAACACTTCGAATCAAAATCACGCACCGAGTTTACTTTGGCGCGTATCAGCGATGCTGAAAATTAGCCCGATAAAAATGATTCCAAAAACATCAATAACAATCGCCTGTTTTTGTTTGATGAACAGGAGGCTTCTGCTTTTGATGGTCAACTCGCCAGCATAGCGGTCACTTGGCTGATATACTTAGTCACCTCTTTTCTTTCAAGAGGTCAATCCAAGATTGATATTCATTTGAAAGAATTAAGTCAATGACCTCTGTGAACAAACAGCAAATGCAGCCCTAGTTCTTTTGCTTCAGGGAATGTATTGGTAACGGAAATTCACACCCGTTGTCCAGAGCAAATGTAACAAAGGTTTAGGTTCTTTTCGTGGAAGCCTAAGCTACTGTTTGCAGGGATAGCCGTTCGAGAGAAGACTGGTCACAAATGAATTGACACTCCGTCATGGCGATATGCATTATTGTGTAGCCCCACGTTGAACACTGAAGTGTCATGGCGCTTTCCTTCAAGGTACCTAAACATAACTTTTTGAGCTTGTGATATATTCAAACTTGTGGATTTGGTTCGTGAAAGAAATATTCTCAGCTCTAATTCAGGTGTCTTCAGTTTTCAAATATCTTAGGCTCCGTCTATCGACAAGGTAACGTGGTGTTCAGTGCTGATGGCGATTGTGTAGTGAGTCCAGTGGGTAACAGAGCATCTGTTTTTGACCTTAAAAAGTAAGCTTTAGTATAACTTTTTAAAATCGTAAACATACAAATATTTTGTTTCATCAGTTTTGGCAGTGGTGTATAATTATTCTAATTACTTGCAGTGCCAAAACACTCTAGTTTTGTGATTAAAAAAAAACAGTGAATGGGGCTCTACTTAACAAATAGAGAAGCCTTGACTGTGCTCTGTCCTGTTGTAAAGCACGCAGGAAGTGGCTAGAGATGTAGTCGAGTGTTTCTCCCCACCTCTTGAGTAGGGAGAAGATTGCATGCACATAAAGATTGCTTGGAATGACAGAGCCATAAAACTTGGCTTCAGTGGCTGATGTGGCTTTGTGTTCAATGCATTAGAAAGGAAACCAGAGCAAGCTCTTAGTTGTTCACTCAAAGAGTGGCCAATGTAATTTCTGAGGCTTGCTTCACTGCAAAGAATGAAGGTGGTCATGATGAGCTAACTGCAATGCACCTCAGCATGATTAAAGTCGCTGTGACACTGGCATGATTAGTCTGAGTTTTTAGGTTACTTCCCACCTTAAGAGGCCAAAAAAATTGATTTTTCAGTCATTTGACTAACTGACTTCAAAGATTCAACCCAATGTTTCTATTAAAAATTTCTGAAATCTTTAAAAGCACCCAAGGTATTTAGAAAAACGTAGTTTCAAATGAAAGTTAATAAATTAAGAAGGTGTTATGATCTTGGACATAACAAATTCCCTGAGGGAATTTTCATGGCAACCACTCATGATGGGGCTCATTTTTTATGGTATTTTCATAGTTTGTTTACATTGCGCCCTTTACAAAATTCACATGAGGAAGCTCTTTGCTCATGGGAAGAATTCTGCTCATGGAAAAATCAAAAGCAGAAGAAAAAAAAAAGAAACGCCCAAAGAAGAAAGAAAGGGCATTATTCTGTCAAGAAAAGAAAGAAATTCCTTTGTCAAAGTGACTTGTACTGGCAGAGCTCCATGCTGGTGTCCAGATTTTGAACAAAGAAGTCACCATCAAACCAAAACTTGCCATATCTAATGTTAAAAACGAGTATCAAGTACCAGCCTTGATATGAAAACATTAACAATTGCCTCGAATCATAATTATGAAAGCTTTCAGTCGATTTGTTGTCTTGCCCCTCGGCACATTTTGTGGTTTTTCCATTTTGCCTTTGCCTTTGGCAACTTTGCTCATTATTGTGTCATCCTCCTCAATGCCCCTCTGAGAATTTGAGATTAAAAAATGTGCCTGCAATGGGTTAATTTTCCGGGAAATCTTGATCCATCGTCAATGATGCCAGGAGGTCCCTATTGGGTTATGGTTTCAGGAGGTGAGATAATGTCCTGGTGTGGTGCAGGTTGTTTGTGAACCTTTATGAGCTAAAATCTTGCATTTGATTTTGTGAGGAATACAACCACTTTGAGCAAATATTATGGGGTATATAGATTTGACTGATTTTTGTCAATTTTGTCAGAACATTCCAGGAATAATGACAAAGGAAAATATGTTGTGAAATTTTGATATTTATTTTGATATTTGTCCTAGGGTGTCCATTTATGCACTATGGCCCGCATATTTTTAGGTACTCCAACTTTAGATGCTGATATCTAGACAACCAATCAGAATATCAAAAAAGTCTGACACACTTTCATTGATTGATGCCATGTAAATAAGACTGTGCAGCCATTTTGCTTGTGCTACAGCATCCAATACCCGATAAATTCAATAGAAGAACCTGCGGTCATTTCATGCCTTACCAGCTCCTGACACTTCTGTAAAAGAAAATTCGCTTTAATTATATTTTTATCATAATCTGCAATTAATAAGCTTTCTCCTGATGTATAGAGCCAGTTTGGCTATATTTTTCATCATTCCTTTTTTGTTATGTATTGCGTTTTGAACACGTAGCTTTAAATACTTTAGGAGTGTTTTATTACCATACATAAGCTTGCTATCTAAATGAGTGAGAAAACCTTCGAAACTCAGACTGTCCATTTCATATATAATATCTAACTGAAATAGCAATTAACTTTTAAGTTGAAGAGGACTTCTAAACAGAGAACTGCACCTAGCCCAACTGTAGTAAACTGAGTTAAAAAGTGATAATATGCAAAAGAAGCTGGCTTTACAAGAAGACTGCAAAACTGTGTGGTGTGAGAAATGTATAAAAAAAGATGTAACTGACAAAGAAAAACATAACAAACTTACCAAAAAACATGAACAAGAAGCTATAAAAAATTAATGTATAAAAAAAGTAAATGCAACACAATGCAAAACAAATAATAAACGAGTGATTTAGATCTCATACTTAGTATTCGACAGCTGTGACTGGCATATTTCAAAGATGTGTGCCCCTTTTCAATGGTCATTGGGACCCTTACCTCAGGCATTTATATTCCTTCACTCCTGTTGATGTTGTTTTTGATGATGTAGCCTTCAGTGAATCACCTCTTTTTACCTGGCGTGGGTAATATTGGCTATCATAATCAGTCCATCTTGGTTACTGCAAAGCAAATGGTTTCTGGTGTTGTGAGTGTGATACAAAATGGCTGAGGTCTGTGTCTTAGCTAGTCAGATGTCTTTTACGCTGATTGATTTTGTCAGGCATATGTGCTCCAGTCTTGCAAATGTTAACCTTGCAGCATTCACAAGAATCTTGTAGTGCTGAGTCAATCTCTTTATGTTGATGTTGGCTTAGTCTCTGAATAGTGAAAGCATGTATGCCTTATTACTACAGGTAGGGGTCATGTTGTTTGAATAGCCCCTGGAATATTTAAAGCTGCAGTGGATTTGAACTCAGTGGTGGGCCTAGGGGTGTCTGTGTCTTCAGTTAATGTGAAATGCCTTGGTAGTGAGAGGACAGTGGCTATAGTTTCAAAGATTGTGTGATCTTGTTCCCTATAATTTGCTAGCTGCTGATGGTAAATATCATGTGTGTTGGGTAACTCAGCATAAAATATTACATATGAAAGGATACAAGATAATGGCTGAATAGATAGATTAATTACATGCAAAAGTGTTGATAAAAGTACACAATCAGGCTTTAAGGTGCACGAGTCTTGTGGTTCTTTGGTAAAAACAGTAGATTTTAGTAAGTTGTTTATGTTGAGGTTTGGTCCCCTAATTACATATGCAAGGTAAAAGAGGAGATCTTTGTAAAACCTCTCCTATCAAAATCAACAGTGATGTTGCCATGCAACAGCAAACTGCTGAAGGAAATGTCATTGAAATGTGCTAATCACAATTGCTAGATATAGCCAATCTGAGTGGAGCATGGTGCTTCATATGGTAATATAACCAGTAAACCCACCTCAAGAGGACAAGCAGTAATGCAGTTAAAGCACTATGATCCATTAAGGGTATCTCAGTCACTGCATCTCAAAGAAGTTTGGAGAAGTGGGAGAGACCTGACTCAAGCATTTTTTATATAGTATTTTCTTGATTAAACATCAGGGCCCCTGATACTTTTAGTGGTTCCCATGTGGCATTTTATTTAGGGGCAGCATTTATCCATGTGTAGCTTTTACTCCAAAATCAGACTGATATGCCTTTTCACCATTAACTTCAATAGCAACAGATCATGGACTCTTCCTTTTGAAAACCAGAAGAACATATCAAGAATTAGTTTGTCTCCAGATGGCAGGACAATTATTGCAGTTGATGAAGGTTTGTACATGTACAATATATAGAGAGTATACAGCTCTAAATTATGGCCTTTCCAAACAAGGTTTCCCCCCCCCCCCCTCTCTTCTCTGTTTTGATTTAAATGTAGTACTTTGTTGCTGTTATGAACTAAGTCCTTATCTCAAAACTAAGTTTCATGGTGGTTGTAAATATATCTTGACATGTATAGCTGCTGGTCAGTTAAATGCTCTTTTGAAAGACTTTTTCCACAAGGCAAGGCTTTAATTATAACCCATTTGAAACATGACATCTGCAAAAATGACAATGAGGGTTTCTATATTTAATTACAGATGGACGGTGTCTTCTAGCAAATATGAAATCAAAGACTGTTCTTCATCGTTGCAATTTCAAAAAGCCTGTTTTTGATCTGAAGTTCAGTCCATGTGGAAGGTGAGTACTAGGCTTGCAGAGGGAGCTAATGGGGTGTATGTTTGACGGAATTTTTATTCTGTAATACAAACTATGTGTTGTATATATTTTTGCACTAGTGTGGTTCTTACTATGCCTGAAAACTGGCCAAAATCCACCAACCCTAAGAAACAGGCAAGTGGTGTCTAAAGGTATCAGAAATTCTGCCTTCACTGGCTCATTGGACCACCATGTGTGTTCACAATTAAAATCATTCATGTAGATGCCTATGGTAGTGGTTGTCTTCTTAGATACAACTTTCTTCAGTTGTATCATACTCTTGGTTGTCATTTTGTAAAATTTAAGGGAAAGTTACTCGAGGAAGCTGTTGAGGGTCTTGGTCTCTTCAAGTTTTTATTTTTTCATATAAAATTGTATGACTCTCCCTGACTGTCACAGTTTGTTCAATAATGGGTTGACCAATAACACCAAAGTAGTGCATGATCATATAATTAAATAAAAACATGAATGAAGCCTTTAAGACTCAAGTAGCTCCTGTTTGTGAACCATCACACTTTGCGGGGTTGGATATGGAGCTGTCCATGAATTTTGTGTGGTAAAGTGAAGTGGTACCTGGACTACACTTGAATAATTCAAGATGGATGTGTACAGTTATTGGTGGTTTAAGTGATTATTAGCTCTTACAGAATCTGATTGATATGTCACCCTTCAATCAATCATTGCAAAAAGACTAAAAAGGAAATCTAGTCTTTACAAATTGGTGGTGGATCTTTTTTTTCTAGGTTTATTGCAGTAACACATGGGAAGCATATTAAAGTGTGGCATGCTCCAGACCAAAGTAAAGAGTTTGCACCCTTCTCTATCCATCAAACCTACACAGGGCTTTATGATGATGCTGTTTGTATTGACTGGGCATCAGACTCAAGGTACTGTCACTAGTTTCAGGTCTATTTGCAAATAATAGTTCTTTTGATGAGTGTATTTATTTATAATTTAAAGACATTCAGGTATTACAATTCTATCCAGTCACCAGTTACTGACCTCAGTAACAGTGCTAACTTTCCTAAGTTATGAAAGAAAAGCAGTTACTTTTGTTCCAAAGAAATGTTACACTTTGATAACTGGAAGTGAATTTTGAACAGTGGTGACAGCCAAAAGTCAAAAGTAGTTCAGTACCTATATTACTGTACATGTGTCAATCACATGGGAGTGTAGTTTTTGGAATTGATCGATACAAATCATGGGGTAGACATTTTCAATTTTCCCTTTTTTTTTCTTATTTTCCTTTTTATTTATTTGTTTTTTGTTTATTCACTTGTAGACTTCAGGGGTGAATGTCACAAACATTACTGTTAGACATCACACTGCATTTCATTTGTCAGACTTTATGTTTCATAGCCCCGAACATCTACATATTTAGAGCCAGTCAAAATCTCCTGATGGCACTTACTTTTTGGGGTTCCAAGTAAGAATTTCAGCTAAAATGCATTAGAAAAGTACTTCTAAAATGACTTAGACAGTAGAAAAAGAAGAAGTTGTTTGTAATTCTTTGTCTATGTTAATTATTGAATTAATTATTGTTTTATGAAGTGTTCAGTTAATTTTTACCATTCTAGGTTCAGGTTCCTGAAGAGTAAATTATTAGCTAAAAGCTGTAAAGTTTTTAATTAATTTGCCACAAACAGCTCTTTAATCAGATCAAAAACAGGCTTTTTGAAATTGCAACGATGAAGAACATTCTTTGATTTCAAATTTGCTAGAAGACACCTTCCATCTATAATTAAATATAGAAACCCTCATTGTCACTTTTGCAGATGTCATGTTTCAAATGGGTTATAATTAGAGCCTTGCCTTGTTAGCCCTTCGTCAGAGTTGAGAAGCGATTGTATCAATTAAGTTTTCATTTTGTTGATAGGTTTTTTGTGGTTGGCAGTAGAGACATGACAGGTCGCATCTTTTCATTATTCCCTGTGAAGAATTTTGTTCCAGTGACCCTGTCAGGACACAGAAATACTGTAATAGGCTGTTATTTTGAGGACAAATCATTAAATGTATCCTTTCTACCTACTCCACTACAGAATTTATGTTTGGAAAAATACACAGTAATATACTCTAAAAAGTGCATTAGATGAATGAATTTAAGGTGTTTGGCAATATCCAGTGCCAACCTTTGTGTAGCATGGCCCTGACTTAATCTAAAGGAAACAGACAGTTGAAAATGTAATTTTTTCTTGGGTGTATTTCGCAATTTGATAGGTGTGCAAAAACTGATGGAGTACCCTTAGAGTTCTTGGCAATAAGTGATTCACAAAAGATGAAATATGCTTTTAATGATTATCTTTATTTTTATCAAAATTAAAATACTTTTTAAAAAAAATTTGGATGAATAGTGTCATAGGTTTAGCTTTCTCGTAGCATGTTTCACCCACTGGTACCCCCTGTAAATGAAAAGGCTCAAGGGGAATCAGTGGAGGCAAGGAGAAGAATGAAACAAGTTTTGTTGAGAGAGAGGGTGGAGCTTTGTTTGACATGAATGGATTATCAAGTGTTTATTTGCCCCTTGAGATGCTTTCCTGGTGATGCTGAGAGCAAAACCAGAGAAAAACCAGTGGTTTCAAGTATAAAAGAAATGTTTTGTCTAACCATTTCTCATGCTCAAGCCCTTGTGGTCTTTTTTCTTAAGTTTCCTTATAATTTGTGAAATTCATCAGATGAAACAACAGTGAGGTAGAATAAACTAGAGAAATCCTTTATGGAAATATTCCTGACAACATTTTTTAAAGATAACTTGTCAAAATCAAGAAACTTGCTTACTTTTGGTTCTGAATACTCTCCATGGCTCTCCATGTCTCTCCATGTGCCTGTGAGTGGTTAAAGTATATTAGGGAATATGATATTTAAAGGTTGGTACTTGACATGATTAAACAAGACATACACAGTGAGTCGTGATGGGGCCCTATTATGTTGGAAGTGCCAGGGAAGCCTCAAGGATTCACAAGTTTCTTCCAGTGAAACAGATTCCAAACAAGGTAACAACTAGTCTATCCCTATTTCTAGTTGTTATTAAGCAGTATGGTAATCCTGACACCTTTAAAAGGAAACTTGAGAAACTTTCAGTAAATGTTTCATTGGGGAAGTCAACCTTAAAAAAGCGCTTGGCTTGATTTTGAACCATGTTGGGGTCCTGTGGGAATTTGTTGCACTGATTGGTAAATTTGAAACAGCCTGCGTGCTTCAAATTCCTACAGAAAGCTATGTTCATGATTTCAGCATCAATTTTATTGGAAAATGTTGAAGGGATGGAGCTCAAATTCAGGGAAGAGATAGACCAACATCTCATTGATCAACAGTCATTGCCACATAGTAGAGAATTTCAGTAGTTTGGCATTGATTCCAGTTTGAAGTGGAGGAGGTCCTTGCTGATGGTCATCCTCGAGGATGGTCCTTGCTGATGGTCTCCCATGTCTCTCTTAATGGCCTCTGGCCAGAAGTAATTTTGTAAGAACTTCAAATGGCTCATGAAGGCTTAAAAATATAACACATGAGTTGATTAACATTTGTTTTAACTTTATTAAGGTATTCAGACCGAGATGTAATTTAGATATGCAATCCTCAGGGCTTTATTTATAGCCCTCAGACATTTTGTTTGTCTCAACAATTTTTAACTACAAACATATAGTATGGTCTGCCTGTGGGGACATTGAAAATCCATGTACTTCTCATAAAGAGTAGGGAACTAAGCTCCTGGTGTTGTGGTCTGGCCCTGTTTCCCACAATTCCTAAATTGGGGGCACCTTCAAAATTCCCTTTTAAAAAAAAGATGTAAACTGCTCAATGAATTTTGGCTTCAGTCCCTTGAAAAGTACTGTAAAGCGCATTAGAACATGTTCATATAGAGAATGCACTATACAAACTCATTATTTTCAGAGATAACAATTAATCTGTTTAATTTTGAATTTTTATCTCGATCCAAAATTAATCACATACACATGAGTGTGGTGATATTTTCACACTTGAAGGTCATAATTACTTTTCATCATAATGTTTGTTTATCTCATCAGTGTTTTCTTATCCTATGCAATTCAAATGTTAAGCTATTATAGGGTGCTCTAGTTAGGTGACTAGACTCATATTTTTTGATCAACCATCATATCATCAATCTAATTAGTGTTTATGATTATATAACTTAGCAGATGATACATAGTTTTCCCTCTGTTTTTGCAGTTGATGAAATTTCTCTTCACTGGAAGAAGAAGGCTAAGTAAGTAAGAACCCACATTAAATAACTATTTCCTCTTTTTTAAGTACAATGCAAATTTGGAGATCAACTGTGTGTCTTTACCCTCACATATTTAGGATCTGTGGTTAGTGGGTTTGTTTGTTAACTTTGTGGGTTCATTTGGTCTCTAAGAAACCTTCAGCCACATGGTCTTAAAGAAGGGTGCTAAATTACATGTATTTATTTTTGCTAAGCATAGCTGGCCCCTATCATGAAAGTGATTATTTAAAGGCAGAATTATACTCCTAATTTTGTGTAAATGCCTAATGGGAAAATCAAATGCCTCAGCCAACCTTAAAAGATTGAAAGTAAGCTCAGTGTTCTCTAGGTGAAAAGCAATTTACTGTCATGTAAGTGAATACCAATTTTCTAATCTTGGGCATACAGAGTCATCAGATCCTCCAAAGAGGTCAAAAATCAGTTTTTTTTTTTTTCAGGTGTTGTGTTCTCAGTTTTTTTTTTGGTTACACTTGAATAGTCTCTGAGAGGCTTGATGGGTAACACGCGAGACAAATTGCTATAGTCTAACATATTGTGGTACAATGTGTGACCATTGCCCATTGTACTGTAAGGGAGTTAACCTCCTGTTTCCCTCTCTCAAATTACTTTTTAGTTTTCTCTGGACTTCCTTTTTCTTCAGAGTGAGTTTTGTGTAGAGTTCAACATTGTATAAAGGGGAGGAGCTGTTTCTAAATTAAATGAGAACTTTTTTAATCAAATGAAAGGACTTTGTCAACAACCTTATTACTATCAAAGTTCCAGATACCTTTGTTATTTATTTCTTGAAACCACACCATTAGAAGGGGTTTAGTTTCTGTGTAGGGAAGAAGTGTTTTAGCAATCATACTCTGCTATTTTGCCTCATACATGCCTTTGAAAACCTCTGTTTTCTACTTTTAGATCATATTGAGCAATTTCTTTGCTCCTAGGGAATTAGAATACAATACATGTTATGTTTATAGATAGGTGGGCCTTCCTTAGTAGGGATAAAATGATAAGCTTAATATGTAAAATGTACTTCATTGCATTATTTTATTGATTATAGGCACTACTACAATCAAGGCAGCTCTGCTGAACTGACAACAACTGCATTTCACAAGGCCTCCCAGCTCCTAATAACTGGATTTCACACTGGCCTGTTCACACTGCATGAATTACCAGACTTCATTCTTATCCACACCCTAAGGTATCATGTTTCATATATTTAGCTAATGAAATTTGTATGCAGCCAATGAATTTATTGAAAGTCTGGTTCAGTTGTGTTTTATTTTCATAACACATTTGAATTATGAATTAGGCATTAAATAGTGTTTTGTGCAAGTCTGTCTGGAAATTTTCATTGTGAGGTGTTAAGGCTTTAGTAGTTCTGCCACCAGTGTAAGCGTCTTTTACCATCTCTAGATTAACACAGTCATCTTTCCAAGAAAAGATGACTTTTTCAAGGTGGAAAACTTTCCTTAATCATGAAAGTGAGGATTTTCTCTGTTTAATGTCACCAACTTATTTTCACAGCATTTCACAACAGGCTATTGAAACAGTGGCTGTCAATAGTAGTGGTGAATGGCTTGCCTTTGGATGTAGTAACATGGGTCAGTTGTTGGTTTGGGAATGGCAAAGTGAAACATACATACTAAAACAGCAAGGTCACTACCATAATATGAACACCATGTGTTACTCTCAAGATGGACACTTTGTTGCAACTGGAGGTGATGATGGCAAGGTTGGTCCTTTCCTTTTTCAATCATTTTAAATTTATGTAGTACAAGCTGAGAATTTAGATTGGTTATCTGTGCTTCTGCCTGGAAGTATAGGGCATCAACCTGAGGGTTCCATTCATAGGCAGTTATATACAGTTGATGATTTTCTCAGGCTTCTGGAGTGTACATGTATGCCCTTCCATTTCCATTTTCTTCACTTAATGCTTTTGTCTATATAGCTTTGTTGTGTCCTTTCCCATAGGTCTTCATTTGGAATGACCTCTGGCCATTGAATTTTCAGAATCTTTCATAAACACTTATCAGATACTTATCTGAAATTTCTTGGTCAGTAGTTTTGCCTGTCTCCACTTGTCCAAGCATTGTAAAGGACAGGTCTTTATTGAAAATACTGAGCTTTGTTCAAAATCTGATGACTTGCACAAGCAATGTGAATTGCAGTTGTGCTCTCCTTCTTTTGATGGATGTGTCCTTGTCAGTTCCATCAGTTTCTCAGATGACAGCCCCAAATATGTGAACTTGGACCGTCTGTCAACAGCTTTCCCATGATGTTCCAAAGATTCCTGTTGTCTTGCACCCAGTTCCATCTCCATTTTATTCCGGGTGTTGATTTTGAGCCCCACCTGTTCTCCAGTCTTCTGTAATCTTTCTTTTTTCACTTTAGAGCATTCTGCTGGTGTGTTAGCAAGGATAATTGGTAGAATCCTAGACTTCCAGGGGTTGGGTCAATGTCCACTGGAGTTCCTTTATTTTGAATTCATAACACCTCTTTACTGTCCAGTGGTTTGATTGAGTACTTGTGGACCTGGTATCATGAAATGCTAAGAAAATCAAATCACATGAAATTTGTCACTGTTTCTTTTGCTATCAGGCTAGGCTGTCTGTAAGTTTGTTCTTACTACTCTTAACTGGCTCTCAGCTAGAGGCATATTCAGACCCTCGCTTTATGTCAGATCATGTCTCCGGCCTGTAAACAGTGGTAGTGTTTCCATAGGTTTTTAATCATTTGTTTGTTTCCAATTTTAGGTTAAATTGTGGAACATGATGTCAGGTTTCTGTTTTGTAACATTTAACGAACACAGCTGTGCTGTTACAGGTGTTGTATTTACACCTAGTAGTCAAGTACTGTTTAGTTGCTCCTTGGATGGCACTGTCAGAGCATTTGATCTCAATAGGTACACTTTAAATCACTCTTTATGATAATTTTTTTGGACACAATTTGTTAAAAGTTAAATGCAAGGGAAATACATGTTTAAGATGTGTATACATTTACATTGTAAAATATGATTGTATAATTCATCAGTAATTGTACACCAGAGATGTCAGTTTCACAGGGTTGTAAGCTGGAAAAGCAACTTCCCTCTCAACCAGGCCTGATAATGCCAGGTTCCCTCCACATTCATGATTTGATTTTGACCCCTCCTCCTCTTCAATCTTTAGAGGTACATACAAGAGTTTATTTTACCTTTTTTGTCCTGTCTCATTGATGACATGGTTACCTACTCAGCCATCAATAGTTCCTTTGTTATTGGTACTGTCACTTTCAAACAAAATCAAATGCTTCTAATATAATCACAGTGACTTTTTCTTTCACAAAAGCTAACTATACATCCCCCTTTATTTATGAAGAGGCTACAACAATTTGGTGTTGAATCAAACAAATGTATAATATACAATTGATCTTAGGAAAACAACCAAGTTATGTAATCTAGTAAATTATGAAGGGTTGACCACACATACACATTCATTGCCAAATTGTTAACTCTTTTCCTTCTTCCTCTGGCGTTGTTTCTCTTAACTCTCCACTGGTGTTTGAAAACATTTAGATTTTAATGCAATTCTGTCTACCGTCCAGACTTAAACACCTACAAATGCAGATGGAAGGAAATGAACATTGCCTTTTTTTTCATTGTCAAAATTAAGCCTCATTTTCATTTGTCTACACAAGAAATGGAACCAACATTGATATTTTCCAGAACAGTAAATTATTTTGAAAGGAACTATTTTCATGGGCCTTTTCAGGCATTTCATTGTGGATGATAAGCAATGTAAATAAATAAAAAAGGGAGTATTTTCAAACAAAAATGCACAAGTGTGGATGTGGCTCAACACCTAATTTGATGAATGTGTTGGAAAATTATGACAAGATTTTTTCTAAGAGAGGAAACATTCATTTTTCCTTCCAGATACCGAAACTTCCGTACATTTACTTCACCCCAAGCAGTTCAATTTTCATGTGTGACTGTTGACAGTAGTGGGGAAGTTGTCTGTGCTGGATCTCTTGACACATTTGAGATTTTTGTTTGGAGTGTTAAGACTGCACGTCTTACTGAGGTATGTTACTGGCTAATCAATGTACAAATGATATAAGTTAAGAGGTCTGATGTCATTAAAAATGAGCATACTATTAGATATTATGATTTTGAGTCCTATTTTAAAAGACATGATGTGTTTGTTGTTTTCCACACTCTGAATAGGAATAACATGCACTCTGAATTGATCGAACTTATTTTCACAAGGCTGGAGGTTTGAAACTTAACATGGTATTTGACATGAGGACACATCTCTAAATTGAAGTGGTAGAAAAGTGAAATGTTGCAAGTGTTTTAGTTCTTTGTGTTTCCTCTTAAATGTAGTCATGTTTAACAATGTAAATTGGTTATACCTTGAAAGGTGCTTTCTGGACATGAGGGACCTATTTCTGGACTAGTATTCAGCCCATTGCAACCACTACTTATATCAGGATCCTGGGACAAAACCGTTAGGCTCTGGAATATGTTTGATAGTAAACTTTCATGGGAAACCCTTAGTGTGGAATCTGATGGTTAGTAATAAATTAGTAAGTACTAAAAAACTATGATTTTCACAGATTTACGTGTGTGTTAGTTGTTGGGCAATTTAGAGTCACTGTGACAAGTATTCAAACCATATTTACCTGACATGATTAGAAAACTCCACCTTAGGTTACTTGAACAAATCAGGGCAAAAAAATTAATGTAATTATCCAAAGAAGAAGTTCTATGTGAATCATCTTCTAGAAAAACTGTGGAAAAGAAGAGTTTTCCAATCAACTATACATCATGCAAAAGAATGCTTCAATTTTTACAGAGGAAAGAGTTTTTTTTTCACTTCTAGTCAGTGTTGGGCTTATAATTAGGAGCTGTCTATTTGGTCTTGTAAACAGTTTCATCAGTGTGTGTGAGTCCTGATGGCACTCAGGTGGCTGTTGCATCGTTGGATTGCCGCATCACATTTTTTGACATAAGAGCGGGAGTTGAAGTAGGAACAGTAGAAGGGCGTAGGGACCTTGCCCTCGGAAGAAAACCTTCAGATAAGATTACAGCAAAATCAATGGCCTCTTCAAAGTAATAAGCACTGAACAGTTTGTATTATTTTTTATTCAAGACTGTGTGTATTTCTTCTTGTAATGATTCTGCAAAAGGTTGAAATATCAGTGAAGCAGGTTTTCAGTGCCTGAAGTCTCTTTGAATATCAGTGTTAATCAAGGGTTAAACCAGGGAGAATGAATATTGCCAGAATAGAAGACGTTAAAGAAAAAAACAATAGCAATTGCAAAATGTGATTGAATCTTTGGGATCTGCTTCAACTCAGTTGATAAATTATTATAAGTAATTTTGAGTGCAATTAGTTGTTAATAGGCATAAGTAAGTTTTTCAAAGACAACAAAATTGCATGAGCCCGGAGGGTGAGTGAAATTTTTAGTCTTTGAAAAATTTACAAGTGCTTATTGCACCAAATTGCAAGATAAATCATGTTATTACTTGCTAATAATGTACAAGAAAAACACATTACAGCAAGGCAAGACAGACAAAATTTTGAAAGCATGTGCATGCTATTTATAATTTGCACGTGTTACAACTTTGCACTTGTGTTACATGAGAATGCACTTGTTTTCAGCCAATAAGAAGCATATAATTTTTTCATTTACATTATTATAGATAAAACCACTCCAGTATGTAATATTAGCATAAAAAATTGGTGCCAAAATTTTTGTTTTGTGGGAAGTTTGTCTGTAAAAAGAAATCAAATAGCTGCCTGAAAAGAAAATGGTGGGGAATTCACAACACCAAGCAGTGTTCTTAAAAATATTAACTTCAGTGTTAAAACAAGAAAACTATGACTTGGATTGATTAGAAACTTCATGTTGATGTGCTTGCATACACAGCTTAAGCATAGAATGCATAGAATAATGTAGTCAGTAGAATAGTTATGCTGAAGAATATAGAGGCATTAACATCTGGGAGATGTAAGTTTTAAACCACACAGTATGATGAAGTCATTTGTGAAGTTGAGCAGTATTTTAATCAGTAATTTCATGGCCATTCACACTAGATACTTTACCAGTTTAAGCTACAGTGCTGATGGAAAATGTGTCCTAGCGGGTGGCAGATCTAAGCGTGTCTGTCTATATCATGTCAGTCAAAAGGTTAGTACATGACTTGTATAGCTTTTCCTTGATGATCATTGCTTTAATTTGCTTTTCACATATTTTGACATCTTTGAAAATAATTTTTCATATTTTGGTTTGCTATTTACATAGCTGTTTTAAATGAATTGTTAATAGTTTGGTCAATTAGAGATTATTCTTCAGCTCAGGCTCACTGACACATTTCTATTTTTTAGAGTTAGAGAAAAAATCTCATTGAGCATCGCTTTCAAAAACTATGCAAATTAAGACAGATTCTTTTTGAACAAATTTATCAGAGCTGTATTAATGATAATTATGCCATAAAGAGACTTCTAGTAAAGTAGTTTCCATTCTAGCAAACCTTTTTCAAAAAATTAATGAATAGCTACATATATGTTGAGAGTGAAGAAATTTTGGTCATTTGTAAACAGGATTGTGACACTTGATCAACTTTACTAGAATATGGGGATGGTTTTGGGTCATCATACATGACTTCACCTTTTTATTCAGTTTGAAGGATTAAACACTTTAAGGGTGAAACATTTACAATTCCATACTTTACTTTGTAACAGATGTTGATAAAACAATTTGACATATCTGGGAACCTCTCTTTGGATGGCATGAAGGTAAAAACTAAACCATGTTAGATTAAGAGCCATGTTATTCTCTAGCTATGCAGAGGTTTTTATTAGGTTTTAGAGCTGGGCCGGGTATCTGTATTTGGCACTCAGGCACAGCTTACCCATGGCTTGAACAGCCTTGCCCCTGCTAAGTGGTGTGCAGGTGTGATTCTCTTTAACTGCTCCACCCCCCTACATGTTGAAGTTGAGTCTAACATTCTTCATTTTTCAAGGATTTCTCGTTTCTCTAGATGATTGAATCATGATTTTGGGCATCAACCAAAAGATAAATTCGTTTTCTAATGAATATTCATATATTTTTTTACGAAATCTTTTTAGTTCATGTATATTTTATTTTTGAGAGAATGCATGGGAAAAACATGGGATAGTTCCTTAATAGTTTATGTGGTTGCCAACTTTTAAGAAGCCAGTAGTCATTGTGCTATAGGGCTTGTGTATAAGTATTTTAACTTGTGAGTCTGTGACTTTTCAGAATCTTTCATATTCCTGCTCAGTGCTTTTAGCTAAGGTGAATGAAAATGGAGATTGCTTAAAACAATAGGGTAAAAGACAGCGTGGAAAAAGTGTTTTCCCTCCCTAATACCTCTTACTCAGACCTCTGATCAGTTGAGCTGGTCTTGAGGTGACCAATTCTTTTAATGCTCTTTTAAAGACAGAGCCTAAAATTGGCATCCAAAATCATTTAGAAATATGCACAAGGCTAGAAACAAGTGGTGTAAAGCTTACTTCCAGTAAGCAAGCAAGTACATTTTTGGGGTATTATGAAATCAATTTTGGCACAAAGTCTGAAATTTTGAGGCGTGAAGCATGGATTGGTTAGGGAGTAAATGGGCTGAACTTTGCCTCTACTGTTCTTGTAGTTAAAAGCATTGAAATGTCACAAGTTTGTCATAAATAAAATGAATATTACTCTCTCCTACAATCAACATGAGTTTGTTGGAGATATCAAATCGGATTTGCTGCATGTCTGTCTTTTCAGGAGTTTCTCCATGGTGGTAACATGACGGAAGCAGGACCCATAGGCCTAATTGATGATACAAGTGATAATGATCTAACCCCAACTCTTCCGGGTGTTTTGAAAGGTAACTTTTCTAAATGCGTAAGACCAGTAGTAGTTCATGCCACGACCATCATCTCCATGTGGGTTTCAGGCAATTTGTTTTTCGTTATCCATACTGATGATGTACATGACTAATAAGGAACACGAGGTCCTTTGATTTCTTGGGATATCAAATTCAGATGTCAATGCAGTTTAAACATAAGTTAGCGCGGAATCAGAGGAAGGAATAGAAACCATACGCGGATTTTACGAGGCCTTTTACAAGGGAGAAACCTCTATGTCAAAAACAAGCTTCGAAGAGAACATCAGACACTCCAAGTTGCTATCCCTATGACCTAGTTGAAAGAATCCTCACAGAGGTTGATTTCACTAAGAGGAAAACAACACTTCAGGAGAAAAACAAAGCGCGACTAACCACATTTCATTTTGTTGCACAATTTAACCCACCCACCAACACACTTATCTACACACTACGTATAATCTGTGTTGTTTGAATGCAAAAATATGGTATTGTAAACGCTATTTCAAGGACATAGCTTCCTAATACATACCTGAAACGATGGTAAATAATTGTGACTTTTCTTTTCTAATTAATGTTCTGCTGGAGTAACGCCTCAGCAGTTAGGCCTCGGAATTTACATCAAGAACTTGGTGTTTCACGCTACATACTTGTTGAAGAGTTTTCAATAAAGTTTCTGTCTTATTTTCAGGTGATATGAGCTCTCGCAGGTTTCAGCCAGAGGTCAGAGTGAACTCACTGCAGTTTTCACCCACAGGTACTGTACCTGCACATGTTGTTTTTTTGGTATGCCTTTTACGTAGGAATCGTGTTTGTAATCTGATTTGCATAACCTGTCAGCGAGAATTTAAGTCATTGTGCAGAGTTAACATGACTGCATGTTGATCAGTATTTATTTTAGAGTTACATTCCGTAGACTAAAAAGCAGAGCTGAATGGTACCAAATACTCAACTCCAAAATGTAAACCTACTAATGTGGCAGAAAAAAGACACTGTTAGATACCATGTCGAACATTGTCAGCAAGAATAATACCAAAGGCATGCATCGAGCAGTAACAAAATTGCTTTGTGTGAGCCTGGACAGGGCAATCACTGTGGGATGCAGGGGAAGAAAAGTAACGTAGTTACCTTATCAGTCAGCCTTTTGAAATAAACAAATGATTATAAAAATCACATCAATATGACCACCATTGTGACGATGTGATATGAATAGGATGATCATATTAACGAGTTTTAATTATATTTAGGTAATGCTTTGAAGAAAAATCCAAACCTTGACATCTATAAACTTGACAAAATTTTGTTTCACTTGAACAGCAAGTGGCCAAAAAATATTTGTGGTCTGTCAGCAACACAAATGGGTTGAAAACACCCTTTTTATTTCTACCAAATTACCAAACTGTAGTCTCCATTCTTGCTGTACCACAAACTTAACTTTGCTCTCTCACAACGTCACTTCACACCTTTTTTCCCAAATGCACCTGTTTTACGGCCCAACTTATCATAACCGTTGATTTGTTTATCAAGACTTACTGAATTTTATGCTTCCACCATATTTTCTCTGTTTGCAATGTAGGCCAGTCGTGGGCTGCAGCTAGTTCTGAAGGGCTAGTGGTATATTCTCTAGAATCTCATGATGTGTTTGATCCATTTCAACTCGAATGCAATGTCACCTCCGAGAGGATCTGTCAAGCTAGTAGTAACAAAGAACATACAAAGGCCTTAATATTGAGCCTGAGACTGAATGAACCAGAACTCATTTGTCAAGTTATGGAGGCAGTTGAACCTTGTGACAGTAAGTTTTAATGATTTCAGTATGGTGTCATTCTTATCCCCCATAAGGTTGATGAAAAAAGGATAACTAGATAGCATTGATTAGAAATTCTCAAGACAAGAAAGTTTGTTAAGATTTACTTTGTGGTTTCTTAAAGTTAGTTGCACCCTGTGAGTTCTTTAGTATTACTAGTAGGTACGTGTTGATGACAACTTTGTTTATTTTAATAAAATATGTGCTTATTGTTCATCGTGGTGTAAGATAGGAGATGAACTTTGTTCGTTTGTCTCACGATAGGGTCACTTATGATGTAGATCGCGACGTTTCAACCGCAATACAGCTAGTCTTCATCAGGCTGTATTGCAGTCGAAACGTCGCGATCTACATCATAAGTGACTATCGTGAGACAAACGAACAAAATTCATCTCCTAACTTCGTTTATCTTTGTTCAACATATAGTTCCACTGGTAACACATTCCCTAAAGGAGCCCTTTATCGAACGACTGATGCAGTTTATTGTTTTGCAATTGGAGGAGTCGCGCCACCTTCACTTCTATCTTTTATGGTGTCATTATATGTTAACTGTACACGGGCAACAACTGAAATCACAGACTAGTGGACAATCTGTTTTGTTGCGCAGCCTACAAAAGAGTCTCGTGAGACAACAACAAGACCTTAACAGGATGTAAGTATCTTAAGCTCTCCTACTTAACAACTTTGACTAATTCTGTTGTTTTGCCTAGTCCCGAGAATTGCAAAGGCTTTTCTTTTCTTTATTCACATACTTATGATTTAACCGTGATGCTTGCTCTATCACTTTGTAGTTTTAGGAAAAATTACAATTTGTTCACATTCGTTGTTCATAACATTTTTAGCGTACTGAATCGCTTTGATAGTTGGGATATAGAGACAGTCGTAATCTTCTGTTGTTCTTTTATTCTTTTTTTTAACACTTAGTTGGGGTTTTAAGACCAGTTTAACAAGAGTATCATCGATAGCAACCAACCCTTTATTAGGCCAACCTCTGGGCTGCCTCCTGGTCCTACCATTGACGTAGAATTAACGTTAAAATTTAACATTAAGCACAAAAAACGCATTTTCAATCATAATTGAATTTTAAATTTATAGCGTTTTTTTTACCTTGTCCGGTGAATAGAAATGCAAAACAAAGGAAAAAAAAGAAAAGACTCTTTGAAAGAAAATGCGAAGAAAATGCGAAGTTCCAGTCCAGTCTTTGCAAAGTTTTTGTGCATGTGTGTGTCTTCCATTACTTCACATATTTTACTCTTAAGTCTCTACTCATTTATAAAATGTTTCGATGAGATGTCTCATAGAGATGTCCGATTTTCTCTTGCAGATCATCCAGTAACACTTACGCCCTCAGCTACATAAAAGCCTTTGGCGACATGCTAAAGTCTGATAATACCATTGATCGAACCCTGGAAGTACCTTTGATCCTTGTGGGTAATGAAGAGAAGAGACTGAACGAGAATGATCTTCATCAATCCTTCAAACACAAACCATCTTAAAATAATAAAAAGCACACACCTTAATTGCCTTTTTTTTGTTTGTTTTTTTTGTTATTGTTCATTTTTTGTTTTCCTCGTTTGTTTGTGTTTTTTTGTTGTTGTTGTTCTTGTGTGTGTCGGCGATGCTGAACAATAGAGCATCAGATAATGTATTTTATTTGCTTTGATTTCATTCATCGGTTGGTTTTTCCAAAACTTTTTAAGTTAGAAGTACTACCTTTGGATAACGGCTCGGAGTCTTACCTCAAGAGACTATCGGTTACCTTACGAAGGTCACTTAAACTCTGATTTTTTAACCTTAGATTGAATACCAGCAACCAGAGAAATTCGTTCAGTGTTATCGACCTTGATTCTCATGTTCTTAGATTCGTGTACTCATTTCTAGGAAGTATTAAAGGAATCTCTCAATTGATGTAAACTCTATAGGGTCCAATAGTACCAGCCGGCTTCCATGTGGAATATTTTCCTCTCAATAACCATTCTTTGAAACCAGTACTGATCTTTTCGTTATCGATCGAAAGCTGTCCACCAATAAATGCTGCGACGTCACTCTTATATCGCTTTGGCGATATCGCGCTTGAAAATTCATTAGCTTTTATCTTGTGTTTTTATCAAGAAAATACTTCTAGCTGACAGGCTGTTTCTGGTTCTTGTTCTTCTCTTTCCTTCGTCTGAACATCCAGGCTTGAGGTTTTCTGCACTTTTTGGGCTTAATCCACTCTAGCTTTTGCTCAAAAACCAGAAAGATAGTTTAAAAGTTATTTCCAAATCTGGAAGAGGGCTTTTGTGCCAAAGATGCGTGCATCTTAAAGCAATTAATGAAAGATACAAATTGGATACTCTTAAAACGTCAAGATGGTCGAGCGAAATGAGGGCGTTGTATGTTTGGATACCAATTATACATGCAAAAAAAATTAAAGCCTTCCAGGATAGTTATAGTTAATATAAACTTTTTACATTTGAGATTTATTCGTGCCTCCCTTTGCTGATAACCCTGTACTGTGATAAAGCAATCTGATATCCACCCACCAACGTCTCTGCACCAACGTCAGAAAAGAGTGAGACACAGCGCTCAGATCGATCTCACTCTCCTAGAATTTAAATAATGTACCCGAGATGCACACTCTCTGAAGCCGGCGTTATAGGAAAGGGGCTCTCTGCGTTTTTGTTTTGACAGTTCAGGTACAAGTCCTAGTGGCTCAAAATGCAGTTAAAGACTGACAACACAGTTCCCAGACATTCTCCCTCGCCCAGCTTTTACCTAGCACTGAAAAAGGATCCCAACTATTTACTGGCTGACAGTCCTGTTCCCACAAGGGTAACCGTCATGACAAAGTCTCTCGTTTCCCCCTCAAAAATTGGTTGCCAGTGGACAATGTACCTAGCGGCCCAGCCCGCTATTCCGTCATCACGCTCATATTTCACCGTATTCTCTTGTGATCCAGGAGGCCAACCGGCCAAATAAGGAAAAATGTTCTTTCAATAACGCTACGCAAAAATGCGTTTAGAAGCTCAGGAAAATCTCCTGAAAAGAGAATATCAGACTTTGAAGTTGGAGTTGGAGTTGCTCGAGGTTGTCACGTTTTTAAAGGGCCCTGGGTAGAGTGAGACCATTACCATAGCAACAGACCGGATTTCCCATGGTAGCCATAGTTTACGTGAGAAGCTAGGAAAGTTTTTAGGAAAGTTTGTAGAAAGCGTTTCTGCATTTCAGCTTCATCATGTGAAACCAAGCTTCAAAGAGGAATTTCATCCGAAAGAGTGATACGAGGTACGGTTTTTCTTTCAAAGAGGGCTGTATTAGACTAAGATTTTCCTTCGTTTCGGTTCAAGTTGGAAACGATCACGGTAAACAAAGCTCTAGCAATCTACAAGAACAATGGGGACTGTCGCATGAAAAGGGTTACAATCGTCTGGCGCAACCTAAGATCAGCTCAAATTTGTTGAAAATGTTTGTTAGATAAGACGCTTGAACTGTAAACACGATCTGCAGATAAACGTAGGCAAAAAATGTGATATCGCTTCATTTAATGGCAGGTACACGCGATTTATGAAAGCTCTTCATCTGGTTACTCAGCTGAAAATTGCAAAACCGTGAAGGATCATTGAAGGATCCTGCGCAATCCAGGGCACACTCTAGTCGGGTTATCAGATATCCTGGACTCAACTTCGAGAAATATAGAAATACTGGGGGAATATACGAAATATTCGCCCTCCAAGAGGATGCAAACAATTTTTTTGGCGCGCTTTTGAGAAAGGTTTTTTGGCAAGGAAATGCGTAACACTTTTCAAGTAAACGTTGGTTTACACCAAGTAAACAGAAGTTCGCGATAGATATTGGTTGACAAAAATCCGACGGATTCAGGGGTGATTTATTATTCCACTGTCATCAATATCATCCTCTAGTATTGTAACTTTTTGTTTACAAAACACTTCCTATGGCCTTATCTGAGTATCTTACCATGCACATTCCTTTCACGTTTTTTGACTCTGGTATGATTTTTTTCTTAATTCATCAATCATATGATTTGTTCTTGCCATCTCAGATGTCCATGAGAAACGAGCAATCTCACCGCTCAAGCTCAGAGGGTAAGCTTCCTCGCCTTCCACCAATTGCAGCTCCAACTTCACCCAGCTCAAGGTTTGACAAAAGTCATCTAAGAACACACAGGAGGAGTGAAAACATGCAAGGGCTCTTGACAAATAAATTGTGAGTGATATTGAACACAAGTCAGTTATTTTTAAACGATGAAAGAAAATCTGAGGATGGCTTTGTCAGCTGAAAATTGCATAAAACCTGTGTATGGAACTGATTTTCTAGTCAACATTGATGTCAAGGTATAAGGTGGCTCAGTGATTATACCAAAGACGTAAGACATGTTCTTGATAAACTCTAAAGACCAAAGTGAATGATAGGCCAAATGTATATTTTATCTTTTGCATCCAACATTTTAAGGGCAAGGGTAATCCAATAATCCTTAATTACCAGCATAAACATTTAGTAAGTAGAAAACCTAATCTTAAGTGTAGGTCTGTCTAACCTAGGTCTCTCTTACAGAAGTGCTCATTTTATTTTGTCCAATCATCATGGCAAACCCTCTCCATTTTTCTGGGGAAGGGTATTATTACTTAAAATCATATTTGTATGCAGTGTGTTTTATCCACTGAGATTGTTCAGCAGAAATTTATCTGTGAGCTCCTTATGTTTGCTTTTATTTATTAGGTATGAAATAGCCTTAAAAGGCAAAGAAGATACGGAGGAAAGTCTGAAGAGAAGACCCATATCGGCTGGGGAACCTGAAATGCCTTCTCAAGTATGTTTATGTTCATTGCATGTATTGCTCTTTAAGAAAAATGTTTGACCTGCAGGGTTTGCTACATTGTATTTGCATGGTGTAAGGGTATCGAAGAACAAGGAAGCTTGCTGAAATCAAGCAAGCAATTAATTTAGGTAGTTTGAAATTCCAAAGGCCTAAAAGGCGCAATTTTGTCCATCAAACTTTATTTATGGAATATATATTATTTTCATCACAAACCCAAAAAAAAATATTTACTGGCTGGTACCCATGTTTGATCTAGATGAGATATTTTCATTCAACATTTTGCTTCATGAGCAATTGATTGATTTCAGAACCATCTCATGTTTTGGGTGCCAGATGAGATGTTGAATGAAAATATTAGAATGTTTAGGAAGGTGTTCAAGGTCCTATAGCAGCCAAGTCTGAGTAAGAAATCTGATTTCTGACCTCCAAAAATGGCATTTATCACCTTTGCCTTGGTGAGTCCTAACGTGACCAGAAGGTGCACCAAAGGTGGTATGTATTTAAAAAATGAGTGTACTCATATCAACTGTCATGTATTGTTTCTGTTGTAGATGATGAGCACTGAACGGCGAATACGAGTAAGTGTAGTAAGTTTTTAATGTAAGCTAGTGCAGATATCAAGGAGGTAGTACATCTTGTGCTCTTTAACCAAAAACCTCAATGCCTTGCTGGGAAACAATGACTAACAATACTAGTATAGCTTAACATACATTCCCAATTAAGCTTGCAGGCTTACAGACTTGCTGCTAGTCGAGATGGGGAGTTATGACTCAAATATGAAAGCAAATATATATGAGTTACATTCCTACAAATCTACTAATTATAGACCTGTAAATTACAAGCATTAACAGCTTAAGTTTTTGTTTAGTGGTATGAAAATAGCAGGTTTTCTTATCCATGGAGTGAGAGAGACAAATACATAAAACCTTAAAAACATGTAATCTGAGAACCTAGGATAATTTGTTCAATAGAATACATTGTAGCAAATGAAAAGTTAAAATTTTTTAAGTTCTAAGACTGATTTTCTGTTGTAGCTAAACTACCAATTCATGAAGAAGTGTGTTCAGGAAGGCCCTGTGACACCAATGGCTAATGAGTGGTGGGATACCATCTTAACTATGATTCCAGCAAAATTGGTCTTATCTCCACAACTGCAGCCACACATCAAGGAGTTATACGATGAAATCATTGCTGAGTATGACACCAGTATCAGAAAGGCAATGGGTACGTAGATATAACTTGTTGTGGTTGTCATCTTACTGTTAAAAAGTATTATAATAATTATGTAGAATAAATTTTTCTTTTTGTCCTCCAGTAGAAAATGTAACACATGTAGTAGCATGGTCTAAACTTAAGTAAATGTTAAAAATGAATCAAAAGGAAGTCTCTGAGCTTTTGCTGATCCACATCTTACATACCATATCAAGCTTTCTCCAGCTGCTCCACAGAGTGCTTATCTACTAGAGCCAACTGCCCCATCTCTGGCATCAACTTATGCCTCTGAAGAAATATAGTGTTTCAAATCACATGCAACCAATATAAACAATGTTACATTTTGGAGCATTACATGATTCTTTCATGATCACATAATAGAACACCTCATCAATGACAATTCCCCTCTGAAAAAAACAAATCCATGTATACCAAAAGGGAGTTAATAAAAGCATTGAAGTCAAGATATTCTAATTACATGCACTAAAAAAGATCTTGCAACCTACAACAGTCACTGTTCAAAGTATTATACATTTGAAAGCACAAACTTACTCTTGACTCTCAAGAAGAATTCAGTAAACTCACAGCACTTCTATTTTCACAACGTTATTTGATTGCATTACCGAAAATACAGTGGACTCAGACGATCCATTTTAATATCATCATAACTCAATGGCATCCTTTGGAAGAATGTATCTTATTCCATTTAGCTTTGTGTTATTGCAATCCCTGGAAGAATGCAATTAACTCACTTACCTTCTATTTCTGTTCATTAACCTGTATGTTATTTTATTTCCATAAGGTATTTATTCCTGACCATTATAATTCTATCATTTAAAATTTTTATCTGACATGTACATGAAATTTATTTCTTAGAGCACCCTACATATACTCACACTCTCTATTATGTCACCTTTCTTCATCTACCTGGTGTTTACTAGTATTGTCTTCCACTACAGCACACCTCACCAGCCTAAATATAGCTGCATGCAAATATTTTTTATTTCTGATGATGTTATGGATTGATAGAAGCTCAAGGACTTGTTATGAATTTGGTTTTTAATTTTTACATTATTTATCAGCGTTTACATTATGCAGTCAGATAGTTTTGGAAGTGAATGTTTTTGGTGTGACCACGGTTGACTGTGAGCCATGGTCAGTAACTAAATGTGATCACAGTTAGACACCATGGTCAACATCATTGTCAACCACGTTTGACTCTGAAAAACCATGGTACCGTGGTCAACCTGATGCCAGGGTAAGGCCTCACTGGAAACTATTGCACCAATAATGCAGACCAAAATTAAACCTGAGCTGTATTGAAACATATTTTAAACTCCTGGACTTTGTTGTTCAAGTAAGATAATGAAAATGCTATCCAATGGATATATCCCTATCCACATGACTCATTTCAATTTATCCTTCTGCAGTCAGGTAGAATGTAAAAGTTGCTTTCTATCTAAAATTGCAGACAGCATGGTTGTCTCAATGTGATGTAACTCAGTGCTGACAAATTAAGTCATAGACAATCAGTAAACCAGTTCTTGGAAAAAGAAATCATACACCAACACTTCATTTTCATATTTGACCAACAACTGCTAGTGGTGGTCAGTTCTCATAATGGTAGACTTTGCCAAATTGCTGAACAAGATGCACAATTGTGAAGTCTGTTGTTGACTTTTTCGCACATTTGAAGACAACTCTCAAATGGTTTTGTTTCTATTAAAAATCCCAAAAACACTGAAACCAGTGTTGTCTTAACTTATGTTCTTTTGAGTGCTATAGTATTGATTAATTCATATGACTTTTTGGAACAGGATGTACTTATCCTTTAATTGGAGCGAGATACTAACTTGCCTTTTCCTTCCTGTAGTTCAACATATCCTTGTTAAACCAAAGGTAAAAGGAGTTGAAGGTGATGAAGATTTACCAGATGAAGTCCTGTAAGTTTACAGGGTCCCTTTCTTTTATAGAGAGAAAGTTACTAAAAGACCTCTTTCATAAATGGCAAGTTAAATTGGTATTATATATATTCATGAAAATTAATTTGTCCAGCCTCAAAAACACTGTTAAAAACTATAGTGTTTTCACTTAAAAGTGAGGCTTAAAAGGTCTTGATGTGCATCACATCCATCATTATGAAAGAGGTCTGTTAGGGTCTGTCTCCTTATTGGTTTCTTTTGCATCAATACAGTTGCTTATATAGGTATAGATTTCAATACATGTTTATAATGGTAGTTGAACTGAGTGGAGTGAAATTTGGTTGAAATCATATGCGTGATTTCATAATTGAATGAGTGCACAGCAAGAGTTTGATTTGAAATCACAAGTATGCTTTCAGACCAAAATTGCATGACACAAGGTTCAATTACCACTTTATTACATCCATTTTGAAATTGTCCAAATACAGGACTTGGTCAGTTTGAAATTAAATTCATCCATTTTTTGGAGGGAAAAATAAGAGTTTGGAAACAAAAGTTCCAAAATTTGTCACATGATACTCTTTGTCTTTCATTTTCCTTTAATTTTATTGGTTACTTTACTAGCCTTGAAATCTGATTGGTTGTTTTGTTTTAGTGTAGTCTCCTCATTGGCTGGGAAAAAGATGCAATTTAAAGCAAAAAGTGGTGTGATTCATGAATAAATCGCACCAATTAGAGCCAATTAGATTACTGGGACCACTAGCGATTTCAAAATGGGTGTAATAAAACACTTAATTTCATCCATATATTCCTTGATAAAGATGATTTAATTTTTTTATTGGTAGTATTGATTTTTCTTCAATTTATTTACTGATTTTATTTATTTAAATGAAACTTTCATGGGGCACAAGACAGTCAGACAAGAGCATGTCACAATTATAAGAAGGTCGATGTAAGCCCAATTGAAGTGTTTGTTGCACAAAGTTATGGACGCAAAGTCAATATCAAACCGCCATATTGAATTCTGCTCTCTTCCAAACAATCAGGTCCTGGATCTAGATACCAGTACCACAATCTCTTTCTTTTTCCAAAAAAAGGAAACAAGTAAACTACTAAAAGGTCCAAAAGAAAATAAATGGCAACCCTGGTGTACCTAAACATGTGCCTGGACTTTAACTCCAGTAACTAAACGTTTTGCACTCTATGAACAATTGATTGTGGCTCAGTGGGCATAAGGCCAAAGTTCAACTATTTAACAGTTTCTTAAGTGTTCAAGACAGTACATAATCACATACGCACATGTAACTGTCTCCTGTGCAAGTCATTCCTGGGCAGGACTAGTTAGGCACTTTCAAATTTGGCTCTGTACCAAGTGTTATAGTTATGAATAATGCTCTGCATCATGCTTCATATCCGGTGCTGACTCAGTCAGAAGAATTTTGATGTTCTAAAACTTTCTCTTGTACTCAACTCCCTTGGGTGACTTCATTACTACCTGGTCTTCATTGTGCCCAAAAACCTCACAAGGCTCATATGCTGGAGACAATCTGTTCTCTCTTCTTCTTCCGAGCAGAACCAAATCTCTAACAGCAATATGTCTGTCTTTAGCATAATTTCTTGCATCAGCATACTACTTTGCTTACTGTTTCTTCGCTGCATCGTGATCCCTTACTTGTTGCAATAGGACATCACTCTGACCTCCAGCTTCAACAAACTCAAGTGGCTTGGTAGTTAACTACCTCTTAAAAAATAGCTCAGCCAGGCTGACATCTGTTGTCATGTGATTTGTTGACTTGTTTTTCCCTGCATTTCCTCTCGGCATCTTTGTCTATGCTGGGCTGCCAAACCTTTGTTGTCAACTGTTCCTGCAATCTTCAACCTCTTTAAATTTTCTTCCCCAATCAGATTACTTACAGATCCAGAATCAGTCAAAACTTCCTGAGCAATACCATTAATACTCACATTCATCATAGGGTCACTTGAGGATGACACCCCACAAATATATTCTTCATTATTTTCAGTCACCAGGAAAGCAAAGGCAGGGTTTTCCTTACCACAACTGTTGCCCTCCAGAGGATCTTCAGCATGATTTGTCTGTCTTTCTGAATGCTTTTGTTGTCACTTGCTTTCTTTGAATTGGCCTCTATCCCTGTCTCGGTTACCATGCTGTCATGACTTTTGCAGCAAGAAGCAAAATGGCCATACCTCAAGCACTTTTCACATTTTCTCCCTTTTACTGGACAATAGGGATTGCTGGCAAAATGTCCTGCCTTCCCACAATTAAAGCATGTCTTCCTCAACTGATCTTTAGGCTTTTTTCTTCCTTTTTCTACGCTGCTTCAACATCTGATCCACTGACCATGTGCTTTACCTGCTGGCCTGCCACTTCCAAAGCTCTCACCTTCTGCAAGACTTGTGCCAAAGTGAACTTTTTAGTTTCCAATAACTTCAGATCCGTCAATTCTTGAATTAACTGATTTCGTAAATTGTCAAGAGAATCACCAAAGTTACAATGCCTTGCCTGTTGATAATGGCAAATGACAAACTAGTCAACTGGTTCACCATCAGTCTTAGTGCCAATTAGTCAAAACATGTAGCACTCAAAGGGAACATTTTCTTTGCACTGAAAATGATAATCAAGCTTCCTAATACACACTGTGTATGGGTCTTGATTTCCCTCTGGTTCTGGGTCGACAATATCTTCAAAAATATCTTGTACCTCCATTCCTGCGAGATACAAGAGCAGCGAAGTTTTCTTTCTTGAGCTATTTATGTGTGCTTCCACTTTCGCCATTTGGTTGCCACCTGTGAAGAAGATTCTGATAGATCCAGCAGAGTAAGAGTTCTTTCTCTCATGAAGACTATACCCCTAAAATCTTTGTGTATCCTTGTCGCTAATGTAGTATTTGTTACACAAAGTAATTTCGACAATGTAATGTAAAGTGATATAAAGTAATACAAAACTGCCACATTGTATTCTGTTCTCCTCCACACAATCAGAAGTTCCTGGAGCTAGGTACCAGTCCCAAACCAATATTGATTAGTCTGACATAGTATGATGCTACTCTGGTTTAAAGATTTAGTGAATGTAACTGAGAAGTTAAAATTCGTAGACCCAACATTTTGAGACTTCTGTCATGTGCTTTCATCAGGGGTGATCTAATCACTGCCAAAAGAGGTCCTTTTATATGCTTAACAATTAGCTGCCCTTTTTTCTGATAAGGCATAAATAGGTGTAATATGTGGCTCTTTGGATTGGCTCTTTGTGAGTACATTTGTTTATAAACCAATAAGAATGCTCTTTAGCTCCTACTTTTGCCCTGAGTTACCCTATTTCTGCACTATATTTCCTTAAAGCTGCATTTCTCTTGGGCAATCAAAATCAAGAATTTTTGTCATGTGTATCACTTATTAGAATTGAAATAATGATAAGCAACAATTATGCAAGGGTGAGAACCAACGTGAAACTCAACTGGACTGTGATACCCAGTCAGGAAAGTAAACTGGGGCCACAGCCTTAAGAGGTGAGGCCTGGGCTCTTACACTTGTACCATTCCTGAATCCCTGTACTTCTTAACTTAGACGTATGGTTTACATAACTTACTTGGATAAGCAATTATCATTATGTCATTTTAATCTATTATTACAAGGATGGTACCATGTAGCCTTAAACTGAAGAACTTTCTCTAGAACTGATATATTCTCACATATATGGCTGTTTTCAAGAATAAATTGTTCTGTTTTTTGACCCAGTGGAATTGACTATTCCAGTCCATGGAGAGAGAGCTTTAATGCTGCGCGAGAATCAATTCGGCAAAATCTGCACATATTGCACCCATCAATGCAGACAATTCTGGGAATCTGTCAAAGCAAGAATTACTCAACCATGTTGATAACTGATCAGTCCAATCTGAGGTTAGTCATATTATTTGTTTTATGTGCATCGATATCCACCTTTTATGAAGAGTTGAACATACGTTCTGTAGATTTTCATCACCTAGGCCATCCTTCAGCCTTGTGTTGTGCACATTTTTATAGTTCCTTATGGTAGAGGTGCCTTGTTTCAATTGTTATTTTCAAATTGTATAGATAAAGAGTGTGCTGAAGACGGCCAATTGAAAGATTTAAGATGGAGCCTTGGCAAGGCCATCGTATTGTTCCATTATCTTAGACATTACATACACACACACACACAGCCTCTCTACAGGCAGGATTATGATGGGGTGTTGGCATATTAACTAGCAAAATGAGGAAATGGAGTAGAGGCAGTGTTGTTGTAATGGTATACATTTTGTCCAATGGGGCGGGGGGGGGGGGGTTCAATTCTCTTAGTTGCATCATGCTACTGACACCAGGTTAAGTCCTGGTAATATTTGCCTTTTGGCTCGTTAGCTAACTGAACTTTGTATCACCTTACAAGGCTGTATGGAGGATGTCTTTTTCTTTGCAGAACTCAAGGCTCTATTGAATGTGAGCACCTTAAAAATAATGTAACACTTGATTGTGAGAAGACTGAAGAAAAGCTTATGCACAGGTAGGTGTTAGTAGAACTTTCTAACATCTTGAAAATTGATTCAAGTTTTGATTTTTTCAGATCTCTCGTGCTCATTTTCTATCCTATTTGAGATGAAATAACAGAGTGTTAATATTTACATGTGTTATGTATTTAAGAGTGGAGATCATCCTCTCAAGCTCTTGATATCTGATTCATATAAATACAAAATCCAAGCTAAGGATACTTTGTTAATGAGGTTTGACAAAGGCAAACTTAAGTTTAAGGAGTGGGTATAGACTATTCAGTTCTCACCATGGAACAGATACAGGTTTAATTACCTCTGTAGGAGTGTAGGAGAATTGTCATTTTGTGTTCTTTCTAACAGCTGCTGATATGACTTTGGACATTGACCAATTTTTTGCTGTAATATATGAATTTTTTTCTTTGCAATCAGTTGGTTCCCAGAAGTGGTGAATGTTTTTATTGACAAAGATATGCTGAAGCACATGAGCTCTTCACAAGTTGATGCCTTTTACAACTGTGTCTCTACACTTATTTCTAACCAGGTATTGGAGAGGGTATCATTATATACTTCAAACTTTGATCTATCTTTTTCATATGAATTTAGAGAAAACTAGATTTTATTTTCAAACAAATTGTGCATGATTTTCGTAGTTGAAGGATCTGATAAACAGAACCATAACTGCATGGACAGATCTGTTTCACAAAGACAAAAGTTGCCTTCCACTTTTCAAGATGGAATTGATCTTAGATGATGATGACCACATGCAATTCTATCCTGCACTTGGTGATGTGGAGGCAGCAGTATTACATGTTATATCCACAGTTGCTGGAACCATGCAACATGTTCCCACAGTACAGGTAAATCTTTAAAGCAATTCCTGATGAATTGAAGTTTGCTTATGCTTTCTTTTCCAGAAAAAACAAACAAACAAAAAAAAACACAAGAACAATTATGTAAACTGCTATCTTGGAGGGAGAATTGGTGATGATGAAATGCTTTTTTTTTTTTTTTTTGGATCCTTTTTTCTAAATACTTTAACAGCTGGCTCACACTGGCTTAAGGATGTGCGATTTTTCATTCATTTAGCTGACTGAAAAGGAATTTGTGGATGGGATTGACTTTCACACAGACTATTGTGAAAACACTACAAAGGAAAATTAGAATTTACTTGAAACCATTAGACCAGTGTTGGTTCTTCTTATGTTCTATGGTGACACATTCTGGTGCAGCACATTAAAGGGAATGGTCAGTGAGGGTAGCTTAAGGATGAAGTGTAGATGACTGAGTGACAGTTTCAGTATTATAACCATGAGAAGAGAATGTGTCCTGTCTAACTTGTTGGAGAAATACCCAGTTATCTTTATTACTTTGTATGCAACATAGATCACTCACTCACTTATTGTGAAGAAGTTCAGGTAGTACATGGTTACCATAGCAAAGTGGTTTTTGGTACCTTAAGGTACATAATTATTTCAGGCTTGTCAAGAAATAGGCCTGTTTGATATTCTTTATTTGAATTATTTATGACAAAAATTGACTGTTGATTAATTCATCATTTAATTTATTTAAACAGCTTCACTTAAGTCAAAGTTGTAATAATTCTAATGACCGCACTTTTGATCTGTTGTGCAGTCCTGGTTGGCAGGGGGAAACACAGTAACTCATGTGGATGCTGCTGTTGATAATGATGTTCTGTTGAGGTGCACTAAGTTCCTAAAGGATGCTGTGAACTTTAACTTACAGCAACCTATAGAGTACCTGCATTCCTTTGGTAAGTAACGAGCAAAGTCATCTTTATTAAAGTGAGTTAAGTATAACGAAATGTTTTTACCACCTTGGCAGGGGGATTGGGCACAATGAAGATAACAGATGTGATGTCTCTGCAAGTAATAATATGTTATCTAAATAGCTTCCCCCATCATGTGGTTTGTAGCTAGGAGTGGCATAAACTGGATTCAAAAGCTTACTTCTGACTAATGGTGCCTGGGCTAAATCATAAAACTTGAGATGGATATCTTTTTTTAAGCATCAGTAAAAAAAACTTACTCAGATTTTCAAGCTTTTAGGTGAATCTTATAAGATCCAAGTTTTTCCAGTCAGGTGGGGACCAAAGAACTGTATTATCCATAAAAATGTGCTGTCTCAATTAACTTATGACCTCTTTACCCAAGTACTTTCTTGGTTAATTTGTTTCTTCTGCCTTTTCCCTTTGAGTAAGAGTTTTCTTTAAACTTATGGACTCCTTTTGCCACATTGAGTATTATAGATGACAGGAGCCTTAGGTGAATAGGGCTCAGTAAAATGGTGAGCCATGTTGTTAAGTTGTTCTTCAGCAGAGTTGTCATGGAGGCATCATCTAAATCAATCTCAAAAGCTTTTTTCTGTGTCAAGGTCGCTAGTCTTGGGTGATCTTGAAGTGTAGGTGTAAATGAAGTGGAATGGTGGAGGAGTAATCTGATGGGAAAAGCAAAAAAACTCACTCTTTTGCTTACCTAAGGGACCTTTTTAGATGCCAAATGTTTTCAGTGTTGGGGTGCTTTATGCTTGCTTCCTCACATGACCTATGACATTACTCAATTGAAACATGAAATAAATGATGTCAAAACTACCTATGCATCACTAACAACAGCTAAGAATCATTTGTATTAGAGGAATACTTGGGCAAACCATAGGCTTTAATTTGGCTCTTTTTTTAGTATAATGTACTTGTGTTGAATTTGCAGATAAGTATAGTGCTCTGGTCAGTGGGGAATCCTCAGCTCGTGTCAAGCAGTTCATTTCATCTGAAAACTCCTTTGAAAATTACATACAGGTAATCATGTAACTGTCCTTTGCATGTTAAACAGTGAAGTTGAACTAAACTATCATCTGTAGGCAAGTCTCTTTTTGGTTCTTTTTGTGATCGTTCATGGAGTGTGTTCCCAAATTCATCCCAACAACCCTTGGTATATCCCTGGAAGGCCTTTTCCAATTATCCTCAAAGCCTTCAAAAACACTCAAGATGGAAAATGTTGTGAGACCTTACCTGATTTGAGTAGTACTCTTTGAATTATTGTTATTGGCACTGTTCATCTGCTATATGGGTTCTCATATCAGTTGCCTTTTCTTGTATTTTAGCCATGTTTAGTTTTCTTGCCACTCTTTTTACATTAGGGAATTCAAACAGCTATCACTTTGCAGTGAAGCTAGAGATTGAGTGTCATTCCTATTTGCATCATTATAGATTCTTTTGTTGCTATGAAAAAGTTGGCTGCTGTTGATTTAGCTCAAACAATTATTCACGTTTGTTTGAACAGCTAAATGTCTTGTATTTTGATGGAGCTCTCCAATGCCTGATTGAAACATCTCTAATCCTAACACTGATGATCAGAATATGAAAAGAGGAAATCAAAATGAACCAACAAGCATTTGTAGAAACACAATATGAGGGATGCATTAGCATTTATTGGCTTATTGACAGCTTGTCTTTTCTGGATGTTTCTTCAAAATTTTGCCCTATAAATGCAATGCACATTGGCAACAGCAATGCTAATCAAGACATTATGGTATGTCTTCAGCTGAAAAGATGAATTTTCAAATTAAACATGGACATAACAGGAAGCTTGAAATCCACTTTCTTTGTTTAAATAACAGGAAATTGAAAAGTTTCGTTCCCTTGCTCGGGAAATAAGTTCACTTCCAACTGTGGCACATTTTGACATGGTTCAATTAGACTGCGATGATTTGAAGAGAGGCCTGGCTACCAAAGCTAATCGTTTTGCAGATCAACTGCTTCAAATGCTGGCTGAAGAACACCGCACAGAAAACAGAAGGTAGTTTGTTACTGCCACAAGTATTATCATCTTAATTTATTAAAACATTATCTGGCACAATATGAGACATTCCGATCACTTTGAATAAAAACTTTTCTGTCAAAAAAATACTAACTGTAGCAACCAGATTAGCATGAGAACTTGCCTTAGTTTTGTTCTGAATCACCTTTAAATTTTTGTGGTGTTTTCTTTTTACTTCATTTCCTTTGTTTCATGTCAACTGTCTTTTGTGCAAAGAAGGAAGTCCACTAGCCCCTTAAGTTTGAACTTTCAGTGCAGGAATATTTACAAAGGCTTACAATGTTCCTATTTCAAACTTCTGTCAAAGTCTGGACAAAACGTTTTGAAGGAAAGAACTTATCCACTTTCATGAGGTTAATCCTCCTTGAAGTTTAGGTATCAAAGCACGGGACTTAGGAATGCAATCCAGTTCAAATTATTATAAAAATTGTGGTAATCAAAAGAAATTTACGAGAAATATATGGTGTGTTGGGTTTATTTTGTTTTACAGAATCATCTCAGAATTTGAATCAGTAAGAGAACAAGCTCTTACAAAACCTGAGGACACTCGTGAGATGATTGACATGCTGAAGTTTGTTGAGGAAGCTAAGACAAAGATCCTTGTCAAACTTGACAGTGACATCAAGGTTACTTCCTCTACCATCTTTCTTTCATAATGTTGAATACACTACTGTCTGCCACAGGCCTAAGGGAAATCGATTGCTCTTATTAACTTGAAGGTTTCACAAATTGGGTAACTTGGGAAATTTTAATGAGCTTTGACACAATACATGAAGTAAATCCTTGAGATGGTGTATACACCCTGTATGTGCACATTGGGCAAGCGATACTACGTGATGCAATATTGGGGGATTAATCAAGTAAAGTTCTCCCAACCGAGTGATAAGGTTGGGAGTGGGGTTGGCGGCAACATGGAATCCTTGTGATGTTTGCTATGAGTATCAATGTTATGAAAATACATGTACAAGTATGACTAACCACAAGGAAGTGTTCAGTACACTCTTTCCTGTGGTCATACCTATTTCCAATTGCAGTTCTGTTTGCTTGCCATTTTACAGATGTTCAGAAAAAAATTGGCCCCAAAACCAAATAGCTTATGGAGCCACTCAACAACTTTAGCAGTGATGTTGCTTTTGTAGATTTAAAATTTCACCCTGTTCAATGGGTTGCAGTGTCTATACCGCAACTACAAACCAGGCAATTTCACTCTTAAATTAGTTTTTTTGGTAACCAGAGCAATAGTTAGTTGTTGATTATACAGTGTTTCCTGCCATTTGGGTTGAACACCCGGGAGTCCTGCATTTTTGGCCAGATCACTGAGTTTTTTGGTCAAGCTAAGGGAATTGAAAGACAAAGTTTTAGCCATTTAAAAAGGAAGTTGTACATGTTATTTTTAATGAATAATTTTCTATGAAGGATGTAGAAGTTACAGTAATGGTTTGGGACTATACTCCATTAAATAGTCATACCTATATCCATTTTTTGGCAGGAGTCATTCAATCGACTGTCTTATCTTTTGGATGTTTTTACATTCACACAAGAAGACATGAGCCTCAACTCTGAAGTCCTTAACTGGCCAAAAAATATTGCGCCTATCTTTGATCAGAATGATGAGGTATTAATACAGTTTTGTTTGTTTTCATATATGTATTTTTTGAAATTTTTTTGAAACACCATGTGTAGCAATACCGACCTCTGAAAGAGGGGGTAAGCTTCTAAAGAAACTGTGATGTTGCATCAGTGGGAGTGTATAACAAGGTAATTTGGTTTTATCAACTGGGCTGATAATGTAAACCTGCCATCATAAATAGTTTCAAAGCTAATGTTTCAAGCTTTAGCCCTTCGCTCTGACACAGGGGTAATGCTTGAAACATCAGCTTTGAAGCTCTTTACGTTGGCCATTTTACATTACCAACTCAGTTGATAAAACCAAATTACTTTGACCACAGAAAGGTCTGCCAGCAAATGTTACCTCTATGTTTCCCTTTGTCTTGAAAATTTCACTCATTGGTAATTATGCTACAGTAACTTAATAATATTTGAATTGAAATAGCTGTGTGGTTTTGTAGATTATGGTTGCTGCTCAGAAGAGTAATGAAAGTGCTTTGATGGAGAAAAGGGAGAGGGTAATGTTGGAGCTTGATAAAATCAAGAGGTATTGTATTTGTATATACCTGGTAATACTGTAAAATGTAAAATAAAGTTGACTTGACGCAAAGATTCAAAATGTAGGTATTTCAAAAATTTTTCTTATGGGTGCTCAAGGTCAGCAATTTTAAATGCATCCTGTAATACTGAGAAAGATAGCAAAGTTTCGTCATCAATTAGGTAAAAATAGTTATTTATTCTCTAAAGCATTCATATTCCTATTATTTACATCATCATCATCATCATCATTATTATTATTATTATTACTATTACTGTTATGCATTGACCATTAAACAGCAACAGGCACCTATTTATAGACAGCATCCACTTACAAAAGTTACAGATCTTCTCTAAAATGTTCATAACAATTGGCTTAGAGATTTTTGAGAAATCTAAAATCTGATTTAAAATCAATGATCAGCACCTTATAAAATAAAGGCAAAAGGAGAAGATCTTTTGAGAGATATTCTGGCTATTGTAATTTCTCAATTCCTGGTCAAAAACTTTTGTTTCTCAAAAATATTTAGGTCAATTCAGGTGGAAAGTACTTTTCTGTTAAGAATTTTGTTTTATTCCAGGCGTGTTGAAGAGTTTAAAGAGTATGGTGATATGGACACGATGATGCAGTATGTAAAAGAGGTCCAGTCAGTTCAGAAGAAACTTAGTGAGTGTGTGGATGCTATTGGTTTCATCAATGAGGTACTACTACGTAGTTACATTTGGTTATGTGCACTCTGGTTTTGAACCTTGCAATCACAGGAGTTTGTAGCCTGTCATCAAAGTAATAATACATAGATTTAGCCAAGCCTAAAAGTGGAGCTCTTGTCAGTTTATTTTCCAGCCCTTCATTATTCAGAATGAAAGCAGTAGTAAAACTCTTCAGCACTGGCTGTAGATGAGTTTCTTCCAGGGGATTTAGGGACCAGTCGGGGGTGTGGGGAGGAGGAGGAGAACAATTGATGAGGCCTGGAGCCCAGGAAGGATGTTCTCACAACTTGCAAGGGGATCAACACGCATGCTAGTCAGTGGTATCTTCAAACAGCTTAGGACCTTTGTTGTTGTTCCTGATGTTTTGAGCAAATTTTCGAAGATAGGGAATGTTTTCTTCTTGAGATAAAGTGTATGATGTCAGCATCAGTTGAAATTATATTCTATTGAGTGTTAATTATAATTTTGGTTTGGAAAATTAAGCCAAAATGGAAACAAACGATGGTAAACTACTTTGCGTTAAGACATCACTGGTTGATTGAAGAGTGAGAACAGTGAATCAGTAAAACAATATACCAGAATTGTATGGGCTTCTCTGATATCTTCTCTTGAAGTTGCCAGGTATGGCTGCTTGCCCTACCATTTTTTCCTAACATTTCAGCCTCCTCTGTTCAGTGTAGAAAATTAAAGAGATAAGTAAATTTCAACTCGTGTTTGAGCCTTTGAAATTTTAATGCACACCTCAAAAGCATAACAAATAAATTTAAAGTTTCTATTTATTCAGTTTAGGTTAGTGAGATAAAATTGAGTCAAACATTCATACGACGACAGGTACAAGAAATTTTCACAACTAATTTATAAGGTTAGCCAACCTGGAACAATCACCTTCATGTACAAATTAGACTAGGTTTGTACTTATAATGCACAAAAGAACTTCTGTGGTAAGAGGACAGGCTTTCCTTTCTTTATTCAAAGAAATACAGAGGTTATCATCTTTCCATAAGGTCAGTGAAAGTGAGAGTGAATGAAATGGGTAGTGACCATGTTACTTGAATAAATATCCAGAGGAGGCTAAAAAGCAAAAAAAGATATGGTCTGCACAACTCTCTTATTTTTATAACTTATAAAGCTAGGGCACTTATATTCTTGCTTTGTGCATTATGTGGATGCTAATTAATTTGAATTTCATGCACTAAATACAAAAAATGTTCTCTTCAGCTATGTGCCCTAAACATCACAGGGGAGGAGGCAGGTCAAAGTAAAAACATGAATCAAAATAGGAGGGCCCCCATTAATTTCAGTCCTAATTAGAGGAGGATCCTTGCTTTTCCAGATTCCAACCCTTTACAACTCACATATCTTGTGGCCAATTCCTTATATCAGTGTTTAGTTTGGGTATGAGCATTGGTAAGAAACAGAATGCATTAATGGGAGCTTGAGCAAGAGTATTTAATGCAATCTAAATGATAATATTACATGTTGCAAAGTGGTAACTTACACAGCAAAATTATATATTAATCACACAATTTCAAACAAAAGAGGCCAGGTTATTAACTCGCCTGGTTCAACTTTTAGGGCTTAACAGACAGAGAAATAGATATGGCAAACAGTTACAATTTATACTAAGTTGAAATTTTGAAAGCTAAAAGATATACTTTACAATCATCACACCCTATGCATCCCAGCAAAGAAAGGGTCAATTACCACCATAACATCTCCCAAATGTTCATGCCTACAGGAAATCATTAATTTTTGTCACTAGGTGGTACTATACTTACAATAGTTCTACTGACACAAATGCATTTTTCTAAAGTTAATTCATAGCATATGACTGTACAGGTCAAGTGGAAAGGTCTTGCATGGGGACTGACATTTCAATTACCTCAGCAAACTGTAATCATCAGAATTGCAAGCTAAGGTGTATTTACCAAGTGCTCAAGTTTCTAAATTAGTCACATTATTGTTATTACAATGGAGTTCACTCCTTTTGGAGGCTATCTTCAGCTTGATTATCCTGTTACATGTGAAAACATCAAATGTTACTCACATATTCAATTAATTACCTGAATCAAAAGTTATAATTTTTTGAATAACCTACTTCCTTGAATTGTGTTCCAATAGTAAATAATAAATGGTGTTGAAGAGAAAGAAAGAAAGTTCTTGAAACATTCTATGTTAAATTAAAATTTGGTAAGAATGTTAATTGCAATGACAACCAAAACATCTGTGAAGCTATAATAACAATTACCTTTCATTGTAAACAAACCATATTGAAGCATGGAATGAATAAATTTAATTTCACTCAGTTTGAATGTAGAATCCAAAATCTAATTAACTTAGAGGTGAATAAGAAAAAGCTCAATGTGTTTTTACTGCTTCTGTCATTCTTAATATGACAAATAAATTACACCACTAATTAACCCTGTAACCCCTATTAGAGTGACTAGCATCGAATTTCTCCCTACAATATCATCCTTGAATCATACATTAAGGTCATGAGGATAAAGGAAATGATCACTAACTAAAGATGCTCTTGATTGTTAAACAAATTCTTGTTGCTAGCACCTTAGGATATGTATGGAGAACAAACAGTATGAAGAATACGCATAATAATGTTAAGGTGCAAGTGTGATTTTTTGATGATGGGTACTTTTTCTCATGGACATCTAAGTCTATCTTTTACCAGCTGACAATTATGAGAAGAATCAAGTCCACACTGGTAATATGACACATGGAAGGCAAATCCTATGACTGATTCAATTTTATTTGATCAAAAACATGAAGGGCATTAAAGAAAACTAGCCAGAGCAATTTAAGTTTCCCTTCTTAAGTATTCTGTGATGTTTTTTCTATCATATGGTAAAGTTTACAGTTTCCCTCATTTCATTGTCTTCTGTTTATTTGTTTGTTTGCTTTCCTAACAATCTTAACTACACTATATTGTTGCTAACAAATGCAAAAAGCTTGTAAAATTTGTACAGTTGTTAACCCTTTAATCACTGAGAATGACTAGCATCTAATTTATCCTTTCAAAATCACCCCTGAATCATTAAGTAATGAGAATAAAGAAAATAATAATCAACTGAAGAACCTCTCGATTGTTAAACAAGTTCTCCTTACCAGCACATAAGGAAATGTATAGAGAACAGTATGGAGAATATGCATACTGATGTTGGGATGTAAAGAAACATCATATAATCAGTTTTATGTGTGTAGAGTTTTGCTTGAATATGTGATTGTGTTAAGTGCAAGTGCCTAGTGAGCATCATTCTATGGTCTTCTTCTCTTCCACCTTGGAGGGTGCCTCATGTACATGAAAAACTTCAGTGCCTTTAATAGCTTTTTAGATGACAAAGATCAACAAAGAACAATAGCCACACCAAAAAAATGTTTTTAAAGACACCTCTTTATGGCAGGTACACATAACTAACATGTTTGAGTGAAGCATGTTAAGCATTAAAGTATGGTTGTCAATATGCCTTTCATTACTTGCAAACAGCTTTTTTAAAATTGTCCTTGAAAACTCCTGTATCCTCGCTTTCAAAAAAAGCATTTCCCATGAGAAATTAAACATTAAAGACATAAGCTATACAAGCAACAGGCTTTTCCATTGTAAGTGTTTCATAACATCACATTCTCACACACTTTTTTTTGTTACATATGAAAGCATAAGAATATTTTAATCATTACAATAGCATGACTTAGACAGAATTTCTCCTTACACTATCAATATGATATAAAGCAGACAAGTAATGAAAATAAAGAAATATTAATTAGGGGATTGTTGGTTGATCCAATTCCAAATTCTTCAAACTAACATCACATAAATTGTATGGCAGACAGTAAGGAGAATTACTAATGAAATCTTGGGAGTTAAAGGGTTAAGACACGTGTGGTAATCATATGTACCAGGAAGACTTTGAATAAATATAGCATTATACTCCAGTATAGTGTTCTTATGTAGAGTGAAGTTTCAAACTCATTGAAATTAAGTTGACTTCATGTTTCAGATTTTAATAAAAGAAATGCGTAATATCTCTTTACAATGATGAAAAGGTAATGCCATTTATGAATTTTAAAATAGTAAATGCCAAAAACTTAGATGGAATTTTAAAAAACTACTAAAATATGGCATATCTGTTCACTGAGATTTTAATCATTAGCAGGTGCACAGATATAAAAAGAGGCTTTGTGCAAAAACACCAGGGCGATAAAATTAAACAGTCAGGAAAAGCTTATGACATTATCTAGTATACTGATGTTCTCACCTAAACTCAGTCTGGAAAGAGAGCTCTGCAACGCTTCTGTTTTATCTTCCCAGTCACTTCAACTAAAACATAAAATTTAATTATTTGCATCCAGGTTAAGGAGGAAATTGATGGAATGGAGATATGTTGCATAAAAACAAACCTCTTGCATATTACATGTCTATGCTTCTGAGTACAGCTACAATAGGTAAATTTAAGCAATTATCTACATATGTAAACTGGGTGCAATGTACAGTAATTTTAAAGTAATTTTATTCTAACCTTCCTCCTTGAAGGATGCCTTATGTATCAATTATATCAAGTTCAGTACCTCCAGAGTCATAAGCTGGGCTATTGGAGCCACAAAATAATAAAATAATCAATGAGGTATGCCAGGCCAATTTATCGAGAATCAATCAAGTATAGTTTCCCAAAATCATATGGAAAGTTTAAAATGTGCTTCACTAGTGCTACATATATGGATTTATCGTTCTTAATTACTGATGAAATTCTGAGAGTGTGACTCAATTAACTCAAAAGAAGATATCCAAGCAGGTTTGTAGGTTACAGAAATGGTTCATGAATTGTAACCTGATAATGTGTTTACAAAACTCCTCAAAATTATGGTGCCAATACGAATTTATCAGTCATAGTCACTCACGAAATTCCGATATTGCACCTCAATGATATTCAACAGAAAATATCCAGGAAGGTTACAGAAACGGACTCTCAAAAACTCGAATTCGACAACTGTAAACAACAATTATTTATGCCAACCATGTACTTACCAGCATGCTTGTGAGCTCAAATTGCCAGGACCCTGTTTAATTACACAATCACAGCTTGGAGGCTTCTTGCAAAATGTGATGAATATCAATTTTAGAGATTGATTCCTCAGTTTCCAGCATTAGGAAAAAATAATTGTATTGCAAGCACGTTCACCATAACCCAAGCACTAAGTGCACCTCCAGAAATCAAGGCTCCATGTTTTGGGAGACAAACCATTTCATGAAGTTCGAATGAATCATGTAGAAAGTATGAAAACATAGCACTGAAAAGTACCATGACCAAACGATGAAATTCACTCCTCCCACAGTAGGATTAACGCCATTTTACCCATGAGTTTGTTTACACCACAAATTTGCGCTCGAGATTTAATTCTCAGATGGGTTCTCACAGGACAATATTTTCAAAATAAAATTACCACATCAAACTTGATGTAAACATGCACACATCACTGACTCAATCTCAATATATTTAAATCTTGGGGAAGGCTATTACTTTGTTCTTAGGGTAAAACAACAAATCTTTGACAAAGCGCAGTTTTTTAAATGAATAATGTAAACCACATGATAGCTAACTGAAGAGAGAATGATAGAGACTTGCTCGTGTCATTCACTATCATTTTAAAATTTTCTAGGCAAGACATAATCATGACTGTATGAAACATTCCAAAAGGTAGGACAGGAAATAATTTTAAGAATACGAACACTTTGAAATGTTATTCGAGCAATGAACTGGCATGAGGGTTTTAAAGCGATGAATGCAAAAGTCAATGTTTTACTGAAACATGATTTGAATTTTAAACTGAAGCTAGCATCAAATGAAGATTGGGAAGACTGGGCTTTAGCACAAGAGAAGACCCAAATGAGACATGACTTACCTTCTCTTCTTTCTCAGATCCTTTGTGATTCGCTTCTCTTTGTTGATGACCCCTTTTCAGTCTGTTTTCTGGAAACCCTTTCTCCACGAACTTGAATTATAACAATTTCCTGCAGTTAACAAAGCTTTAGCTCTGCCGGTATTGTTGCTTTGCGAGTTGATTAAAAATTGCAAAATACTGAGAATCACTGTTCAACTACAACCTCACCTACTTTGATTTCTTGCTCAAAATGCGCGTTGCAAATTATTTAATTATGTGGCCTCACATCTACTAGCCCATGTGAACCCCATCTTTAATGTCTAACTGTGCCCGGCATATGCTGCACTAAAAATCGGCACTTAAGTACGCGCACTTCATTGCGATCTGCCGGTGTCTCCTGGCACAAATGGGGTATCCTTACACATGCAATCACACATGCGCATTACTTTCTTCTCTTTCCTTTACGTAATGGCTAAGATAGTGCCCGCAATGCAGTTAGCCGCGCATGCTACAAGTAGCACCTTGCATAGACTCCCACACGGTGTCAAGTCCAAATTTCTTTTGACTTGATGGGTTACTACTATTTTGTATAATTATGGGGCTACGCTGTGTGTGCTGTACATGCTGCGAGCTCTGCTTTTAATAGCTTCTCTTGAGAATACCCTCTAAAAGGAGGCAACAAGAAGTCATTTGGCAAAAAAGCTACAAAACAACAAGGCAGTGATTTGCAAAAGAAGTCTATTAATTGCTTACAAGCTGATTAGACTATATCATGGAATTTCAAATAAACTGTGTTCTTCCTCATTTGCTAGGCTGTATCTAATAGGGGAGTGAGAGAATGAACAACCATTACAATATCACCTTTGATATTGGTTGTTAGGTTTAATTACTTCTCCAAAACTAATCCATCACTACTTATTTTAATTATTAGGAAGAGGATTTATTTAAATGGGAGCAAACATCTTATCCTGATGTAGAATCCATTACTAAAGCTATTGAGCCTTACCAAAAGCTGTTTACAACAACTGTGAAATGGCAAAGAGCTGAGAAAAAATGGATGGATGGAGCTTTTCTTGAGTTAAATGCTGAAGCCACAGAAGCAGAGGTATGGAGGCAGTTAAAGCAGAAACGTTTGCCCTTATAGCCTTGTCAGCCATGCACAGAATGATTTCCAGAATCAGCACCACCAGAAATAAATTTCAAGAAGTTGGAAAGTTATTGTGGTTTTGAAATTTGTATTTTTCAACTGGTGCAATATTGAATTTTTTTACTCTTTAAAAAAGGTAAGAAAAGATAGAAAATAGGAATGAACCTTTTCCACTTTTCATGTTTCATGAAACTATTCTTAGTGGTCAGCAAACTTTTCTAAATAGTTAATCAAACTGTTCTCTTGTTAATTTTTATCTTTAAGGTAGAGGAATATGGTCGTGAGATGTACAAAATTACAAAAGTGTTCCAAGCAATGAAGAAAGAGGCAGAGAAAGAAAAGAAAGGTAACAGAAGAGTTAAGGATTCCAAAGAGAAAGAGGAGCCAGGATCAGAAATAGCTGCTTTAGTGGTTTCTCATGCAGTACAGCAACAGATCAGGGAATTTAAGGTGAGCTATTATGACCTGTATTTTTTTAATTAACTAGCAGAAGAATTCTTGGAAAGGGAGCTAACAATGATGTGATTTCTCTTAAACAGATAATTGCATTGGAGATACTTTTGCTTGGCTTAACCCTAATCAATTGCAGAGCGCCTGTTCAAAATAATTATTTTACCAAAGGTTCATTCATTTTTGTTTATGTTGCAACTGAGGAAGTTTAAAATTAATTGCTTTTTACATCACCTTTAAGAATTGGAAAAGATGAGCTTAAGTGAGGATAACTGTCCTACCACAACAACCCTTGCTGCTAAAAATTACTCTTCATGCCATGCCCATGTGTATTTTTTTACTGTTATATACTTCTAAAGGAAATATCTTGTAAACAGTTAAATCCTTTTCATTTAATGATCACTAATCGTTTTTATTTAGGATCACATTCCTGTTATAAGTGTTATGTGTAACCCTGGAATTCGTTCTCGGCACTGGAAGGCCATGTCAGACATCATTGGATTTGACATCACTCCAGACTCTGGAAGCACATTACGCAAGGTCCTCAAGTTCAATTTAAGGCCATTCATGGATGAGTTTGAGGGCATTAGTGTAGGGGCTAGCAAGGTAAGACAAAATACTATAAGGTAAACAGAATTTTTAGCTACTTTGATTCTACCACTGTAATGGTACTTTCTTACTTAGGCTTTGGTTAATTTTAATGTTAAAAGTGAGAATTGGTTTATAATTAGCAGTAGATTATTTAAAAAGCTGCTTAAACAAAGACACAGATGTTGCATCATGTTTGTGTTGACATGCAAGATGTACACATTAGCACATCTGCCATTTTTTGATGTGCTTAGCATGCCATATTATGATATATGTGTCATGAGTTTACATTAACTCCATGTTCTCTTGTGGAAGGTCCCAATGTGGTTATAAAATCCTGGAAATTAGATTGGCTGAAACAGAATCCAAAGTTAAGCTTGTGATTTGAGGAATGTGGAATTAGGAGAACTAAGAAAGATTAGGGGGAATACAAATAAATGATATTGATATATTCATAGTTATTAATAAATTTGTAATGCAAATGAAGATTGATAATTGGCTCATTTAATTTCTTTTACATAGCTGTTGCAGTCAACTTAAAAAAAAGTAGATGTATGGAGTTATCAGATCATAGCATTTTCACAGTAAAGGCCTACACTACAGAGAGATAATCATTAGTTGGGCCACAATCTCAAAAGTGTTAAAAAAGTAAGAATTCAAGTGTTACGAGGGTTTGGTCATACAGCTTATCTCTGTGCATTTTAGGAATTTTCATTGGAGAAAGCCATGCAGAAGATGGTAGATGAATGGGACAGTGTTATGTTTAATACCACTGAATATCGAGACACTGGTGTGTCTATCCTGGCTGCTGTTGATGAAATACAGACCACTCTTGATGATCAAATTGTCAAGACCCAGACCATGAGAGGATCTCCCTTCATTAAACCATTTGAGGCAGAAATAAAGGTCTGTCTATGATATGTCAATTAATGACATTCTTTTACCTTCATGGTTCTGTCCTGTAATTGATTTGCTTGATAGAAACATAGCATTGATTTACATAGAATACTTTCAAATCACATAAATTTGTTATATTCGATATGTTATATTATACTCTGATTTAATAGCAGAAAAAATTGTACTTTTCATCCCAAATCAATTGACAACTTAAAATGCTCATTAAAATAACTTTGTTCAAAATTTTTAATTGATCTGTACTGTAATCACATGTCTTACATTGTTTGGTTTGCAGTCATGGGAAGAACGCCTGTTGAAGATGCAGGAAATAATTGATGAGTGGCTTAAAGTTCAAGCACAGTGGCTTTACTTGGAGCCTATCTTCAGTTCCGAGGATATAATGCAGCAGATGCCAGAGGAAGGACGCAAGTTTAAGACTGTTGACAGGAACTGGAGAGACATTATGAATTATGTGTGCAAAGATCCTAAGGTAGACAACATGTGATGTCTAGTTCAGTTAAGTTACATTATATTTTGGGTTTCAGGTTGGATATACATTTAAATGTATTTTTTCTTGTCTTATTAACTTTAAGTGATATGTGTCTGCATAAGTATTTTAGAGCAGTTTTACATTTGTGTTAGTGAATTCAGTGCATGTATAAGTAACCAAATGTTATTAATATTGCACTATTATGATGTGTAGGTGCTTTCAGCTACATCAATGCCAAGTATGTATGAAAGATTAAAAGACAGCAATGACTTGCTTGACCAGATCAACAAAGGACTAAATGCCTATTTAGAAAAGAAGAGAATTTTCTTCTCCAGGTTAGTCAGGCTCAACATCCAATGCACAATATTACAGTTTTGTTGTTAAAATATAAAGTTATATATTATTTTTGAACCTTCACTAATGCATAACAGTTTGATTAGAATCCTGCACTCACAGTAAATGCCTTTATAGTTAGAAATGTTAAGAAACTTACAAAGCCAGATTCTTATCACCAAAAACTGTGCTAGAAAGATTTTTTTGTTACAAGTGATTGTTGAAAGTTCTCAGAGATTGCATTGGTTTTCTTGAGTATCTTCTGTGATGGTCTATAAAACCAACTTTTTATTAGAAAAGCAGTGTATACTGGCTAATGATACACAATAATTGAAAATTGCAATATTTATGATCAAAGCTCATCCTTTTTCTGTTACTAAATAAGTGCTGTATGAATGCTGAAACTCTGTGTCTTTTTTATTTGGAACATTAATTCCTCACTTATAGTATTTCTTTGTAGCAATTGATATCTAATAATTGTTAACCTGCTCTACACATATATCAAATAGAAAATGTTTGTTAGATAGCACAACTTATTTGGTCAAAATTTTTTTTTCATTTTTAAAAGGTTGTACTCTGATTTTTGTCACAGATTTTTCTTTTTGTCAAATGATGAGATGCTTGAGATTTTGTCAGAAACAAAGGATCCTTACAGAGTTCAGCCACATCTAAAGAAATGCTTTGAAGGGATTGCAAAGTTAGAGTTTACTTCTGCCTTGGATATTACACACATGTACAGCAGTGAAGGAGAAAAGGTACAATGTACTTTTTTTCTGAAAAGTTATGCTACATGCACAAGACATTTTTTGCATGTGGGAAATTTTCCTTGCCTATTTGGTTCATCGTGGTATACATATCTCTATACAATCCAATTAATCATTGTTGCATTTTTACAGCTAGTAAAGATTGTTTTGCTCCCTATACTTACAGTGTTTTCCATCAGGTTCCTCTCAGTGATACGATATCCACATCAGAAGCACGAGGTGCAGTGGAAAAATGGTTGCTTCAGGTTCAGGATATCATGCTTATCAGCATCCATGACATCATTGAACGAGCTGTCCAGGTATATTTTTCAATTTTTTCTTATTTTTCTATTTTGTGTCTAAGTTGAATCTTGGTTTGGCTTGGTGTTCTTTTATTATTCACTTGCAACCATAAATCTTTGTTTTAACATTCCAAAAATTCTAATTATTTTAAGGCATATGCAACAGATGACAGGAAAGTGTGGGTGTTGAATTGGCCTGGACAGGTGAGATGAAAACAATACTTTCATTGTCATATTTATCTGGTTTTTTTTATTCTTGACTCTGACTTTCTAATCCAGGATTTAAATTTATGGGAAGTCATCTATTTTTCCCTCAAGGTCAATATTGTTATGGTCATTGCGATGCATGAAAAGAAGCTCTTCATGCTGAGAGCATCTTTCCATCCATAATACATTGTTTAAATGGGTATTAATGAACTTTAACAGAAACCTGATGAACCATTAATTCAATGAAGGAAACGAGCGCTGTCTTTTTTCATACCGAATGCAATTTTCCCACTAGGATTTTGTCTAAGTTACACTTATTGATATTTTTCAGCACAAACCTAACATACCAAAGCTCTTAATTTTTGCAAAGAAATTATAAATTTATGTCATATATTTGAACAATGTTTTTTATTTAGACAGCTTATTTGTCATAAATATCAGATGAAATGAATAAGGTCTAAGATAAAATGGCATGGTTTTTAGAATTGCATGTAATAAGAGTCATTCAAAAGAGTTTGTTCCGGTGTTCAATAGAAATAATCGATTATTGTATTTTAATTTTATAAATTGTTCACAATCTATCTGTTTTAGTACTAAACTCTTTAATCTTTCTGTCTGATTTTTTATTGTAGATTGTTATCTGTGTGAGTCAGATATATTGGACTCAAGAGGTGCATGAAGCTATTCGCTCTGGACCTCATGGACTGAAAGAATACCATGAGAAGCTCACCCAACAAGTAATGCACCTATATAGTTATGAGTGACATCATTTGAACACAAATGCGACCAATTTTTATTTACTATACGCTAACACTCTCATTCAGGGAATTAAAGGCATGGCAGAGTTAACCAACAATGAAAGTAACATACCTCCATGATATACAATACCATTTAAAATTCAAATAGAAAGACAGATATGAATAACAGTGCAAATACAAATGCAAATAGAGAAAGAAGTAGAAATACAAAGATAAATGTAAATACAAATGCATATTCATACACAAATCCAAATCCAAATGCAAATATAACAGACAATGCAAAAATAGAGACAAATAACTTTACAAATGCAATAGAAATACCAGTACAAATACAAAAACAAAGACAAATGCAAATATAAATACCAATAGTAATACAAAATTCAAATACAAATACAAAATTCGATTTAAAATACAAATGCAAATTCAAGTAAAAAACACAAATACTAAATTCAAATAGAAACACAAATACAGATACAAAATTAACATTCAAGTGCAAACGCAAACACAAATACAAAATGCAAATACAATTAACAAATGCAAATGCAAAAACAAGTAAAAAGAGAAATACCAGTACAATACAAATACCCATTCAAATGTGAAGACAAATAGAACAACAAAGAAAAAAGAAAAATGCAAATACAAAGACTAATACTGGTGCAACAGAAATACAAGTACAATACAGATAAAAATACCAGTACAGCTACAAATACAAGAAAAAGACAAATGCGAAAACATACACAATGATGTAAAGACTGATAAAGAGAAATACAAGTTCAGACACAAGTACAAATACAAAAACCAGATAAAAATACAAAAACAAATACAAGTAGGGGTACAAGTACAAATACTAGTACAAATACAAATGCAAAGACTAATACAAGTACAAAAAGATACAAATACAAAAACATAAACAAAAAACAAATGTAAATACAAAACAAATACGAAAACAAATACTAAAACATATGGAAAGACAGAAAGAAAAGAAAATAGAGCAACCAATACAAAAGCAAAACCAAAAGCAAATACAAATACAAAAACAAATACAAGTACAAACACATGTACATATACAAATACAATTAAAAATACTTATGGAAAAACAAATACAAGTAAAAAAACAGAAACAAAAATCCAAAAAAGAAAACAAATGCAAAAACAAAGCAAATACAAAAACACCCAAAAATACAAAAACAAATACTTATGCAAATACAGAAACAAATAAAAGTACGAATGCAAGTACAATTACAAAAACCAGATAAAAATACAAAACCAAACAAAAACAAATGCAAAGACTGAAAGGAAAAAAAAATACAGAAACATATTCAAAAGCAAATCCAAATATTAACACAATTACAAGTACAAATACAAGTACATACACAAATACAATCACAAATACAAATGGAAAAAAAAATAAGTATAAAAAAAGAAACAGAAATACAAAAAAAGTACAAAAATACAAAGTAAATACAACACCCCCAAAAAAGAATACAAATGCCAATACATAAACAAATAAAAGTATGAGCTAGTACAAGTACAAATACAAGTGCAAATAGAAGTAGAAATGCAAATGCAAAAACTAATACAAATAGAAGTACTAAAATACAAATACTCAAACAGAAACAAACACAAAACAAAAAAATACAAATACGAAAGGAAATGTGAAAACAAATACAAATCAAAAGCAAATGCAAATCTGAATACAGAAACAAAGATAAGAACAAGTACAAGGACACATTACAAATACAAATGGAAGAACAAATATTAGTATAAAAAACAAAAACAGAAACAAACAGAAATACAAGAAAATACTAATGCAGATACAAAGCAAATACAAAAACAAATACAAATGCTAATACAGAAACATAGAAGTATGAAAACTAGTGCAAATACAAGTACAAATGCAAATAAAAATACAAGGAAAAAATTCAAATACAAAAACAAAAATAAGCATGAAAACAAATACAAAAATAAATGCAAATACTTTAACAAAAGCAAATACAAAAACAAATATGAAATCTAAATCAAATCCAAAAACAAACACAAGTACAAATACAAGTACAGATGCAAATACAATGCAAAAACAGACACAAATACAAATTGCAACGAGATTTTTGTACTAACTGGACATTTGCAGGGAACACAAGGATAACAGGGAAAATAGCTTGTAGAGACCACTTGACAGTGGGAACAGAGAAACTAAGAAATGGATAGAATAGACTGTAGGCAATTAAAAGAGGAAACTTAAGTCTAAATTCACAGCTCTGATATTAAAAACCTCCCTATTGCAGTAGAACTACCAAGGAAATTAAAGTGAGAAGTAGTAATTATTTTTGCCTTTTTATGTAAGGTTGATGCTAAGTTTGGAAAAGTGGTAATGTGAGAAAATTATCCCATGAAAGGAAAGCAAACTTACAAGCACAAACTCAGCTGCCAACTTCCATGAGAAGCAATTTTCCAGAAAGATCATTATAACTTAAATTCACATGCAATTTCAACAGTAATGGTCATCAAAGCATTGACATACAGGTGTACAACTGTGGCTTTTCTAAATTTGTTTTGAAATACTAGAGTAATAGAACTTGAATAAATTAGAAATGGTTAAACATGAAAAGTTTATGCATAAATATGCTCTAAAACCCACGTAAAAACCCTATCTATAATATTTTATATTAAATGACCACAATACAATATTTTGGCTAAACATTTAACAATAAGTAAGTAAGAACAATTTGAATAGAACCAATTCACTCATCATTCCTTATAGCTCAACAGGTCAAGTCAAAGAATGAACAAAACAAAAGAATGTGATCAAACTCATAAAAAATAAAACTTGAACTGCGCAACCCTAAAAAATAATAAAAATCCATCTGAAACACAAAACACTTAAATTGCCCCCTAAAAAAATACAAATACAAAAACAAGATCATAAAAATAAATACAAAAATAAATACAAAAATAAATACAAAAACAAACACTAAAAATAAATGGAAATTCGGATACAAAAGCAAATAGAAAAACAGATACAGATTCAAATACAACAATGAAAGCAAATGCAACTACGAAACAAATACAAATGCAAATCTAAAGGCAAAGGTAAGTACAAAGGTAAAGTGACCAAAAAACAGATGGACAAATACCAGTTCAAATATACTTAAGAGTACAAGTACTAATACTAGTACAAATACAAATACAGAAACAAATGAGACAACGAATATGAAAACAAATACAAATACAAATACAACTACAAATACAACTACAAATACAACAACTAATTTGGTACTTGAAAAGCTAATACTCTTCTGATCGGCTGGAAACAAGTGTGTTCTCATGTAAAGCTAGTGCAAAGTTGTAATATGAGTACAAATTACAAAGTGCATCCATGCTTTCAAAATTTCATCTGCCTTGACTTTTTGTGATGTTTTTTCATTTACATCAGTAACAAATGATATTATAACATAGCTAGTAAATTTATCTAATCAAATTCAACTGCGTGAGTGTGCTTCATATTCCTATTGTGCACACTCATGACATCAGCAAACAAATCCCTCTAGAAAAAATTTCCAACGGGTTGAAAATGTTATAAAACAATTGGTTCATACATTAGCTGTGCATTCACCGAGATATGAAGCACTTGGGAAGTTTGGAGAGCACTCAAGAAGCTAGAGTTGCTCAAGGCATAGCCTTGAGCAACTCTTACGCATCTTTCGTGCTCTCAAAACTTCTTGCCTGCTTCATATCTCAATGAACGTACACTGACATATGAACCAATTGTTAAACATGGTTTCTTTTGAAATTTGGTGTAATGAGCACTGTACATTTTTCAGACTACATATCAATAACTGAAAAATTATTAATATGAAGTCCTTTGAGTGGCAGTGCCCATTTTATCTAAGATATCCCAAAAGAGATGTCCCATGGTATTTACTATTTCAAAAAGAATTTCTGTAGCTACAACTTGCACAAGTTACTACAGGACATTTGAACTCTGGGCCATTTTCACCATGGTTTCTTTTGACTACGTGAGGCAGATTTATCACGTGGTTGCTTTCCTATTTTAATATGATGATCCTTTTGCTTTTCACTCTCATTTTGACCTATCTCCAATTAACGAAACAAGATTAATGATAAAGGTAAAAGTCTACAAAGTAACAATATTTCAAAATTGATATCAGCAATGATAGACTACCTATGGTGAAAGGAAAGAATGTACTGATTAGAATTAGTAACTTTTCTTCTTGGAATTGCATTTCATGATGTTGTTTATAGTTTTTAGCTTCATACAATCTGAGAATGGCAATTTACTTAAGCATAGCAGTTTCTTAAGTTGATCACTTTAAATTTATTTAGCTTTCAGACATTGTGGTCCTTGTTCGTGGTAAGCTGTCAAAGCAGAACAGGACCACCCTCGGAGCTCTTGTGGTAATTGATGTTCATGCAAGAGATGTGGTACATGATATGGTAGAGAAAGGTATATTTGTTTATGATTTTTCCTAAGTCATTTGCTAATCCCAGAATTAGTATTTATTATGGTAATACATGTATAACAAGTGTATATCCATGCGAGAAGGTTGTAAACTATTCCTATGTTGATGTTGTTTGGTAATGAACAAAAGCAAGACCCCAGAGTTTAAACATATTTGATAGAACATCAAAAAAGACAAAAAACCTCTCATGGATATTGTGGTTGTAGGTATTGTTTGGCCAATGAAATGTCCTACAAACATTATCCATCAATCATTGGTATTAAGTTAATCCTGGCAAATGAAAATTTGGGTAAAGTAGTAGACATGTCTGCTGATGAACATTGTGAATCAAACACCAACTATGGTGTACAGTTTAGTGTTTCAGTAGCCTGACCCTGGTTGATTATTACACAGTTATGAGCTTCCAGAAGACTCAACTGCATTACTTTTCCACGTGTGTATTGAATATGAGGTTAGCAATTGTCAACAAGACTTGCGTTTCTCTTCATGAAATTTTCATATCTGGCAGGTGTCTCTCAGGAAAATGACTTTCAGTGGTTGTGCCAGATGCGTTATTACTGGGAACAGGATAATTGTCTGGTGAGAATCATCAATGCAACTGTGCGCTATGGATATGAGTACCTGGGCAACTCTGGCAGGTAAAAACAATGTTGTCTGCTATTCAAATATTCTTAGGTACATGTCGTAGTTTGCTGTACCCTACATGAAGAAAATGATTATAGTCATGGATTTCTTTTCCTAGGCTTGTTATTACACCACTGACAGACCGTTGTTACCGTACACTTGTCAGTGCTTTTCACCTGAACCTTGGAGGAGCACCAGAAGGTCCAGCTGGTACTGGCAAGACAGAGACCACCAAGGTTTAACTGAAGTATTAAATTCTGGTTTACCATCAATTGTACTGTGTCTGATCCTCATGCTAACTAATAAATTTCTCTATATCCATTTGTTTTTTCTCTTGTAGGACTTAGCAAAGGCCCTTGCAATACAGTGTGTGGTGTTCAACTGCTCTGATGGTTTGGACTACTTACAAATGGGCAAAGTATGTTAAAGATATCTTAATGTCTAAACTTTCATAGTTCTTCTATATGTTGACATTTTTTTACTTTTTGAAAGTTTTTTAAAGGGTTGGCATCCTGTGGTGCATGGGCGTGTTTTGACGAATTTAATCGCATTGAGTTGGAAGTTCTGTCTGTGGTAGCTCAACAGGTATTGATGTTATTATCAGTTATTTTTATGTAAAGAAACTTACTCATAGGGCTGTTGAAGCTTTTTGTGGTTTGTCCTTACCCCTCAAATTAAAAAATGTTACAAGTTCTCAGACCACCACTACATCAGTTCTATTTACTCATTATGTCTGAATAAGTAACAATGTAAGTATTAAAATACATTTGCTTTTTCAGGTTCCATTGTAGTAATCGTTTGTTACTTCTTTGCATTGACATGAAACCTCTCAACTTCTCCACATACAGTGGTTTCAAAATTTTCCTTTGTTGTAGTTTTTTTTAATATGTAATCTCAGAAGTTTTTTTTTCTTCTAGATTTTGTGCATCCAGCGTGGTATAGCTGCTCACCAGGACAAGTTTGTGTTTGAAGGAACAGAACTGAACCTTAACTCAAACTGTTTTGTGGCAATCACCATGAATCCTGGTTATGCAGGGAGATCAGAACTGCCTGACAATCTCAAGGTATAATGCAACGTATGCATGGTCTCTTGAGGTTTGTGTAATTAGTTCATAGTTTGGAAGGAAACACTCCATTGGTTTATGTACAATTTAGTACATAGTACTTGACATTTCATGTTGCACATTTCTTAGTAGAGTAAGCACATATCACCATGTTTATGTTAAATTGTTTGGAGAGAGAATTTGTGATTATGTGCTCACTATTTATATTTGTTTTGTTTTCTTAATGACCAATATTTCTACTATGGTCATCATTATTTTTATGATTATAGGTTGCCAAAGGCTACTTTGAAAGAAGTTGATGTTGAAGACTAATCTCTCTTCATTTGACAATTTACCATCTTTCATTTATGTATACACTTCATTTTTCCACACATTCTTGACCGTGAAAACAAATAAAAACATTTCAAACTCTAAAGTAGTATGTAGATACAGTGTAGTTAATTCCTTGACCAAAAGATCAAGAAAGGCCCCCAAAATGCAGCTAAGCTCAGCTCTCATATTAACAAATGATGCAAGAGTTGGAATTGTTGGTCATGTTTTAAACTAAAATGGTGTCATTTTAGGTGCTGTTTCGTACTGTAGCCATGATGGTACCAGACTATGCATTGATTGGGGAAATCATGTTGTACTCCTATGGATTTGTAGATGCTCGCAATCTGTCGGTTAAAATAGTTACTACCTACAAACTGTGCTCAGAGCAGGTTAGTGTAATATATATATATATATATATATATATATATAAAGATATAGATAACATCTGCTCAGTTGATTACAACATTATTCGTTTCCAGTGACAACAGTTCTTTACAAGACTATATTCACAATGACACTCACATTGAATGTTTCTCCTAGCTTTTTATTAGAGGAAGACATTCCATAACACTGTACAAAGTGTTTGCATTTGAAAGGAAAAACGAATTTATTTATCTGTTTATCAATAGCTCTCTTCCCAGTTCCACTATGACTATGGTATGCGAGCTGTGAAGGCTGTCTTGGCAGCAGCTGGCAACCTGAAACTCAAGTATCCATCAGATGATGAAAATGTCCTGTTACTGCGTTCGATAATGGATGTCAATCTACCCAAGTTTCTCTCTCATGACATTCCATTATTTGAAGGGATCATTTCTGACCTTTTTCCTGGGGTATCTCTCCCTAAAGCTGATTATGGCACCTTCCTTGACACTGCAAAAGAGGTTAGTCTCTCTGTTGAAATATCATGTTGCAAGAAAGATGTAATCATTTGTCTTCCTTCATTGCTTAGTTTTGTTTGTTTGTTTGTTTGTTTTTTCGGGAGGGTGGTCTATACAATTAAATTATTACCTTACCAAAATTGTCATTTGTTTCTGAATATCTTTCCTCTTTATTTTTTAGATATGTGACAAGAAAAATCTTCAAATGGTGAATTTCTTCAGTGAAAAGATTATCCAAACTTATGAAATGATGATTGTTCGTCATGGGTAAGAAGTGAATTCTCTAGATCAATTGTTCTATTATTAATCTTGATTATATAAACCCATGTAAAATAGCATATAAATTTATAGGTACCCTGTAAAAATATTTATTTTTATCTCATAGTTTCATGATGGTGGGGGATCCATTTTCTGGGAAGACACAAGTATTACAAGTACTGGCTGAGACATTAAATGTACTCACAGATAGAGGTTATGATGATGAAAATGTTAACAAGGTAAGCTCTCAATTAGAAAGATATAAAGTTGTCACCTATATAATGGAATATATCTAGTTGAGTCTTAATGCAATAAATAAAGCATTTCTGATACAAACTGAATGAATTGAGGTATCTTTTTCTTCATGTCTAGCCTTTGCTGAAATTGTAAAAGAGCTAACTGGATTTTCTTCAATCATGAACATACTTCTTTATTGTTTCAGAATAGCATATACTGTAACCTTGATATTAGAGTCTTTCTCTTTCAACATTGCAGAGTGTAAAGGTGTACACATATCTACCAAATTGTATGGTTGATATACAATTGTACTAGATTGATCAGAGATTATGTGCAGATATACTCTTTTTTGTGATGGTGATGTTCAGTAGTGATGCAAATGAGACCTAACTGGTTAAGTTAATTGCTTTTACATTGTCTCTAGATTCACTTGCCCAATGTACATGTATTAGGTTACCTATACTGATGACACAATACCTGTTTACTCATTAGGTCTGGTTTCGTGTAATAAACCCTAAAGCTATCACTATGGGACAATTATTTGGTCAGTTTGACCCAGTTTCACATGAGGTGAGTAGTGTTGTTTCTGTTGTCTCCAACAAAAATAGTCCATTTTACAGTTGCGCGCTTAGTTGCCAAGCCTTTGAACAGGAGTGAGGCTAAGGGTGACCTTGTTATGATACAAACCTTGTGGCTTTTCAAATGCAAATGACTTTGTTATCATGCTAATTGGATACTGGTCTCTATCACAACAAGGTCACCTTGTACACACAACTGTAAAATGGCCTATTAAACTAACTGGTGTGTAAAATTTTGTTGTAAATTTATTACACATACTATTAAGTGTTATTTTTGGAAAAGAAGCTATCCCTTTTAGATTAATGGCCTAAGAGGTTCATTTAGAATCAGACTGAGTTACAGAAGGCAATTAAAAATGGATGAGTTAACTGTAGCTGCATGTTCTGTGATGCAAAAGTTATTCAGCAGCAAGTCCTGTAAAATGACCTAAACCACTTTATTTTGTTTTTGTTTTTTGCTAGAGTTGTTTTCCCACTTAGAATTGTTAATCGATTTTTTTGTTTTACTTCTTTCATAGTGGACAGATGGTATTGTTGCAAACACTTTCCGTGAATATGCAGCAGATCAAACTGATGTAAAGAAATGGGTTATTTTTGATGGACCCATTGACACCTTATGGATTGAGAGCATGAACACTGTTCTAGATGACAACAAGAAGGTTTGTTTTTAAATTTCCCTCTACACTACCTACATGCATACTTAACAGAAGTGAATTGAAGTGATCATAGTTTTAAAGACAGAAGCAACTACATTTTATTTAACCATAAGGATATATTCAATTTATTCACAATATAGTGGACTCTCCTTGGTTCATGCTTTTTATTTCTTTTTCCCAAGCTGTGTTTGATGAGTGGAGAGATAATACAGTTGTCAAATGTCATGAGCTTGATTTTTGAATGCAGGGATTTATCACAGGCCTCTGTAAGTACTAGTAGAAATAAATAAGCTGGTGAATTGCCCTAAGCATGAACAGTGATCCCTGTTTGGAAATCCTACCATGGCTTTGACATGCCAAGAAACATATTTTCTGTTTTTTTTAGTTTGGACATCAGATTCTCATACCTTACCACCTCAGCCATACTGAATATTTGTGCTTTAAGTTTTGGAAAGAGGTCTTTATTGTTCTATTAGTCTTGAGCTTGGAAATTTGTCTGGATAGTTTACTTGCACTGTCAAGGTGCAAGACTGCAAAAACCTTTGGGGATGTTATTTTAATGTTTATTATTATTATTATTATTATTATTATTATTATTGTTATTATTATTATTATTATTGATGCTATTATAACTACAGTATACTATGCAATTCCAGTTCTATTGTTACGGGGACATATTTACTGATAATCAGCCCTCCAATCAGAGCTATTTGATATAAAGTGTTTGAAAAATTCAAGAGTTCTGTGATTATGATACATGTTATTTCATTAAAGAGTGAACAAAGAGTTGGCCTTAAATGAGAGATAAAATTTCTAGGTGTGCTATTGTTTAAACTTGGCATAGATTTTATAATAGACTGTAATGCTTCCATCTGTGTAGCCTGCCACTGTAAGCCGCTGTGGTATGATCTACCTGGAGCCAGCCTCTTTAGGCTGGGAACCTTTGCTACAATCCTGGTGTAACACATTGCCTGAGGTCCTCAACAATGAAAACAGAAAACTTATTTTAGCTCTCTTCCAATGGGCTTTGCCAGCTTGCATCAGTTTTGTTCGCAAGAATTGCAAGGTGAGTTTCACACGTCTTTTCAGAAGTATTTTGTATTTGTAGTCCAATTTTTAACCTTAATTGGCTTCAAAATTTCCAGGGAAATTACTTGTATGTTACTTTATATCTTACATGAAAAAATTAAATTGAGCTATTTCTGAGAATTGTAGTCCATGAAAAAAGGTAACTGCAATATATGTTATATTATGTTATTTATTCATACATACATACATGTATAGATGTACTGTATTTAACCTTTGCTGTAGAGAATGGTAGTACTTAAAAGAGCTTGAAATCATGCAATCAAATTAGTAAAACATGATGAGTTAATTTGTTGTTAGATTAACCTTGAGGCTAATTTTAAGGAAAGATATTGGTAGTTGTGAAAGAGAAGTGGAATTTTTCCTAGGTGTGATGAAAACTTTGCAATTTTTCCCTTGTACAAAATTCTTAAAACTTATCAACTATCGCAACTTATTTACAACTTATGTTTTCAAACTTTCAATACTCTTAACCCTACAAACTTTGCCTTCCTGTTCTCCCTCTTCTAGCTTAAATATTAACAGAATTAGAGAAATTTGAGTTATCCTTTTGAGAGTTTGCACTGTATAATGTATAGGAACCTGTTTCCATGCAAGACAGTAACCTAGCTCGCTCTCTGATGAACCTGGTGGAGATTCTAATGAAGGATATCCCAGAGGAGGATAACAAATATGCAAAATCTTGGTTGATTGTAAGTCCATTTTTGAAATTTGAAGAATGCAACTGTAATTTGAAATTTGCAAAGTATTTGCCTATTACATGTGAAACTGTTGAATAAGGTGTATTAAAAAAAATTGTGCCCAAAGTCTTGAGTATGGCCAGTTGGCTGATGGCAGGGCTAGTACTCAAGACTGAAGCTACAGTTTTTCTTAGTAAATGCAGACTTAATTTGCTAAACATGTTTATTTTCTTCATGCAACGATTTACATTGTACTGATGGAAGTTTGTTTTCTAATTGTATCACTGCCTCAGACAATGTGACATCTAAAAACTGTTTATGATTTAGTCTGCGTGCACTTTGAGATTGAAAGTGACAAATTTTTTGACACAAAATGTGAACCACCAATTTAAACAGATTTATTTTTAACTTCTTGAAATTAGTTGCAATTAATTCAGTGGGTAAGTTCTTCAAAACTGCACCTCCTGTAGAAAATTTGTATTTAAGTGAATTTTGTAAATACAACAATCTTGTGTTGGTCCATGAAAAAGGCTAGAATAAGAATTATTAAAGAACTATCCAACAATTTTTATGTAGTGATTGTATTTAAATACATTGAACTCCATAACAGAATGAACCATTTCTCATAATTTTCAATTATTTATTTGACTTTTTAATGTGGCCAACACATTTTGTAAGTAACTCTTTCTGAGTGGATATAAGAAAGTTAAGGATGTGCTTTTGTATCTATTTCAGTCCTCTTTCTTGTTTTCCATGGTTTGGTCAGTTGGGGCTTGTGTCGATACAGATAGTAGAGCAAAATTTGATGTATTCTTGAAAGACCTGATGGCAGGCAAAAATGAAGAATGTCCTATCCCTTCCATAGTGGGCAAGATCGAATCACCAATTCCAAATGAAGGATTAGTTTATGACTACTTGTTTGAGGTGAGAAGGCATATATTGTAGCCTTTGAAGTCTGTGGGTCTTTGGGCTTTTCTGCTTTCATGAAAGAAAAGAATGCTTTATTTAAAAAAAAGGGTTTGAGGTAAAAAAAGGCTTGAAAGGAAGCATTGTAAAACTTTGTATAGCAGCATGTTTTTATGAAGTCATAGCAATTTTTTCCACCTCTCTACCTCAGTGTTTTTCAGCAATGACTATCTAAAAGAGACTTTACATGGATGTTACTAAAAGCCAGAGTTGGGAACGGGGAATGGAAAAATGAAATGGGAAATTGAAAATGGCATATTAATTTAATTAATTAATTTTATGTTTATTACACAGAATAGAAATTTCCCACTCCCCACTCCCCACTCCCCACTCCCCACTCCCCACTCCCCACTCCCCACTCCCCCCCCCCCCCCTCCCCCCCCCCCACTCCCCCCTCCCCACTCCCCCCCCCCCCCCCACTCCCCATTCCCCATTCCCCATTCCCCATTCCCCATTCTCCATTCCCCATTCCTCATTTCTACTTTTAGCAACATTCACTGTGCAGGTTTGATGTTTTAGTGCAGATGTTATTTTATTTGGTGTCTTATTAATGTCTTTCTGTACATGCAACTTGGTGACAAGTGTTTTAATAGAGATAAGCCAGGTTTGAAGTTCTTTCCAATTATAAGTTTTTACATTTTGGCATGCACTGGTCACCAAATCATGCGACAAAGCATAGTGTGAATTTGTTTTGTTTCCTTTTGGCTGCCAGGGTCAGTCCAGGCCTATGTCATTGAAACAATGATTATTTCCAGAAACCCAGGTCTCCATGATAAATTTAGCATGTTGATTGATTGTATATTACAGGCATTACATTGAGTTATGCAGATGAAACTTGAAAACTCCCTTTTGTTTGTTATCTAGAGAAAGGGTCGAGGGAACTGGATTCCATGGACAAAAACCATCAAGGAAGGTGTTGCAGGTGGGAAGGGGCAGCAGATAAGTGATATTATTGTTCCCACCATGGACACAGCACGCTATTCATACCTAATGGAGATCATGTTTAACAATAACAAACCACTGCTTCTTGTTGGCCCCACTGGAACTGGAAAATCAGTTTATATCAAGGACAAACTCATGAATGGTATCGACAGGGATGTGTTTATTCCTGCTTTTGTAAATTTCTCAGCCCAGACAAGTGCTAATCAAACTCAGGTGAATAATTTACATCAATATTCATATATTTCACTCATTCACTTAGCTGGTTTTGGGAAACACCTAAATACTTGTACTACAATGAGTAAATCATGTAAAGAGACCTGATGACTTCAGGGTTGAACTTGATCTGATTCATAATTCAGTCTGTGATCCAATCCAGTCTGATCCAGGTTTTGTTGACACCAGTAAATCTCCTTTCAAATCTAATGGCAAAGAATGCAACATTTTATCCCAATTAGACTATATATATTTAGTCTTGCTTCCAACTGAAATTCTTTAGAAATTTGAAAATGTGATCAAGGCGAAGAGGCCTAACTGACATCAACATGAAAGTATAAATAAATTGTTTCTATTTTAGAATATGTTTTAATACCAATTTTTGGATTTGGTTTCACAAATAAGATCCCCAGCCTCGATAAATCCAATCATCATGGAAAGACCAAATCCAGTAATTGTGTTATTACACATGAATAACCTAGTAAGCAATTATGCCTTATTGAGGTGATAACAAATGTTGTTAAACATCATTAGGATATTATCATGTCAAAATTGGACAAGAGGCGAAAGGGAGTATTTGGACCACCAGTTGGAAAAAGGTGCGAAAATTGTATGACAGCTGACTTATCTGTTTTTTAACACATTACAGTTCAATAGCTTGCATTTGTAAGAATCTCTTGCATCCTACAGTGATTATCAATAGCATGTTCCTCACCAAATCTGGGGTTGTGCACACCACAGTGTAGTTTTCATGTCTTAGATTGATAACTAAACAGCTTTTCTTCACTGTTGGCTATTTATTAATAAGTTCAACTTTCTGCTGTGCATAAAACATGTATGAAATCCAGATCAAAAAAGGAGAGATAAAGATGAATTCAGTTTGATTCATTGCCTGTTTTCTATAACTGCTTTGGTCAGGTATTGCTGCTGCTTAAAAAACAAGGTCGGCATCTAAATGAATGAAAAAGAAAATGAGTAAAATGTTGATACTTGCACCTCCTATGTTCTGGCACTATTCCCCATCTTACACTATCTGATTCTGATGCTGGTCATCCTGAAAAGTTAAAATAAAGCTACTTTAAGTTGAAGTAACTTCTAGAATTTCCTTGACTGAAGGAAAGAAATCACCTCATACACTATTCCTTGAGAGTACCAGTTCACTTATTTACCTTTTTATTCATTTAGATGCTGACCTTGTTTTTATATATCATCAGTTTAAATCAAACCACAATATTTGAAATTTGTACTGTTACAGTAATTAAAGTAAACATTCTTAGATTTGAAAGTTAATCTGTGTGAACAAATTATTGCAATTGTTCTTTATCTTTCCTTGTTTTGATCTTGAGCAGTGATTTCCTCACTTGAATCTAGCTTGAATCATTGTCTTCATTTCATGTGTATCATTAATTTTGTTTCAGCTACCCCAGTAACACTAGTGGCACACTAATACTCAGAGAATTCAATTTTCATTGCTTTTACAGATTCATTATTTTTGTTGATGATGTAAATATGCCTGCTCTGGAAAAGTATGGTGCCCAGCCTCCAATAGAACTTCTTCGTCAGTATTTGGACCATGGGAATTGGTATGACAGGAAGGACACATCTAAATTGACTTTGATTGACCTTCAGTTTGTGTGTGCAATGGGTCCTCCTGGTGGTGGTAGAAACCCTGTCACTCCTCGTTTCCTGCGACACTTCAATGTAGTATCAGTTGCCACATTTGGTGATGACACAATGCAGAGGATCTTCTCCACTATTGTCAACTTTTACTTCAGGGTAAGGGTTTCATGCCTGTTTCACTTTTAATTTTTTTTTCCATAATATTTCTCCATGATCTCTTTAATGAAGTGTCTTTTATTTCTATGAAATGAATTAATTTACTCATAAAGTGAGAGTAAATATAGACCATAGAAAGCACCATTTTGAAATACAGGTCAATAACCTGTTTGCATTCATGCCCAAAAGGTGGGAGCCACAACTCATACTTCACAAACAGATGCAGCTTTGGTTAAAAACAAAACTTATGTTCTGAGTCAATGATGCCTTTTTATGAAGCCCCCAACTATACAAATAGATCACCAAGAAATAGAAATAGGAATTAGGAGCTAGGCTTTAGTATGTCAAAGGTTAGAGGCCAGGTTCCTAAGCAGCAGTCAGAATGACAGTTCCCCTAGTTTTGTTTTGGAAACTCAATTTACAGCAAGTGTCAGTTTCATATGTGCCTTCAACAATTGCACACTTAATTTAAAACCTTTAATTGAAGCAATCTATATTATAGTGCAAGTGAGTTGGCTAGTCAAAAGAGTCATTTTGTTCCTTATTGCAAAATGGGCATCATTTGACATACATAACCACAACTGCTTTTTTTTTCCAAAAGAACAATGAATTTCCCAATGATGTCTATGCTATGGGAACTATGATAGTTGGGGCCACAATGGAGGTAAAAATGAAATTATCATTAACTTAAGATCTACTTGTAACAACTTGCTGCAGTTCCAAAAGAAGATTAATTGTTATCATAAATGCAACTCATTGATATCTCCCAAAAATTTGGTTTTTACGAAGATCATGGAAAGGTGAGAGTCCTTGGTAACTGCTATGATACAGTCTATTCTAAGGAAAAGACAAAGAAGGGCATGAATTTTTAATCTAAGTAATCAAAGAAAATATCATTCTTCTGCACATTTCTGTAGTCATTTCATCTTTTTTGTCAGGAACAAATATGATTTTGCTCTTTATCATTATTTTCTTTTTTCTAACTGTTGGCTCTGTCCAAAAAAATGTTTTTTAAATGTTTGCAAACTAGCTATATTTTTAGTTTTAGCCTGTATGTATCTCAACTTCAGTCAGTAGGTTTTGCTGTATCTAATAACTAAACAGTTTCTAAATTCTTTTTAAGTTTTAAGGATGGTTCAATTTGTTTCTTTGAATTACAGGTGTACAAACAAGCTATGGTGAATCTTTTGCCTACTCCAGCCAAGTCACACTACACATTCAACTTAAGAGACTTCTCTAGGGTCATCCGTGGGGTTCTTCTTATCAAAAAAGATGCCCTAGCAGATAAGAAGACATTAAGCAGGTATAAATATAAATGAACATTACAACTGGAAAGTGTGCTAATTAGAATAGGAGTGAGCTGTGATGCCATATCAAGGCTAGAACCAGGTATTATTATTTTGCAGTGTAACAGAATAGACTTTTAAGGATTCATTCACATTTGTTAAGCTAAGCTTGGTAGTTTGTGTATGGGTTAGTGCATGTCATTAAGAGTTTTGCTTAGAGGCATGACTAGCATTTTCCAAGGTTCTACAGATCCCTTTCACCAGAGACACCAGGCACACAATACCCTTAAATCCCCACTGAGCTATAGCTGTTGCATTTGTATGGTCATTACTTTTATTTTGTGATGCAAGAGTGATCTATGAAAGGAGGTTCCAAGCAGTGTTCAGCTTTTCATCGCTTTTAGTGTCAGGTTTAGTTTAGTTTAAGTACATTGAATAGTGCTCAGTTTTAGAATCATTTCTAATTAGAAAAAACTGTTTTCAAAATTAAAGGGAAACCTTGCAATTCCTTTTCTGGGGATGTTAGAGACAAGACCCTTTTTGAATGGTCCTTTCAGAGAAAAAAAATTAAAACAACTCCCACCAAAAAGTAACCATATAGAATCACTAAAACAATTTGCCTATTAAAGATAGATAGCTTAGAAAAACAACTTTCAAATCAACTGTTGTTGTCTAACGGTCCAATGTTTAATTTTTATCAATTTTCATTTTTTTTTTACTCCAAAAAATTAAGTTCCAGCAAAAGAATATTATTTACTTTTTTAAAAAAAATTTGTCTATGAGGAAAGAACATGAAAGTGAGGAAGATAAATTGGAAACCTCTTCAGTAGGCTTATCCTCCATACTGTTCCCCAGACATCTATGTCACTGACGAGGAGAATTTGTTCAAGAAGGACAAGCTTTTGAAGCTGGTCGTCATTTTCTTATGTGGACTGTTGTACTGAATCTGATGAAATTTTGTTTTCTTTACTAATTTGTGCAAATCAATGGAAATTTACTACTTACAGGAGTAAGTTCTTTAGGGTGTTCTGAATCACTTACTGCTTCCAGCAATTCTACTTTTATTAAAACCTGGCTCTAGAAACTGTGAAAATCAATTTAAAAAAATCACCTTTTTGATTTGCTATTTGCACCCCAAATGAAAAATAAGATATTTTTATGTTAATTTCCTCTGCCTCTGTGGCACCTGAAATGAGTGCCAATTTCATTTCAGACAAGGTGGAGTATTTTTAAATTTCTTTTGGATGCTGCTCAGGTCAATTTCATTAGATAATGTTTTATTTCACTTATTGCAATAAGGCAAAATAGGAAATACAGTGAGGTTCTCTTCCTTTTGCTGCTTTTTGTGAAAATAATTGCACTTTCTCTGGGGCTTGATTGACACCTGACAAAGTGAAGTGTATGTTTCAGAGTCAGTGAACAGCTGACAAGTTTCTTGTGTTATTTCTCTGATATTTATTGACAAAAAATGTTTTCTTTTAGCTAAAATATGTGGACCGAAAAAAGGAGGATGAATTCTATTTGATATTCCTGGTATATTTTCTGTTTCAGATTGTGGGTCCACGAGGTGTACCGTGTGTTCTATGACCGTCTGGTTGATGATAATGATAGGGCTTGGTTACACAGGTGTGGTCCTGTTTCACTATCGGTTACATTCCTGTTGCTGTTTGGATGTCATAATGATGTTATATTATGTTTATTATATTATCTTGCAGTTTGCTCAAAACAGTTACCAAGGAACATTTGAAGGATGATTTTGACTCATTATTTAAACACTTGTCATCTGATCAGAAAACGGTAACTGTGCCTCAACAGTCCTTTATCTGCATGAGGAATTTGATTTATTACTTAATTTTCAAACAGGAAACTTTCTTGGTTAATTTGTGTGACAATTCACATAGAGAGCTATTTTTATGTTTTTTTTTAGGCATCTGAAGACGACTTGAGAAGCTTGATGTTCTGTGATTTTCTCGATCCTGATGTGGTAAGCTGGAGAGAAGACTATTAAATTACTCTCTAGCAGAATCGAGTAGACTCCAATTGAATTTAAATTAAAATTTGCATTCGAACTTACTAGTTTATGCGGTAATTAGATTTCTGAATTGGGCATTGTGTACTACAAATAAATTTAAAATGGTTTGTATTTTACACCCCAAAAGATAGGTGAGGATCGTTTGTATCAAGAGGTGAACTCCATTGACGAACTTTATAAGATTGTGGAGCAGTGTCTTGAGGAGTACAACCAGACACACAAGACACAGATGAACTTGGTCATCTTCAGGTCAGCCATGATTTAGTCTTTATTGCATTCGTAAACATTTGGACTTTGTCGACAGCCAAAGTCAACTTTGGCAAGACATCTGAACAGCTTAAGAATTAGTCGTATTTGTGTAGTTAACTTGGTGTAGATTGCAAAAATGCAATGCGAGGTTCTCATTATATCGTGACCAATGTACTTACCTTGTTATAGAGAGAGATGATTTTTCGTCATGTCACAGCTGGGAACAGAGATATAAAATCTCAGCCCAATGAGGAATTGCACTTCACACCTTCACTTTCTGTACTCCAATACTAAAAACTAAGCTACAGTCATTTCCACGGCGAAACATGTCATTTCTAGGTTCTTGCAAAGGTGATCAGCTCACCAAAATGGTAGCTTCAGGAGAAAAGTAGGTTACAGTTCCATATCAGTTTTCCTAATTGTTTGTTATTGGTGGTGGTAGATATGTACTGGAGCACTTGGTGCGCATCAGTCGTATCTTGAAACAGCCCGGAGGAAATGCTCTACTTGTCGGAGTTGGAGGTAGTGGAAGACAGTCTCTGTCCCGTTTGGCAGCAGCCATTTCTGACTTTTACGTCTTTCAACCAGAGATCTCCAAAAGCTATGGTCTTCCTGAATGGCGCGAAGACATCAAGGTTAGTGATGCATAAGACTTCTAAGTAAAACTCCAAGAGCTTTTTATGAGGCTGATTTTAATTAAAGATAGATTGGGAGTTATGATTGTGATAGGAAGCTGAGAGTGATATGATTTGCTGAAGATCAAAGCGACAGAATCACAAGCTGGATGCCAATGCCACTTATGACCCCAAAACTCGTGGTCTGGTGAAAACTGTATCCTTGAAGCCATAATGAGCTTGAGGGTCTAGTTGGCTTTGCGACTGGTAATTTTTTCATTTATTTATTTGTTTATTTATTTTTTTAATGTTTTTTACTTCTGCTTGCAACACTATCAATACAGTTTTATTGGATAACAAGCTTCCAAGTTCTACACAGAATCGTTTGAAAATGTGAACCCTCCGACTCCAAATCTATCAAGCTAAAAATTTCATTTACCCCACGAATGACTTCAAGTTTTGATCTTCATCCATTTTCTTGGCTAGTGACAACCAGGCTTTTGTCCTATCTCCTGTCAATGCACAGTTTGTATTTTTATTTCCTTGTATCTTTAGACGCTGCTTAAAAGTGCAGGATGTCAAATGAAGCCAACAGTGTTTTTGTTGACAGACACTCAAATAAAGGAAGAGTCTTTCTTGGAGGATGTGGACAGCTTGCTTAACACTGGTGAAGTTCCAAATTTGTTTGCAGTTGATGAGAAAGCTGAGATCAATGAGGTAACTGCAGTTTCTTTTCTACAAGTGAAAATAATATAAACATGTTTTTCATTTCGACTGGACGTCAGTGACACATTAACATAAATCCGTGACTCAGTTCACTGTGTACTTATTTCAAATTTATGATAAGAGGGGATGGAGTACGTATTTGAGGAAGTGGGGGGGGGCGGTGCTTATTTTCCCTTTCTTAAATTGTGGCCCAATTCATTTACAATGGTTATTTGAGAACTACCAAATGAACTGTAAATAAATTGTAAGAGTGGATCGTAAAATTTTTTGATGTTGTAACATATAAACTACTAAACTAAACTAATCGAATTCGAGGTCCTTAATACAGCTTGCAGAAATAGATAGGAAGGCGTTCAATTCAAGGTTCAACAATAGATTTTATTCGAAGTTTCGCAATAAGTGAAGAACTGGTGTTAGCTTATGTAACACTCAGTGCAAGTTTTCTTTCACGTGCAAGTGATAAAGAACTGTAATTTTCCCTTTCCCATTTCGGTCATGGAGATTTCTGCTTTAAAAAAATCATTCTGTAAGGATTGCCCGCAAACAGTCTTGTTAAGGCCTTGCATGTACATATGAAATTTATATGTAACTCTGTTTTTAAAGTGAATCTCCCCTGGTCTGTCTATATTCTGTCCTTCTTTTTCTTTAGAGTGTTCGCCCAGCAGCCCAAGCCAAAGCTGACGATAAGAATGCTGAATTTTCGCCCTTGGCATTGTTCAATTTCTTTGTGAATTGTTGTAAAGGAAACCTTCACATTTTGCTATGCATGAGTCCTATTGGTGATGCATTCAGAAACCGGCTCAGGCAGTTCCCAGCTCTAATCAATTGCTGCACTATTGACTGGTTTCAGGTGATCTCTTACTTGAGCATGTTTATATGTTTTATGTTTACATTGTATCATTCTTGGGCTTGTGGTTCAGTTTAAAATCATTTGTTGCCTACAGTTTGAAGTGCCACCAGGATGAAAAGAGCCGTTCTTGCTCTATCTCGATTGTAATATTACTTTTTGCCTGAGCGGCAATTGTTGCCATTACAATACTTCAACTGAATATAATGTCAAATTTGATATTGGGTTAATACAGTGACACTCATTATCACCACCATTACGCTGCAAGTAGTTAGCTTATTGGAAAGCTCGGATGACATGTATGAGACTACTTGATGGAAAATTACTTTCTTATCTCTGCACATATAATACCGTACATATCATTATAATTATTTATTTGTATTTTTATCTATTTATTTACTTGTTCATTTATTGTAGCCATGGCCTGAAGATGCTTTGGAAATGGTAGCTAATAAGTTCCTTCAAGATGTGGAAATGACCGATAATGAACGTAAAGAAGTTGTTCCAATCTGCCAGTATTTCCATACAAGTGCTCGACATTTGTCTGAAAGGTAATTTTTGTGTGTGTAAAGTTGCTGTTCTTGTTGTTTTGTTTTATTTGTATAACGGTGGTTTATGCGCATTGAATCATGATTCAACAGGTATGTAGAGCTAAGCTTGAGTTCAGCTACTACGCTATCTTTGAGTTTAGTCCTATTTGTGATGTTCACAAATTCCAGCACTGATGTGACCTCCTGACTTCTCCATCTATGGTTGGGGTTTGTAGTCTACGTTAATGTTTCATACAAATAGGCTCTTGTACACGGTGGAAAACTGATTTGATGTAGATCCACCTGTGATATGCTTGTGTTTTTTTGAAGTTTTGTTCATCAAATAGATGAAATTTAAACCTTGCTAAACACTTCGGTCTTTGATTCTATTTCGTTAGTTGGAAGTTTGATTGCCACGCTGTTTTATTATTATAACGTTACAAAAACTAAAATCTATCCGCAGGTATCTTGATAAACTTGGCCGGCATAACTACGTGACACCCACCTCATATCTGGAGTTGATCTCTTCACTAAAAACTCTCTTGGGAAAGAAGCAAGATGAGGTGTGTGTTTAAGCTGAGTATTTAGGTATTAATCATTGACCAATCATAGTTAACAATTATTCCATCAGGGCGCGTTGGATGTGGGAATGGAATAGTTATTTAATTATATTTCATTAAATCCTCAACGTTTGGATAAATCCAACGCTTTTTTTTAGCTATGCAACAGTTGGTGCAATGCATTTCCATTCTAGGGGACTCGGAAGATGAGTTGATGACCGGAGTTGAGTGAACGAATCAGAACACCAAAAATGCAATATTCGGAGTTGGAAATTTAATAACAATAGTTAGATATAAATCAAGCTTTTGATCTATTTGACCACAACATCACGCTCAGGTTTGCACTGAGTTCCAAATATACCCAAAGCTAGGCGTAGAAGGACCAGGCACATATTACCTTTAAATAGCGAATTATTCTTAACGGGGAAACACTAAAAGGTTATTTGTAGAAAAGAGGATGTGTTGACAGAACTATTGTTCATATGAAATTAATATCCTGTAGCATGTCTACCCTCTTTATCAAATCTGATTATCTCGTTTGTTACAGGTCATGCGAAACAAACACCGCTATGAAGTTGGTCTAGAAAAACTGGCTTTTGCAGCATCCCAGGTAGGTTGTATGCTATAGTTGGCCGAGTTTGGAAGTAAGTTTTTAAAGAAACTGTGGTACTGCATCGGTGGGAGTGTATGATAGGGCAATTTAGTATTATCAACTGAGTTGGTAACGTAAAGTGGCCACTTTAAAGAGTTTTAAAGCTAAGGAAGTAGTTTTGCAGACTTGTGCACTAAAACCTGTCTTGTCTTACTTGTATAGGTAGCAGACATGCAGAAAGAGCTGGAGGAATTACAGCCCCAGCTTGTTGAGACAGCCAAAGAAAACAGTAAAATGATGATAGTAAGCATTTGTTCTTTACTTCCAAAGGCGTTTTTTTGAAAGTGGCTGACAGCGGTTACATCTTAATGCTTAGATTACTGGCAATTATTGGTGTCAAAGATGTGCTATCCAATCAAAAAACATTACTGTATTCTCCTCTAATTACACTGAACAATATTTTCAGGTAGAATTTTCTGCCTCATGCCTAAGATTTCCAAAATTCTCAGGATAGAATTAGGGCGTGATTTAATGGAAAATAATTATAGCTGAGACATGTTTTGAAATCCAGCTCTTGCATTGACCAATGCGTTAATTACAATTTGCGAACTCTCAACAACCCACCGTCTATTGAAAGAAAAGTGTGATTTTTCTGTCACCCTGTACATTGGATTAATGCTTCAGTCACACTCGTTTAGTGACACTACGCGTTAAAATTAAGGTAGGCATTTTAATCATTGGAACAAATGATATGTGTTTCAAGTGGATATTGCTTTCTAATGTGCCTTATATTCGGGCCGGTTTTGTTTTTGAGTAGATGTTCATTTGATTAGGCCCTCGTTGTTGTGTAGTCGTTTGTTTTCTAGACAATTATCACTATCTTGGAGGTGATCGTTTTTGCTACCACTATCGTGTTAATTTGACCAGCACCTGTTATGCTATCAAACCAAAATTGCAAGGGTTCCTGGTTGAACATTCTTGAACAAATCAGAAGGGGAAAAATTTCAATCACAGTTAGTTCCCCTTTTCTAATCACAGCATTAGCTGTAACTTCTCTGCGCTTAGTAAGTTTTACTGGTAATGCTACGTAACCGCACGTGTTCACATTAAGTTACTTGTCCTCAACAGGTAATTGAAAAAGAATCAGCTGAGGTTGAGGCTCGTAGTGAACTTGTGAGGAAAGATGAAGCAGTTGCGAATCAGAAGGCATCAGAGTCACAGGCCTTGAAAGAAGAGTGTGAGAGTGACCTCGCGGAAGCTATCCCTGCCTTGGAGGCGGCCTTAGCCGCTCTAAATACTCTCAAGGTATGTGCCATTATCTCTATTATAAAGCAGTTGCATGGGTGCATGAATGCCTCACTGTAGATCTCTCACTTTTTATTTTTCTTCCTTCAAAGATTTATTATTACGTAACGTCATGACAAAAAATTTATTGGCAATAAAGGATAATTTTAAAGCACATTAAAGCGCTAAAACTTTTTGTCGCTGAAGTCGGCGACACACCAGGCGATTTTATACGCCGATCGCGGCAAATTTGATCGCTGGCGAAAATCGGTAGCGATTTTCGCCACAGATCGCTGCGGACACACTCGGCGTTTATTTTCGCCGTTCGCGACAATGTGGCACTTCGGCCTTGATCTCAGGTTCCATTTGGTGACGTTTAAAAATTGCGCGAATCAATGTAACCAAACAAAACGTCGACAGCGAAGCAAAAAAAATTGCTGGCTGCTGCCGTAGTTTTGCAACTACAGCGCTCCAGGAAGTATTCTGAAAAGTGGGACATTAAAGCCAATATAGTCGAAGGCATGGATTTATTGAAACGCAGAGTCCTTCTTGAGACGATTACTGTTGTTGCTCGACGTTACATCAAATAAGCATGGCTTTTCTGACCACAGTATGATCAAATTGACTTTTTATTCTCCGGTGCAAAAACAATTTTCGATGCCTTCTGCCTTTTTGAAAAGTCATGTGATAATATCGCCCAACTTGAGTGGTTAATTGTACGGGCGATTCGCAATTGAAAGGGGAGAAATCGCGAGAACGGGCAGACTTGGCGAATTCCTGCGAATTTAATCGCCGATATCTGACATGCCAGATATGCAATAAACGATTCAAAATATGATTAAAACCGGTGACACATCTAGCGATTTAATACGCTGATCACAGCGATTGGCGTATAAAATGGCTAGATGTGTTACCGGTTTTAATCATATTTTGAATCTTTTACTGCAGCCATTTTGTTGCGTTGCTTTCCATCGGTATTTTTACGAATAAATTTTGCCGCCTGAAGCTTTATGCCACCTCACTTTGTGTGTGTTTCTTAAAAATTTCCTTGTAATGAAAAATAGATATATATATATGTTGGCCAAGCTTAGTTTCCTTTATGAAAACATCGTTCTTTGTATGACTGGATATGCATGAGTAATTTGATGAAATTCTGAAACATGGCGTTTGGTGAGAGAAAAGACTTCAGCTTTTTGTTCCTCTAACAGTTTTACATTGAACTGTATCAGAGAGATTTTTCAGTTTTTGTGGTAAAACATACTAAGCCACTTTTTCTTTTAAAGTTGTTTCATAAGAAAGAGTACAATGATATATTAACACTTTCCTGAACGTAATAATCTCGAAACTCGACTTGACCAAAAGTGGTTTGTGTTTGACCTTGTAGACACCTGAATCATTAGGTCGGCGGGTTAAATCAAAATTTCGTTTTTCTTGAGTTGGAAACTCTTTTCGTATTTCTTTTCACTTTGAGGGGCTACCTGTATAAAAAAATAGAAATAATTAAGGTTTAATATTTGAGTTCAAAACTAACTTCTCTTTCTTGAGGAGAAATATCTTCTTTTTCAAGTTTCCTCAAACTTAAGGTCCTCAAGACTTTCTCTTAAAAGTGATTTGTTTCAGGTTTCTAGGAGTGGTGGAAGCTGGGTATATTTGAAGAAGGCAACACAATTTAAATATCGTTGCTTTTTTTTTTTTACAGCCAGCAGACATAACAATCGTGAAGTCCATGGCCAATCCTCCTGCTGGAGTCAAGCTTGTCATGTCAGCAGTCTGTGTCATGCGTGATATCAAACCTGAGAAAATTAATGATCCAGCAGGAACTGGAAAGAAGATTCTTGACTATTGGGGCCCATCAAAGAAGTTGTTAGGAGACATGAACTTTCTTAACAATCTTAAAGAATATGATAAAGATAACATTGCTGTGAGTAACTATTACCTGTTTTTGTAGGGAAAGTTTTTATAGAGACTTCACCCGTTTCTTCACCATTGAATAGTTTGTAGTAAGTTGACGCTTAGTGTTTTTTTATGTCCCTCGGGAGTAAATATATCTTATAAGACGTTTGGGGTGAAGTATCGCTGAGTATTTTTACCCGTTATCTGTCTGTTTCTGTTCATTTCTCATAAGGCGGGAAAAAGCAAAGCGGATAGAAAAGCGTAGCGCGCGCAGCCGAATTGTTAAACAAGTGTTTTTTACAGTACATAATAACGAACTGTCCAAATGATCGTACAATATCGCAGGATATTTGTAATCTATTCGCGCGTTATTTGTACTCTACCTTGTGCAGTTGGATAATAATTGTTGATATTGGAATATTCACCGCTAGTCATTCCTTTACTTAACGTATCTACCTTATGTGACCCTCTACACACTAAAAACTTTCAGTGCTTTTAATTGTAATTTGTTCTGATAGCTTAAAGCTGTATAAATGTCAACAGACATTATTTACTCTAGTCTTCCATTTCAGTTTCATAGAAATCATTTTTTTTTTAAATTTTAAAATGCTGTTAAATTCATTTTAGGCCATTTAAGGTTAGTGTTGTATTTTAGCTTATTGCAGATAAGTTCAGCTTGTCGCAAGTTTCGGCGTAATAGCTTAATTGGAATAAATCCCACTGTAATACAGGATGAAAAGTATGCTTTAGTAAATTGAAACTTACTGTTTGATCACTACATCTCAATTTTCACCCATTTGCTGACGCGCCTATGTTTTACTTTATTTCATTTTGGCCTCCAGGTGCACATCATGAGTAAGATCAGAAAAGAGTACATTCCTAACCCAGACTTCGATCCACAAAAAGTGCGCACAGCCTCTTCCGCGGCAGAAGGGTTATGTAAGTGGGTTCAAGCTATGGAAATATATGACAGAGTTGCTAAGGTAAGTCTCTTTAATAGACTATTTTTATGTGGGGGAAAGGGACCTTCAAAACAATTGTCAGCGATATTCGGCGGAGGGATGAGAAGAGACTTACATTGTAGCTGACTGAAGTTAATCTTTGCGACAAGTGAACAAACTTAGCAACTTGAAATTCGCTTGCAACAGGATTAAAAATGAGTAGCCAGTATAGTAAAAGGAGATCTAAAAATTAATACCCACCTGGAAATCTAAAGCAGGACGCCTCACAGTTGCCAGAAATTAGAAAATTATGTTTAGGTATCTGATAGGCCGAAATTAAAACTTGGAATCAGTTCCTTTGAACTCACTTTGTGTTTGCAAACCAAAGTTCACCGGAAATTTTGTACATTTTTCTTGTTTTCGTTTCACCTATAATTAAACAATCAGAGATGGATGGGTTCTTTGAAAATAAATGAAAAAAAATTGATGTAAAATTAGTTCCCTTTAACTGCTAAATATACATATATATATATATATTTTTTTTTTTTTTTTCTTTTAGGTTGTGGCGCCTAAGAAAGCTAATCTAGCCGAAGCAGAAGCATCCCTTGCAGAAACTATGAAAATTTTGAATGCTAAACGTGAAGAACTGGCTGAAGTGGAAGCTAAACTGGCCAATTTGAAACTTACATTTGCAGAGATGACAGACAAGAAACAACAACTGGAGTTTCAGGTTTGTAAGGATGTTTACTTCTGTAATTACTAAATGTTAGAGAAAGATGTTTTTCGTCTTGTCACGAGCGTATGACAAAGAAAAAATTCTGAGTCCACATGAGGATTCGAACCTCTGAACCGTTCGGACCGAAGGTCTGAGGTTCGATTCCTCATGGGGACTCAGAATTTTTTCTTTGCCCCACGCTCGTGACCAGACCAACAACATCTTTTTCTATTTCTTTATCGAGCTCAAAACATACTATCTCTCCTATTTTAATTGCTAAGTATTTCTTTAAATATCTCTTGATGTCGATTTTACTTTCACCATGCTAGTCATTGTTCTAAAAGTTCCAAAAGAAACAGTAAACTTTTTTGTGAATGCGATTCACCTTAGTTGTGCGATATCATCTGTGTTACTAAGTAGTTTTTTGATGAGACAGTATAGAAATTCTTTCAAGAAATGGTCTGAAGTCAGGAGCAACAACTGATCTTGTAATGTGTTCCCATTCACAGTCCTTTTCAGTACCACTCCCTCACGGACGATCAGACCACGCAATCAATTACGAAGATGTTACCATGTGCATTCGCTATGTGTGACTTAAGGATTTTGCTTATTTGTAGGTCGATTTGTGTGGTAAGAAACTAGAAAGAGCAGAAAAGCTTATTGGTGGACTCGGTGGTGAGAAAGATCGCTGGTCAGCAGCTGCAGCTTCTCTTCAGGATGTGTATGATAATCTGACAGGAGATGTCCTCATCTCCTCGGGAGTCATAGCTTACTTAGGAGCCTTTACAGCTGGCTTCAGAAAAGAGTGCACTCAAGAGTGGACCAAGATTTGTAAGGTACTTATCAAAGTTCAGTTATTGATTGGAAAATGTTTAGAAAAGAAATAGTTAGAAACAAGAGGGAGGGGAATGGCAGTGGCAATGGAGTGTTAAAACTTAGTGTTACCTGTTTACTGTCACGACCTGCATAAATGGTTATGTGCCTTTTGTTTATGCTTATTTTTTCCTTTTTCGTCATTCAGTCCAAGAACATACCTTGTTCAGATGACTTTTCGCTCAGTAAAACATTGGGTCAGGCCATTAAAATCAGGGCATGGAATATAGCAGGTCTACCGACAGATTCTTTCTCCATTGATAATGGAGTCATTGTGGATAACACAAGGAGATGGTATGTTACCTTTTACAGTATACAGTGTATCTAAAGAAATATCTTTTTACCTGTCGTCTTCCTGCTTGGTGCTGCTGGCCAGATCCTTGTCTTAGCTCTGATAATGTACGCAGGACGTATGTCTCATTAGAAACCTCGTAATGGCCTGGCTTACCGCAGTCTCTGTAGTTCAGTGGCAGAACATCGGAGCACGAATTCTGAAGACCCGAGGTTGAAGTCCTCATGGGGACTTAGAATTTTGCTTTTTTTCCACGCTCGAGACAAGAAGAAAAACATCCTTCTTTACCTCACTACCGTGCTTAAAATTTACCATATTTCTTTTTCTATTACGGTGGTGTTTGGAGCATACATGGATCTAATTCTGCAACAAACTAGCCTGCTTCTCTTTTGCACACAAGACTAACTGCACATGGAAAAATAATCATATCTGGGAATGAACATCATGCAGGAATTTTTTTTGCACTGGGAGAGTGAATAAACCACCTTGCTGAGTGAAAACTTGAAGCGAGTAAAGCTGTAGATACAGTTCGCCGATGAGAAAAAGCAATGGCTTTGTTATTGTCTATTATTGCAGGCCGTTGATGATTGACCCACAAGGGCAAGCAAACAAATGGATCAAGAATTCTGAGAAAGATAACCAACTATCAGTAAGTAATTTCCACATTGGGTGCTGATGAGTAAAGCATCACATTGGTACTTCCTGGGTCATATGTGGAAATTTCATTTAAAACAGTTAAATTTTGCACGAAAGGTTTTTCTTATGTTTTTGAGGTTTTTTTTAATATAAAAAATAACTCTATGTTAGCATGTAGAATGGTATGTAGCTCGCACTCATCAGATCGCCACATTTGGGTATGCGTCTTGCATCAATCAGATTGCTGTATTTGGGTATGCAAATCGCACCAATCAGATTGCCGCATTAGGGTATGTATCTCGCACCAATCATATCACAGCATTTTTATATCTTTCACCAATCACAGCGTTTAGGGTATGTAATTCGCACCGACCATATCAAAGCTTTCTTGCAAATGAGGTCATGGAATCAGGCGGCTGTGCTGAAAGAATAACATAAACCATAAATTTCGGGCTAATTTTGATAAGTGTAATGGTTTATGGCCGTCGCAAGAGCCCCCCTCGATTAAGGTAGAGATTTAACGGGATATGAAAGGTTCACGTTTACCCTTTTTGCATCATTTTAAGCTAAAATGTGTTTTTTCCGCTCTGTTACTCGCAACTCACACGCCAAACAACTTGCATTCCTTCACGTACCATGAAAACAACGTTCAAAGTCCAATCAGAACATACACAATCATTGCACTACATGAGCATTAGGTAATTTTTCACGTGCTCTTCTTTTGGACAACCACAAAATATGATGCTATTAAAACTTTAGGATTCCCTGTACTTTCAAAGTGTTTAAAATGGTGAAGAAGGCAGTGAAGAACAAAACTGGTTGGAAAATCCTCCAAACATCAGTTTTTTTTCCTTTCTGTACGTTGTTTAGGAACTTGAAGTTCCCACCGATGTTTCTTGAATTACAAATGCGTTTCATAAGCTTTAGAGATAATAAGTGACTTGATGCCCTTTGTGATGCCTTAATTTTACTTTAGTACAGCCCATTAGAACCTTTTTTTGTTGAATTGGTCACATCCCTGCCAATCTCATTTTCTTAATGTCCTATTATTAATGTCCTATTTGTCTTCGTCCATACCATTTCCGCTGGGGTTCAGTTTTGTCTTAAAATCAGGTCATTACATTTCAGCACTCTTTGGCGTATGTTAGTAAATAGGAGATACTGTAAATGTATGCAATTAATCATTCTTGCGTTGCCCATGGTAGAGGTCAGCATTTATTCTACATGTAATTACACAAAAGGTCTTCTTATAGTTATTTACACTTAAAATTTACTTTCAAACATTTTCCAGGTGATCAAATTAACTGATGCTGACTACATTCGTACTCTTGAGAACAGCATCCAGTTTGGAAACCCCGTTCTTCTTGAGAATGTAGGCGAGGAACTCGACCCATCTCTAGAACCTCTGCTGCTAAAGCAGACGTTTAAACAAGGTATGAACCAAGTCTTCTTACATTATTATTGAAGAAGGGTGCTTAACAGTTTTTGGGCAACAATTGCCGCCCCGGTTGTTTGTCAACAAAAAATAATCCAATCGACATCATGTTTCTTAACGTTCTTCTACTGGCATTATACACAATTAGCACTTGCATGACCAGGGACATAAGTCTCAAAGTCTTTGAGAATTCAAACATGAACCCTCAATGTGCATGCAATTTGCAGCTTTAGAGACTTCCTTTATAATGGTATTCGTGTCAGAAGTCTGGTGGATGAGTAAATTTACAAGCAACTTGCAAATTAGAGAGAGAAAAAAGCATTTCCTCAGGGAAGTATCGTGGACCTGATGAAATCGTGAGACTAGCTTTGTTATGAACGAACTTAATTTGATGGTATAATACTTAGCGATCAAATCCTTTTATTGTAGGTGGTGTAAAGTGCTTACGTTTGGGTGAAAGTGTGATTGAGTATTCCGATGACTTTCGGTTCTATGTCACAACCAAGCTGCGGAATCCTCACTATTTACCTGAACTATCCACGAAGGTCACATTGCTTAACTTCATGATCACTCCTGAGGGCCTGGAAGACCAACTGTTGGGAATTGTTGTCGCCAAAGAAAGGTTTATGTTTCATAGATTTATTATAAATTCCTTGTATATAAGCGTAACCTTTCACTCATCGACTTTGCCTTTTTTTAGACCTGACCTTGAAGAGGAAAGACAGGCATTAATACTGCAGAGTGCTGCAAACAAAAAACAGCTCAAGGAGATTGAAGACAAGATTCTAGAAACACTTTCCTCTTCTGAAGGAAACATCTTGGAGGACGAGACAGCCATTCAGATATTAGACTCATCTAAGGTAAGCCCATACATTATCTGTGCACTGCATAATATTAAAAAATGATCACTGCTTTTTGAGGTTATTCCCTAGTATTGCACAGGGCATTCTGTTTAGTGTGTAATAGCCCTTGCAGATGTTTAAGATTAATAATGGCAATAGGACCGAGTGGAGTTCGTCTGTGATCGTACAAGTGATAAACAAAATCGGATGACTGCGAAACGGGAGTCCGTTTTGACAATCACGAGTATGATTACAAACAGAGTTGGATCATAAACATTATAATTTCCGAAAAAACAAATACATGAAGGGAGAATATCTCCGGTAGAGACAAAGTATAAAGTGAAAAACTCGCCAATTCACTATCTGTTGAGGATAAGTAGCTGTTGCTATGGTTATTGTGATTAATTCGGTCATTGGTGGATTTAGCTGATGCCATAAGACAAATCTGAAATTGTTCCTTTTGATTATTACAGTACACATACTATTATTTCAATAATTTAGCCAAAGCTGTGCTTCTGGCTCTTACAAAACCTAACGCAAGCCAGTGGAGCAAATGGCCCTAATGGATACAGTTGCAAACATTTCATCCTTACCTTAGAGTCAGTTACATGTCCTGAAAATGTTCGATGTGTTATTCATAGTAAATGTTTGAAATCGTCGGAATTCAGGGAACATTCATGGAAAAATCAGAGAAGACCTTACGTAAACTCCTTTTCCTCAGTTTACTAACGGATACCACGTTTCTTTCTTTCCTACCCAAACCCCCTCACCTCATAGATTTTTCATTGCAAAGAATGGTCGGACGATTGATCAAAACGGGGGAATGTGAAAATTTGATGCCTCGAAGATTTATCATCTGCAAACCCAATTCCTCAAAATTTTTCTTTTTTCGCTGTTTTAACATTGAATGAACCAATTACTTACGAAGAAAACTGATTAAAGAGTCAATTGATTGCAGGTACTCTCTGATGAGATTTCAAAGAAGCAGAAGGTAAATGTGTCTCTTTTGGTTCATAAAGAGCTTATTATCACTATTGTTATTGGATAGTTATCACTGCCATAAAACGGCAGCAGGTTTTGCCATCCGATAGATGAAGGAGTAAGTACCTACTTCTCCTTTTTCTGTTTTCAATAATTCTTTGTTCTGTCTGAGAGTAGGGTAAGTTATGTAATACAAATTAACAATTGTCTTTCGATTAGATTGCAGAGGAGACCGAAACTAAGATCAACGAGTCACGACGTGGATACAACCCAATAGCAGCACATGCATCAGTTCTGTTCTTTTCCATAACTGATCTACCAAATATTGATCCCATGTACCAGTCTTCGCTTACCTGGTTTGTTAATCTCTTCCTTAACTCCATACATGACAGGTTAGTACATTTTGAACATTGCGTTGGTGATTAGCATGCAATTTATATTTACTTTTTGTGGTGTTAATAAATTAATGTTATTGAATTAATGGCATTTAAATTGGCAAATAGATATAAACCTGTCAAACAAAAGAGAACATAGTGGTTAATCTTTCCCCAACCTTTATTTTCTTATTTTACATGTAGGCTTCAAGTCTTATTGCAATTGCTGCAAGACAACGTATTGTTTCGTTGTTTTGTGGTAATAGAAAGTTTGGTAAAGCTTTTCTTCTGGGGTCGGCAGCCTCGGCTATGGTGTGGCTGACATAATCTGTGACTTAATAATTATTTCTGGCTATTTTCATAAAACTGAATAATTCTTTTAAATATTTTGTCCTTTGTATTCTTTATCGTTTATTCGTGTATTTATTCTTTTTAGCGACGTACATTGGACTGTGTGCTGATGTTTGTTTTCGTTTTCATTCCAGCAACAAATCGAAGATCCTAGAGCGTCGATTGCGTTACCTGAGTGATCACTTTACCTACAATCTGTACTGCAACGTGTGTCGATCACTATTTGAAAAAGACAAACTTCTTTTCTCTTTTGTGTTATGCTGCAACATTCTGAAGTAAGTTCGACGTTCAATGTTGCATTTTTCTTATTAAGTTAGAAAAATCATAGGTACATGTAACCGTTTCACGACCGAGGGGCGATTTACTAAAACTTGATGTGTAGCCACATGGATTAATCGTCATGTCATCGTCGTGTTAAACTGCCTCTCGTTTGTAACAGGGGATGGAAAGAGAACTGAAAAGCATTTTGAGTATAGTTCGATCTAAAACTTGCGGGGAACCAGCTGTCAATCACTGTAATGGTGATAACACATCTGGGGAAATAACATCACTCGAAGGGAGAGAAAGGCCAGTTTTAAGCTTTCTGTCCAACGTATAGTTTACTCGAATTACACTATCTACCCTGACTCTCTTGTATTTCTTACCGAAAACCTCTTCGTTGTAAAATTTGATGTGATGTATGATTTGTTTAACAGTGATGCACTGTGCCTTGTTTCTTGGCATTGCGAGTGATATCTCTGTCATGTCGCCGTCATCAGTGTCGGCAGTGAAATCTTCTCTTAGCGTGCGTGCCCTACCAGTGGGTCTGGAGCATTTCACTGTGTAGTGATTTTTACCACCATATTTGATATCTATTTTCTTCTTATACCTGCTTATTTTCGAACACTCAAAATTGATTGTTAAAAACTTTTGATTGCAGCTCAAAGAATGAGATGGACATGGAAGAATTCATGTTTTTCTTGACTGGTGGGGTAGGCCTGGAAAACAAGGTAAGATGCGATCGATCAAATTCCATATCTTTTTAGCTTATTATCGTTCATTAGAAAATGATGTTTTGTCTTTTGGCATTGATTCATCGCCATTGTTTTTCTTTACCCAGCACTTTTCCTCTGTCGTTTTTCGTGTACTGCAATGTTCCTGGAGGATTTTCATTAAACGTTTGCTTTTTTTCAGCTGGAAAACCCAGATCCTTCTTGGTTGTCAGATAAAGCGTGGGATGAACTCTGTCGAATGTGTGACTTGCGTGGCTTCAAGGATTTCAGGTTTGTGAATGCATGAAATCGTATTGATTGAATTTTCTCTTTTCAAAATTAGGATAATCCGTTTGTTTTTTTTAAAGCCATGGAAAGTGAAAACACGTCCTAGAACCGAAAAATTGTCCTTCCTTTTACTAGAAAATAATAAAAAAAACGTCTTACTCTACAGAAAAAGTTTTGTTGGTAATACGCACGAGTGGCGCAAGATTTATGACAGCAAAGAACCTCACCGGGCTCCTTTTCCCGCTCCATGGTCTGAACAACTGACTGACTTCCAGAAAATGATGGTCATTAGGTGCCTCCGGCCTGACAAGGTAATGACGTGCTTAGTAAATAGCACTTTATCTTCCATTATTTAGATAAACAAAAAAGAAAATGAGATAGAGAAATCTTCAAAAGAACAAAAGCAAACTACAAACGTTGGAGGTGATTTTATTACGATATTGTGTGGTTAGTAGTTAAATCAAATAGGAAGTAGAAATGTAGCAAAAGAGTTGTAAACAGTGAACCATTTGGATGTAATAGTGTTAAGGTTATACCCATAGTGCAGGGGAGACTCTTTTATCTATCTGACATTTAACAAACACACACACACATACTCACACACATGGCGTCACCATGAACAACTTTTGCTTCGTTCTTCTATAAGACAAAGAGAATCTATGTTTCCCTGTGTCTGTCCAGTACTTGATCAATGAAGACGTCGAGCAAAGAAAATTGTCATCAGTGATACACTCCCACTCGTTCCCTTCGCATTTTGACGTCATCTATGTTCTGTTACTGAACAAACCCACAACAACATGAAACAAATTTGTTAATTATAAGCTTCAAGAACCTTATTCAACCGACTATCTCTTCTCGGCTAGAACTGAACATTACGATACTACTTTACACACAGGTTGTGCCACTTGTAACGAACTTCGTGGAAGACAAGCTTGGGAGTAAGTTTGTTCAGCCCCCACCGTTTGACTTGGCTAAGAGCTACGTTGATTCCAATTCATGTGCCCCACTTATTTTTGTATTATCTCCTGGAGCTGATCCTATGGCAGGTTAGTGACCGGATGTGTTATTACCAATTTTGAATTATATCACTGGCTTTCTACGCAAGTCTTTATTAGTGAAAGACTATGGTCTGTCTGTCTGTCTGTCAGTCTGTCTATTTGTTAATTAATTCAATTATTTAAACCATGGTTTTGTTTTTAGGCCTAATGAAGTTTGCAGCAGATAAAGGTTTCAGTGGGGACAGATTTAATGCGATTTCCCTCGGACAAGGACAGGTATTTCTTTTGTATTTAATTGGTTTTCAGCGTTGGCTCGTAGTGAACGTGTTTTCACAGTTTAGATTCCTTCTTTAATCGATTTTGTTATAACCGTAAATATTTCTTTCCTTATCTCATATCTTGCCTAATGAGCAGTCAGTTTTCATGTGGGTGTCGATTCGTTCTGTGATTGGTTCAAGGAAGTTGCACTAACATCTCAATCAACTAGATGCAAAGCGAAACCAATGACTACCTAGTCATTAGGGTTTCCCGTTTCAGGCATTTTACTTGTTTTTGCACTGAGTTCTCACTAACTCTCGATGATATTTTCGCGTTTAGCTTTGGTTTTATTTTTAACGAAACTCACTCGAATGCGCCTGAACCTACATAATCTTAAGGGATGTGTAAAAATTATCGCATGCATAACGCTTTTTGTCAGGGGCCTGTTGCCGCTCGTCTCATAGAGAATGCCGTCAAGGATGGAACCTGGGTTGTATTACAAAACTGTCATTTAGCAGTGTCGTGGATGACTTCACTTGAGAAGATTTGCGAAGACTTGTCTCCAGAGAATACTCATCAGGACTTCAGGTTGTGGCTAACAAGTTATCCCTCTGATAAGGTAACCAGAAAGGCCAAGGACTAGCAGATCTAGTGGTAGTGCTAGCGTTGATAGTTAAGGTTTCGTAGTGGAAGTTGTTGACTATTTGTAATCATTCAGAACTTTACTCTTTTCCCCGCTCGTCACAATTGGCTTACCGTTACCTTTGTTGGGCGGCTCAGCTCAAATTTGTAAACCTCCATATAATATGTCTGTTTTGTAGTATCTCCATTAGTCAGTAAGACTGGTGCATAGACGTGCTTGCTCGGATGACCCTCTTAACTTTTTACCATTTACTGGTTAGTTTCCAGTTACTGTACTTCAAAATGGTGTAAAGATGACAAATGAGCCCCCAACAGGATTGCGCCAGAATCTCTTGCAGTCCTATCTGAGTGACCCAATATCTGATCAAGAGTTCTTCAGTGGTTGTGGGGCTAAATCTGCGGTAAGCAAGCAACACTTGAGAATTTTCCTAGACAGCTGTATTTGAGCCATGGAATGAACAAGTGTTAGAAAAAATGTTCTCAGTTAATGTTACATTCTCCGACTTTCGTTGTTGTCGTTGTCAGTCTTCACTACCGAAGAGTAAACTTGTAACGTTGTGATGAAGTAGCAAGGTTCTTCTTTTCAGGAACAATCAACCGTAAACGTATTTTACCTAAGTGTGGCACCTGGACGTTCAATTTTAAGCATTGTATTTTTCCCATTCAGGTCTGGGAGAAGCTTTTGTTTGGTTTGTGTTTCTTCCACGCTTTGGTACAAGAGAGGCGAAAGTTTGGTCCCTTGGGCTGGAACATACCGTATGGTTTCAACGAGTCCGACTTAAGAATCAGCGTTAGACAATTACAGGTTTGTACAATGAAATTCAAGAACGGTTGTAGGTTGCTCGTAAGTTACTAGTGTTTTTGTTTTCTCAGATGTTTATCAATGAGTACGAAGAGATTCCGTTTGACGCCATCACTTATCTGACTGGGGAATGTAACTATGGAGGCAGAGTTACTGATGACAACGACAGGTCTGTAATGAAAACCTTTCCAAAAAATACCTATAACTATCTGGACATGTGTGCATTTACCGGACGTTTTAATTAATATTTTTACCCTTTTGGCGGGATTTAAAACGTTTAATTAAGTAAAGAAAGGTTAAGAATTTGTCACTAGGTCGTTGAATGATCATGCTCAGCAAGGTTTGGTTGCATGTGGAAAGTGTGCAGAGCATGAGAGAGCCGTAAGAGTTGCTGGAGACACAGCCGAGAGTAACTCTATCTCATAAGTTATTGTTGTTGTTATTATTATTATTATTATTATTATTATTAGTTCCTCTTATTGTTATTGTTTTTATTATCATCATTTTTGTTGCTGTTGTTGTTTTGATGGACAGCTATATTGGCGGAAGAAGACTTCAGTGTGCTGGTGACAATTTCTTCGCTAGTTTCTTTCATTGATTGTTGAAAGCATTGCATCTCGCGGCCAAAGTGACGGGATTTATCCTGCAAAATGCAACTGCATGCGTCATGTTATGTACACACAGCCTACCATAAAGATTTACAACTTGATGGCACAATAGGAATTAGATGGGACAAGCGCGCACGCTATGATGTCAAGAAAGATAAAATCCTTTTTTCACGTATCGTAGTAAATATATACCTAAATTCACCTTGTAAATTAATACCTCGAAAATTTTAAACAATTTACACAAGCGTCATCATGGCTGTTAACTGTGTTTTCATTTGGTGGTTTCAGACGGTGCCTTATGAGTATCTTGGCAGACTTTTACACTTCGGAGATTGTACAAGATCCTAAGTACAAATTCTCACAAAGTGGCACTTACTACGCTCCTCCAAAAAGTTCATACGATCAGTATGTAGAGTTTATCAAGGTAAATTCTTCTACCATAGTCTTGAGGATTAACTAGTATTGAGCCAGAGCGGTTAACTGAAGCCTCTTGTGTACTGTAGGAACTTCCCTTATCCCAGACCCCCGAGGTCTTTGGGATGCACGACAATGTGGACATTTCCAAGGAGCTGCAGGAAACTAAACAGGTTTGTTGCTCATTTTTTGAAGATTTTGTAGTTCTTAAGCACAGCTATGAGCTTGTGTGGAGACCTCGTTTCTAGCGGCAGGAATTAGGTGACATTTCTAGGCAGGCTGAATTAAGGTAACGCATGTATTTAAACTTGATTTCAACCGTCGTCTTATTAATGTGTTATAATAGTGAAAAACGTTTTATGAATCAACAGCTGTTTGACTCTGTATTGCTGACTCAGTCACAAAGCGGTGAAGGAGGAGCTGGCAAAAAGTCTGATGACGTATTGTTAGAGATTGCTAAGGACATCTTGTCCAAGGTAAGTACTCACTGAGCATGAAAATGTGGAAGACCCAGTAATCAACATGTTGAAAACTAGATCGAAGGAACCAAAAGAGCTTTTTAACGACCTCTCCTAAGCTTGGATGTTCTGTATCGCTCAAATCGATGTAAAACTTTGTTTACTTTGGCGATTCGCATCATGGGACCCTTCTGAGAGTCTGTGTCTGCGTAGTGATCTATATTAAACCAAATTACTTCTTGAAGATTAGATGTTCCTGAACAATACTAGGACGATCATGTAGAACCATGGAAGCAACTTAAATGTGACAGCGATAATCAATGAAAAGTTATCTTAGGCGACATTTTTCCTTAATTTCTCTTGTATTTCCACTTTGAAGGCAAAATACAAACCGGCAAAAAATCCTATAATAGGAAATATATCTATGCCTCCACTCGGAAATATTCTGGATTTTCCATCAGCTTATGAAATAGTTGTTCGTTTCTTGTCTTCTGCGAATAATTTCCAGTTGTTAACAAGGCAACAGTCAGAGAGTATCCTTCGTGGCTGAAACTTTTGTTGGATGAGAAAAGATATGGAGATTCAGAAAGCGTTTGAGAGACTTAAATTCATTACACTCTTGACAATGTTTTCAGCTTCCAAAGGATTATGACCTGGAGGTGGCTCTTCAAAAATATCCAGTCATATACGAAGAGAGTATGAACACTGTTCTGGTTCAAGAGATGGAGCGATTTAACAAGTAAGTCACTCTCTTGTACTTAGCTGGAGTTCTAGCAGGTAAAGGTTCGAGTTATATGTTTGTATGTTGTGTTCTCAGATTGATGTCAATAATCAGAACAAGTTTGCAAAATCTGCAGAAGGCTATAAAAGGCTTGGTTGTCATGTCATCAGATCTGGAGGCATTGGCGAGCAGCTTGCTAGTTGGAAAAGTGAGTCAAAGTCATGCTCAAACCTTGAATCCACGATATTTTTCGTGTTTGTTTTTGTTTTTTAATTTATTTTTGTTTGTTTGTTGTTTTTTTTTTATGTAGGTACCTGAGATGTGGATGAAGAGATCATATCCCTCTCTTAAACCTCTCGGGAGTTACATCAATGACTTTCTAGCCAGACTCAAGTTTTTACAGGTATTAAAATTGGAAAACATAGTATTCAGCGTATATTATTTTTCTCGGAAATTACCCAAATAGAGAATATACAATCACAAAGGTAAAAATCGACATTGGTTATTCTTAAATTAAAACTTAGTTGAAAATTATTCCAATTTGAAATTTGGAGTATCTGGGCAAGATTTGGAAGAATTAACGTATTTTTACTGGTTTGCTGGGTTCGAAAATAACTGAGGTGATGATGATTTCCTCCTTAGGACTGGTTCGACAAAGGGAAACCAGTTGTGTTCTGGATATCCGGGTTCTTCTTTACACAGGTAGTGTACAGTTTCTCAGTTTTTTGTTGACAGTCTTTTATATTAATGAATGAGGTAGAATTACAAGCTCTTTAGCAACCAATTGTACTGGTGTGGACTGTGTAATATGGCTGTCAAGATGTCCTTTTTGTCATTTGGTTACAAGCGCATTAAAGACTGCATCAAACATCATTTGGCTTTAAGAAAAACCAGTAGTGGAAATACGGTATATCATTAAAGCATGCTACTCTTTCCAAGTGAGTGTGGAATATGTCTGCTTGATTTATCCTATATTTTGAGGAGCACAGATAACTGATTACGATGCAAAGGTCATGGGAATTATTTTGTAGCCAGAGGATGATCAGGAACTCGGTGAATGTCAGCATATTTATTTAAGTTGTTCACCGCGTGATTCTCGTCATTCTTTACTAAATTTTATTCCATTGGAATTCTTGACTCCGTCTCTAATACTTCGTTTTAAATTTAAATCAACGAACTTTGAGACCTGGTTTTTCTCTTTGGGAATTTTTCATCAGCAGTGGTAGTCTCTGACGTTTAAGTTGATAACGACCTATATTGTTTGTGCCCCCTTCTTAGGCTTTCTTGACAGGTGCAAAGCAGAATTATGCAAGGAAGTACACTATACCGATTGACTTGCTGGGCTTTGAGTTTGAAGTGAGTTTCACAATAGCAGTAGTTATTCGAAGTTGTATAAAGGCACCATAATTGGGTTCTATATGATGATGCCCATAAATCGCAATATATATATCTTATTACACGTTTTGGTGTGTAGTATCGCTGAGTGAGGGCTCGTCAAAATACAAACAACGAATAAAAATACTCAGCGATACTACACACCAAAACGTTTCATAAGTTATTTATTATCAAACTGCTTTTTTTTCTGGTATGTCTTTCTGCTCATTTCTCATAGGGCGGGTAAAGCTAAGCAGATGTAGAAGAGTGGCACGCGCAGCCGACTGGTTAAACAGGGTTTTTTTCTTTAAGTACACAATAACCAACTGTTCAAAAAACCGTACAAATATCGCAGGATATTTGTACTATATTCGCGTGTCATTTGTACTCTGCTTGATAAAAGCTTAATAAACACAGATTTCGGATATATAATTTATTTTCATAATTTTTACCGTAGAACAGAATGGGAGCTTAGTCATTTACGCTGAGACGTTTTTCAGGATAAGTTTATTTGACGACGCATTTTAATCAACACGTTTCTTTTTTTATCAGAACGTGATCTGCACATTTTGAACTAAGAACGGTGTCCAGGATTTGCATTTTAAAGCCTCGTAATTTTTTTTGGAATTTTTTTAACTTCAAAGTAGAGCTTTTGAGCAAAGGTTTCATTGTAGACGCCATATCTCAAGAAAGAAGTAAAAAATTGAAAAATCCGGGACATTCTTTTAGGGTTCAGTATATTTCCGACTTTATCTCCCATTTCACGAAAATTGACCAAATATCAGTCGAGAATAAACTCTTCAAAGATTAGTCCTCAAGTCGAAATACTTTACCACCAAAAGCGACTGTTAATTTTTCGGGGCGTCGGTGATTGTTTACATAAATGCGTTTCCATTTCACGCCTCTGAAGGCTGTTACCCAATAACATTGGATCAAGCTATTTGACGCTGTTTTGCCTGTCGGCGCTGATGCGTGCTAGAAAGCAAAGAGACAATTTGTAAGGGGGTAGGTCGCGTGAATATGAAGCTAATTTGTGTCGATAAAGAAGGTGCTTCAACCAGCAAGAAGAGGAGGAAAGAGGTCAGGTAGAGGAAGGAGAGCTACACTCGAAACAAAACACAGCTTTTCAACGATCGATGCTCGAAGTGCAATGCTAGAAACCCCTGTCTCTATCCATGATCAATGTTTCCGCTCCGATGCAAACTGCGAATAGATTTTCCTTTTCCCAGAACAGCAAAAGAAACTTTCCACTTTGGACATGATAACAGCTCCAAAACAACACTTAATTTACAAAAACAATCTCTCTAGCTTTCGGAAAGAACTAGTGTAAGTAGAGTTGATGACAAATGAGCAATTTCGGAACTGTACAAAACTGTACAGTGTGCATTGTAAATCAACAGTGGAAATTAGATGACGAGATGAAGTTGACATGAAGTGTTATCAATCTCGCGCCTTCCTTTCTACTCTAAAATTACTTTTTGCTTCATATGTTCTGAAGTAAAAAAGATATAAAAATAAAACATTTAGAAGTTGATAGATATTTAGTTTTTTTTTTTACTATTTGCACGACACTGACTCGTCCGCACACTTCTTTAAAGCGGGGGCGTCCAACGTGGGCAGGATGAAAGCGTCAAATGTGATGAGAGTTCAGTAAGGTCTCCTCCATTTCCTCCTCTCCCGTCTCCACTTCCTTATTTTAGGGGCCGCACATGTTATAGAGACGATTGGCGACGAGTCGGCGCTTGGTAGACGACTTGATGCACACGCTCTTATAAATAACGTGTGCAATAGGGACGCCCACCAGGAACGGTCCCGACCGTCTTCAGAAGTAACTAATTTCAGCACTCAGTACAATGCCGGCAATGTCTGATCTACGCTGAATTTTCACCTTTTTTTTACTTTAGGTTCTTTCTGGAGACACTGCAGAAAAGCCACCCAGTGATGGAGTTTATGTACACGGTCTATTTTTGGAGGGCGCTCGGTGGGATCGAAAGAGGTTTGTGAGAAGAGTATGATTTTGTCTTGGTTCAGCCTACGACTATATATTTCACATATTAACATTCGATTGTTTAACAGAGGTTTGATCGGTGAGTCATTGCCAAAGATTCTCCATGACACGATACCAGTTATATGGGTGAAACCAGGTAAGATATTGTACAGTGTGTACCGAGGATATAAAAAATAGGAAGCGTATAATTTGTTTAGAAATTTCTTACATTGAATAATTCTTACGGACGTTCGAAATCCTCTCATGTCCATATCTGATTTCGATTTTATTGGCATGAGATGACGATCACTTCAATTTAAACAGGAAAAAAATATTGAAAATTTATGTACTGAAAACCAAAGCGTTGATACGAGATTTGGTCCACAATCAGCACAAACAATTTTTTGCAGCTTGGTGTGCGCGTGAGCTGTTGAGAGGAGCAGATATAATTGTGAATATCCTTAGGTTTTTAACAATCTTCATGAGACGTATTCACATTGTACCTTCTGTATGAAACACTTAACCCTTCTCAACCACCATTTTCATGAAGTTAGTTTTCCCAAACCTTCGCTTGATGTCCTACTAATGTTAAGAAACTAATTTAACAGGTATAATCTTGTCTGAAAATTAATTTACGGCATGACACTGGTGAGGTATCTTGCGGGGTAAGAAATTGTGAGGAAAAAAGGTTAAACATTCATACCGTAAGCCACAAGTTTCTCGGTGCTTTATCAGTAGTAAATTTCAAGTGAAAGTTAGCTTTGCTAATTACTAAATTGACCCTAGCATAACCGTTTTGTTTTGTTTTGTTTTGTTTTTTCTTTCTTTTTTAGGGAAAATTGCAGATTTTAAAGACAGGCAAGAATACAAGTGTCCAGTGTATAAGACAAGTGAAAGACGAGGAACTCTATCAACGACGGGCCACTCAACCAATTATGTGATGCCAGTGATGTTACCTACTGACAAACCTCAGAATCACTGGATCAAGAGAGGTGTTGCACTGCTTTGCCAACTCGATGATTAATTGCAAATCCTACTTGTCAAGTGGAAATCGAGTTAAGGAGCAAAATGTAAAATATTCAAAAAATTGTGTAAATGCTACCAGTTTTGTGTAGCTTGAATAAAGCTGTCAGTTTGTTTGAAGAATATGGCTTGTCTTTATTAGTATTCATTAACAATTTTGGTTTCAATCTCGTGAGCTCCTTGGAAACAAAAGAATGGAACACCAATGTAAACATTTCAGCTGTACGGTGATTGCAGCAGATGAATCCTTGTATTTCTGAACATACATAATGTTAAACTCCTGGACTAGACAGATGATTGAAAACACTCATTAGACACTAATAACTGTAAGTGCTTTGGGCTGTAAAACCAAAATGAAATCTGTAATCCGGATGAAAGCGATAAGCCTGGTTAATCTGAAGCGCTTAAGTGATTTTTTAGTTTATTTTTGTCCTTAATAGCACATGCCAAGCATTTGCAAATGTTGCTACTGTGACTTGTATGATCTGTGTATCTTGAATTACTTCCTACACGGAGGTATCGACATTCTCGAATTTCCTCAAACAGTTTAGTGAGCTCCAACATGGATAATTTGCTTTTGTCAGTTTTCTTACTCGCAGTGATTTTTGGAAGAGAATCCCTCACGGTTTTCCATCTTGCTTTAGCTGTTTGTTTGCCTTCATCTTCCTCTGTCGCGGTGATAGTAGGGGATTTTTCATGGTTGCTAAATTTTGAGACCTTTCTGTGGGCTTGTATTCCTGGGGGTTTGTTTATTCCTTCACTGCTAGTTATCCCATTTTCTTCAATGCTTGGCATGGGATTTAAACCAATTCGTCCTTTAGTAAAATCCGTTTCAGATCGTATGCTTTGAACCTGTGACAGGCCATCAGTAATCGACGAAGTGCTCTGTTGTTTCCTTTGTAACGGAGAGGAGACGGTGCTCACTTTTCTAGCTCTGACCCCCTCTTTAACTGGATTCTTGGTGCTATCATAGTTATTTTCATTTAAATTACTGCTGAATACATGCCTGTGATCTCCACTGATTCGCCGCGGTTTGTTGTGTTCTTGAAAGAACCTACTACTGTTTGCTAATGTAATCACCTGTGGCAGAACTTGTGCTTTAGATTTCTTTCTTTTTTTTCCATCAATATTTCGATCCACCACTATATTTGGCACCTTCGGTGTGGTTTGTTCGCTAAGAGTTCTGCTTTTGCCGTTATCTCCACTCAAAGTTACTGGTGCCACAGCTTTGACAAACGTGATCCGTCGTTTCCTTGTTTTAATCTGTTGGTAAGCGTCGGAATTTGGGAAGCTTTCCAGCTGAGAAGGCTGATCAGACAATATTGATGGTACAAGGTTCTGTTTGGCTCGAAGAAACTTCTCTTGCCGTAGAGACCAAGAATTAAAACTTCTCCGTCGTTCCTGTTGTATCGATTTCATGGTGGTTCTTAGATCTGTCTCTTTACTTTTGTTGATACTCACCGCTCGGCGAAGCGAATTGCTCACTCTATCAAGTGGATCTCTTAGTTCGTTGTTCATTTCTTCTGTCTCATTGACCGATTCATTTCAAATTCCATTCAAATAATACCATAGCCTCTCTTTCAAGTGACAATAGTTGATTGAGTAACTGTTGAACATGGATCTTCGAGTAGATAACCAAAAAAGATAAGAACTGCACCTCTTAGGTATTGGTGCTAGAGCGTCATTAGAGTTTCGATGCGGATGTGCATAATTTGTGTTTACACAGCCTTAGGCTGGCTTTTACCTCATTTGATTACGTAGTTCCATTAAGGTATGTCGAGGACTCGATATGCAAATTTCTTTCTCACTCACCCTTGCATGAACATTTTTGGACCGCATTTACAGCTGAAATCTTTCTCTCAGTTATCTTTAATTATTATCAATTAAAATTAGAATTTATATGGCGTAAATTACATACACGTATGATCAAATGCGCTTCACAGAAAATAAAATTGACGTTGATAATGACAGCTAACTAAAATTAATAAAATGTTGGAAGAAAATAGCAACAAACCTAATAATTCTCTCAGGAAGACAAAAACACTAAATAACAAGGGTAACAAACTAAAAGCTCGGCTGAAAACTAAACTTTTTTTAGATTTCAATTAAATATAGAGCCCAGGCCATTGATGTCACTAGGTAAACTATTCCAAAGGTACGGGACGGTAGAGAAGAAAGCCCTTGCTCCTTGTGTGGAGAACTCGGGGCCATCGCTACAAGATTCCGATTAGACCTCAGTTCGTATATAGTAAGAATTTTTTAAACTAACAAGTTTTAAAATGTAATCAGGTGGTATACTATGTACTGCTTTAAAGCACAGTAAACGAATCTTGAAATCTTGAGGAAAACTTATTATTGAAAAGGGAATTCCATGTTAAATTGCACGCGAAAACCGATATCGCACGAATCGCGAAGTGATGAGTGCCATATCGGTTTTCAAGTGCAATTTAACTCGGAATTCACGAGTCAGGTAATGGATTTTCTTTGAATCGCGTAATTGAATGAAAATAAGAAAAAAAGAAACAGTAGTGATATTTGAGAATGATGTTTTTTTCCGTCTTGTCACGAGCGTGGGACAAAGAAGTCCCCATGAGGAATAAAACCTCAGACCTTCGCCGTGCTCCGATGCTCTATCACTGAGCCGCAGAGACTCAGATCAGTATTGCGAGACGATCTTTCTCTCCTTCCCAGAAAAACAACAGGTTTTAATCCAAAGGCCCTTAACTATTTGACTAGGCCATTTTCTTACACTGCCAGCGGTTAAATGCCTTTGAAATGTGCCCATGAACAACTTTGACAGTCTTGTCATATTTCCAGTTCATATACTAAACTCAGGCCAGTTTCTAAAATTCTGCCATGATATAGCTCAGAGTTACCACTCTCTCTTCTTCGACACGGCCCACACACTGATGAAACATCCTGTTTGTCGTTTTTTTTTTCTTTTGGGGGGGGTGTAATTTGTACGAAGACCTCGATCTTGTGCTGCAGTGAGGAGGAATTCTGTCTCTTCATTTAGGTTTACATTAAAAAAAAGTGTATTGGTGCAATGAGGTAAGTCATTTGTTTATGTCTCAGCCCTTATTTTTCTGTACTTCGTATTTTGTGATTATTACAATGATCACGTTAGTTACATAGCTTGCAAGAACGACTAACATTGCTGAAAACTGCAAACATTCTAGGCGCTTTCTAGGTAGTTTTGGGATGTTTTATTCATTTATTTCTTTTATCTTCGCATGCCTCCTCGTTGGTGTTGTCGTTTTTCGCTATTTACACTTTCACTTTCGCACGTAGTTACGCTGGCCACATGTATTTAAATCTAGTTTTCATTATATCATAATTAGTGTTTTTAGTCAGATTATCCAGAAGTCGCTCTCAGCGCAGTTGTCTGCTCAAGATGTCTTTTCCAATAAGCGGTTATTTATGGTCGCAGTTTTATTTTGACATTATCAACGTAAGTATCTTTCTGTTTCATTTCGTTTGTCATTTGTTTATTGTACTTAACTTAGCTTTTATTTACGCTTTTTGGTTTTAACTCTTATCTCAAATAAAGTTAGTGTTGAAAAGATAACGTCTCGATTCCGCTGTTAGACCGAACATCCTAAATAATATATTTTTTACACCGAGATTTGAGAATTGTTTTCCTCTCGCATTTGTTAGTGTTCCTTCCAATTACTCTTGATATTATCTCTATCGACTCAAATCGAACTACTTCACTAAGAAACTTTTACGGCCAGGTTCGATAGTTTTATCTGGATTATTAAAATGCGTTTTGATCTCTTATTGTTTACGGGGGTCTTTCCTCAAGAATTAAGTATAAGATAGCTTACTGTTATACTCAGTTGAATCTTAAGAAGATTTGAAGACCCATGCTTTTGCTGTTGTAGTTGTTTTTTCTTCTGTATCGATGCCTTCCACGAGTGGGCAAGGCGGTCCCTGAGTACACCTAAGTTGTTTATATGGTGTTAATTGAACATAGGAACCAGACTTAGTGTTGATTGTGTATTTTTAACTTGCGGAGAATTAATTGTGATCACCTTTCATTACGTAATGTTATGTAAGTAGCAGTTTAAATATATTCAGTTGTCCATGTTATTTAGGCTAAGTTAATTTAAGTAAGTTAGTAGTTGTGTATCTAGCGATTAAAGTTTTTTCACTTTCTTTTAGACGTTGTTCTTTCCTTAACACAACACTTTACTATACAACTCATTCTTTCATTATAATATCATCATTTGAAAGGATTTTGAAATCGCGTTGAATGAATCTTAAAGGAGAGCATTTTGGGTGAAGTGATTAAAATCTTGATGATATCTACGTTCTAAGAAAGTGGGTCATGTACAAGCCACCATAAAAAGACAGCGAAAGGTTGTCCGAAATGCAGACCAAGCAAATGCCTAAATCAAATGGCACGTCTCAAAATTCCAAGTTTTGCACGTATAGTTGAACTTAAAGAAATCTTTATTAACTTCCCCAAAGGCCAACAATTTTTTCCCTTATGATTCAACTGAACTCTCTAATTGCTGTTATAAGGTTAGATGAATTAATGACCCGTCACTTCTGGGATGTCTGTATATAAAGCCAATAACAATGGGATATATTTTTGTTGGTGACGTTTCGAGCGTTAGTCTTTCGTCAGAACGATGGCGAGGGGCTAACACTCGAGACTCTTTATGCTGACCAATTGACGTTATAAACTCAGCTGATAATACCAAATTACCTTGTTATATTATCTCACCGACACCTCACCACAGTTTCTTTAGATTTTATTTTTGTTTTTGTTGCTGTGCTGTAGTTGTTGCTGCTGTTGCTGTTGCTGTCGTTGTTATTGTTGTTGTTGTTACTTTTGCTGTGGCAGTTTCTGTTGCTATTATTGCTGTTTCTGTTGCTGTTTCTTTCGTCGTTGCTGTTTCTGTTGCTGTTGCCGCTATTGTTGTTGCTATTGCTGTCATTGCTGTTGTTGTTCCTGCTGTTGGCATGTTAGTTTAGCACAGCATGAAATTTGATATTTACATAACTGTATCCTTTTTTCTCTTTCTTTAACCAAAATGTTTGGTCCAGGTTCTACTGTAAGCTCTCCAACAAGATTCGTGTGATAAACACACATTACGGTAGGTACAAATTGGTCTTACTCGATGAAATAGTTCACGAAAAACAATTGAATGATCCAAAACGTTACCATAGCGAGCCGCACATGCTGAAACGTTCACTGAATTCTTTGTACCTTGAATAACTTGTAATTAAAACCAAGAAAAGGAAAAATCTCATTATTTGCGTGTATTTGAGAGCACGTTCGTCTATTTTTAGAAAACTTTTTTTTTCGAGTACCTGGGATGATCCAAGATTCCTCTAAAAAACCAATGATAATTGTATTACACGTACATCGGTATTACTGGAAAGGAAAAGATTTACGAGACGAAAGAAATATTTAAAAGCTAAAATAACGAATCATTGAGCAGCTGAGCGCTGCCAGGCAAGTTTATGCAAGTCTGTCATTTCTTTTCTCATCAGTCTAGACCATAACAGATGTGAAAATTAGAGGACAGCTCTATCTGTGGATTTGATAAGTTTTTTCAATTGAAAGATGAATGACTGGGAAATTAGAATAAACAATGAAAGCCAGAGTTTAAAGGAATTGATCCACAGGCTTTTTACAGTTCCCCGCAGAGATTTGACCCGCAATAAAAATCTTTGCAAACGGAATTTTTGGCGATAGCAAGCGGCTTTAGCGGTTTCGGTCAGTTTGTGTTTGATGTAGGATGCTCATAATTAAAAATTTTTTTCACTTAACAGTCCGCAGTGCGCATTCTTAACTACATTAAGATTTTACTACGGCTCAGTGCTCACAAAGAACCAAATTTGTTGTGCTTCTTACAGAGCTAGTTATGATATAAACAACCCTTTATAAACTTTCAGTGCTTATCAGCAATTACAGTGCCTTGAAAATACAGGCTAGTAGAAAAAGAAAAAAAAAAGAGAGAAAGAAAAGAGAAACGCTTATGGTATTGAAATGCTGAAAAGTGTACATACTGTCTTAAACAATTCCAGTCTGTAGTAAAGCTTTATAATTCGATAGGTTTGTGAAGGACGCTGGGAAAGATGCGTAACATTGGGATTGGGCTCCTTTAATAGGATAACCTCCTTCAGGAAGCACTCACAATTTCTGTGTCAAATTTAAAAAATGTAATTTTTGTGTTTCAAATTTTTCTCAAAAACGCGTTCTGGCAGTGATTGAAAGGTTATTTTGTCACCCTTCTTCGATACTTTTTTCAGCGGCAAAAGCAGACTATGGGTGAATTTAAATGGGAGAAAAAAATGTTGAGAACTTATGCAATACTTAGCTCGCACCTTGCGTGGTGACATCTCTTGGAAAATGTCACCCTATTTATTTGCTTATCGAAAAAAATTTTAAAAAGTTTCAATCTCCAATACTAATTTTGTTTTCAGATCTCTCAAACAAAGTTTACCAGTACAAATAGACGTCTCTCCCTGCTAAATTTGCAATTGTTAGAATTCACCTTTCA